TAGAGCTATCTGAGGATGATTGCTCTTCTGACCTGCCTTCTGCTAGCAATTGCAGTGTATATCCCTCTACGAGGTCGCGTATGCTTCGTGCTCGTACGGAGTGTCGAGGCATGGGGGAAAGCGACACACGCGGTATCTAACTCAATCTCGTGGCAAGCCCATTGTTCGGGATCCAATATATTGCAGCTCCGATGGACGTGCCGAAGTGTCGGCAGACAAGGAATCACGCACATAATCCGGACATAATCAGCTGGTGTAGCGGGGGGTTCAAAGTTGATGTTGAACTTTGTATATCGTACAAATATGGAAATATCACACGCTCGTTACCTATTATGTACAGATTCTCTCACATGTTCTATTCTTGTGTTCTTCTTTGCGATCTTCTATCTTTCCTGATTGATATTACCGCTTTAGGCACATTCTTTTGTTCCCTTTATGGAAATGCTTCCCTCGAGCTCCCTCACATATACCAGGAGCTCTCCCTTCGCATCTCCTCAGTCTTTTCCCTTATACTTGACTGAGGAGTGAGTCTGCCATGTCCCTTCATGTCCCTTATGTCCTAACGTACTTATGATGCCTCTGTAGTCATATATTAGGTACTACATGCGTAACTCAGTCTTTTCCCTTATACTTTGACTGAGGATCATATATTAGGGAATTATCGCTCTTGCCTTCAGATCCAGAAGTTCATCAGTTGAGAGTCGGATTATAGTCGTGTAGCGACACCAGAATCGACACAGAATCGACGCATAATCCAACACATAATCAGTGCATAATCGCCAACTTTGAGTCCCCCTAATGTAGCGATGACACTCTTGAAGCCGGCGAAAAGCATGGTAGCGGCGAGGTGGATCGCTTGGTCCGGTTGTTTCTGAATGGTGAGCATTAATCCGAGTAAACACCCTTGAACGCATCGAAGATCTCACTATGTCTCCCTTGGCAGTCTCGCATGCGCTCAAGAATGCCATGAAAGCGTTCGGCAGCGGGATTGGCATCAACCTCTCGATCGTGAGGGTCTCGTCGCACATGACGAACCCGCTGTTCAGCGGGTCATCCGCATCTTGGTGGCCATGGCATGCCAGATGCACCATGGTTGCTTGCAGCAGCTTCTCAAGAAATGCGGCTACGGTGACACCAACATCTCCGCTTTGAGAGTCATCGTCCGAGGATATGGTTATGGCGGCCCCTTCAGGCACGATCGCTTTGACAGCCGCAACATCTTCGGACGCAAAGAGCAGGTCCTTCCACTGCGCAGCGTACGATTGGGGTACTGCGGCAGCAAGTACCCTAACCCTCTGTTTTTCGACGCGTGCATACGCTGACCTCGCCGCCAGTAGGGCGCCGAGCGTCGGTGTATACGATGAAACGACGTAGTCGGAGCACCGTGAATTCTGGACCCCCGCGGCGTCGATCGGAAGGTGCGCAAAGGGTCCGGTTGGACACCACCACATGCGGGGGCGGTCTTTCCCTCGATGCCTGCGCGATCCCAAGTCAATATCCCGTCCGTGTATTTATAGGTGACTCGTACCGAAAGTCCCAGGGCATCCAATACAGGCCGAACGACGTCTGTCCACAGGCGTGATAAAATATTGTTTATTCTCATCACTCTTGATTCCACGACAATAGCTGACTTAGATATCTTCAGATGCTCTCCGACAAGTGAACGAGCCTCTGCGATGTCGGATTTCCACTCCGTGCTCGACTCCACCAACCAGTGGTACGTGACGTTCTTCAAGGGGATTGCGATGATGTCTCTATCGGATTTGGCGATCATCGCGTGACATCCCACCACGTTCTGCTTCTTGAACGAGCGTCCCGAACTCATCGGGCAGGAGAAATCGCTCGAAGCCCGGCATTCTACGGATTTCGTCCAACAGCGTGTTGAAGTCCTCACTCTGTATCCTTATTCTATCTACTACGGCTTCGACGGCTCGGGGATTGGTAATAGAACCTCGCCTCACGCGGACTGCCTCCAGCTGTCTGGCAAGTGAGGACAATCGAACTCGTAAGTCGTCCGGAACGGTGTCGAACGTTGAGCGGAAACGAAGCATGTGCATCCAAAAGATAGCACGTCCCTGTTCGATGATTTCAAGAGCCTTTTCCGGGAGTGATAGATGTAATACCGCTAGGTGACAGGTAACTGAAGGAAAGTTTGGGTGATCAACGGGGATCGTGTGGAGTAATCCTTCCGCCAGCACTATGGCCTCCTCTAAACTTCCCGGAGTTCCTAGTAACTCGAAGCGCTCGCATAGATGAGATATCACCGACGCAGCAGTATTCGCGTAAGCGGTATGCGAGATCGGGGTTGCATTCAACAAACGTCGGTCGCGGATCAACGCTTCCTCGAGAGAAGATCCAGGTGGATCCGGCTACTCCTGAATTTGGCTGCCTGTGCCACAGCGTTTTGCTGCAAATCAATGACGTTTTGCAGATTATCAGAAGAACCGGTTGACAAGAAGATTCGGTAGAAGATGAATGCTAGGATCCGCTGAGCCGTAGCTCGCATTAGGTTTCCGAAAGCGCATAGGTCAATAGACTTTCGACACAGCGACTCTGCGATGAGCCCGTCTTTCGTGCGGAAAGTGTGACGCGCGTTTTCAGAGAGGATACGTGCGTAGAACGACATCACGATGGGGCAAGCGACGCGTTCAGTAGAGCAGTTGGCTAGTGCTTGCTGACCATATTCCACGGCGGATCGTAGATCAGAGAGTTCATCGGCAAAGATGTAACGTTCATAGAGCGTGCTGGCTAGTTGCATGAGTCCGTGATGGCGGGTGGCAGACGATTCATCCGGGGTATCTTTGTAGGATGGATCGTCGAAGGAAGGACTTGAACATGCTGTGACGGCATCTTCTGTAACGAGCGCGGTGCATATATTGATGCACTCGGTCGCGGATCCGAGGTCGCTTCGCTCGCAAAACTGCTTGTGCAGCTCCAGCGCTTCTGCATATCGGCCGGAGGGCATGCGAGGGTCATCTGTCAAGAAATTTGTGTCATGGTGTGCTTCCGAAGCATATGGTTCATACCTGCTGCACAGTGGGATATGCGGGGCGCATCCGGGTCGGAGGGTAGGTCGTGAGCTGTTCCTTCAGGGACTACGTGTATCGGATGGAACGTTAATACAACGCGCTGGTATGAAGCTAGAAACATACGCGCTCCTCCTTCGTAACCCCTGTTACAACCCCCCAGTAGGGAATGACAATCGGTCGATGGTTCCATGGGTACATTGAGCAGTCTAGGAGAGGGCCTTATATGCCTCTGGACACAAGATCATCATCAGATTCAGAAACGAGATCGCGCCCGGTAAGATTAGCACGATAAGTCTGATGACCATTTCACTTCGGGTGTACGTTAGGGATACGGACGAGATATAGAACCTGTACACCACATTCAGGAAGGCTGTAGTTTGAGCTCGAGGGGACGATGATTACTCGAATGACGGCATTCGTCCTTGATTCTGAGCTGCGGCGTCTAGAAAGCAGAGCGGCGATGGTTTCTGAGACAGAAGCTGAAGTGTGTCTCGCTTACGTTCAAGACCACCACGCCCTGTGCACATATTTAGGCAATCCGACGTATTTCTCCATTTTCTCTGCTCGGCTTATGGGCAAGTTGGCTGGGAGACGTAGAAAAAGAAAGTCCTGAAGTTCAGAGAGAGTCTTTCAACGGGAAGATGGATACTGTTGAGTGAGAGACGAAGATGGTTGAGGGATGAATCGATGACGAACTTGAGGAAGGCCGTCCGAGACAGAAGTCGCAAGATGCTCGACGTCAGCTCGAGAGGTTTCTTGCTCTCAACTTCCACTCACATCGTCCTACGGCCCGGTAATTGCTCGACGTCCGACTGTCCAGCGCGGAGTATGTGAATCGCATGCATATACACGATTTCCGACCAGACAACCATACAAATTACGGGCGTTCCGACAAGCATCCTTGCAACGCAATACTATACGGACAATGGCTTGCATAAGAGATCTGCCTCCGAGCGGATCAACTACATCGTCCGGAGAGACCTCCGCGTCCAGAAATGAACCTAAACCCGGCGTCTAACCTCGATCATGTTTGCCCTTCGATGTCAGTCGCTCACGTTGAAAAGGTTGCAGGGGATGTCGGACTCAGCCAGGTGTCGCCCCCCCTCTGACGACTCGGATTCACGACCACCGCCCGCAAGATGACGGCGACGAGCAACGCTGACGCGACGGGCGCGACCATCCCTTCCTTTCTTTCAGGTGAGTGTCGATGTTTACTGCGGCAGGAGTCGGACGTTGATCAGTATTTGACGCAGCACTCACATTCGGCGTGGCCGTTTTTATCGCGTGTATCACCATATTCTACTGCCTTCATACCAAATATCGCAACATATACCAACCCCGCACGTTCCTTACTCCCGTCCAGTACGTGCTCGTATCTACCTCACGTCGCTCTTTCTGATAAGGAACGATCCCAGCAAACGCCCCCGTCCTCTCCCACTGTCCTTCTTCCCCTGGTTCGCGGCTCTCGCGCGCGCTCGTGATGCCCACATCCTCGCCATGAACGGCCCTGACGCCTACTTCTTCGTCCGTTTCATCAGGCTGCTCTGCATGATCCTCATTCCGGTTTGGGTCGTGGCCTGGGCAGTGCTCATGCCCATCTCTGCCATCGCGCCCAATGGCGGACAGAAGGGTCTGAACATGTTCGCATTCGGCAACGTACCGGCGGACAAGCAGATCAGGCACGTCGCGCACTTGGCCGTCGCGGTCGTCGTTATACGTACGTCTCCTACTCTCAACCTGCCTTCGATACATGTTCACTAAATCATGCATTGTCGCGCAGTCTACACGCTCTTTTTAATATATCGTGAATACACGCACTTTGTACTCATTCGTCATCGGCACCTCTCCGGGCCCGCGCACACCCGCCTCGCGCGCGCCCGCACGGTGATGCTCACCCACCTCCCGAAACCGCTTTGCACCCCGGAAGCCCTCCGCGCGCGTATCCCCTCTCCCGTGACGCACATCTGGTTCCCGCGCTCGACTCCGGGGCTCGACGCGCTCTTCGCCGAGCGCGAGCGCGAGTGCATCCGACTCGAGAAGGGCGAGGGTACGCTCCTCCGGCGCGCGGTCAAGAACGTCAACTCCAACAAGGCGCCCTCGCCTGATGCCTCTGGCGATGCGGAGAAGGGCGGGAGATCGTTGTACGCAACGGCGAGCCGGTTCGTCGCGCGCGAAGACATGCCGACGCATCGGCTCGTGAAGTTCGTAGGGCCGAAGGTGCAGACGCTCGACCACTCGCCAGCCCTAATCAAGGAACAGAGCGATCGTATCGAGGCTGGGAGGGAGGCTTATCGCGCGGCGCAACGAGGCGAGGATTGGGCACAGAAGCGGTATCCGCTGACGGGCGCGGCGTTTGTGAGGTTCGAGAGGGTGGAAGACGCGCATGCATTCGTGAGGGACGTCGGGCCTGTGACCGGGGTGAAGGGCTTGAGCGCCGCGATGGAGGTCGTGCCGGAAGACGTGAGTTCGACTTCTCTTTGTCTGTCTGTTGACGAGGTTGTTGATTGAGGAATCTTTGCTTCGCAGGTGATCTGGGGAAACTTGGGAATGTCGCGTAGCGTGCAGATCTTCCGCTCGGGTGTCAGCTGGGTGCTGACCATCGCCCTCATCGTGCTCTGGGCGATCCCTGTTGCTTTCGTTGGCGTTGTGTCGAACGTCAACGCACTCTGCAGCGAAGTCCAGTATGTCATTGTGTTCTTCCTCCATAAGCCTGCTCTCCCTGACAAACCTTCGCGTGGATAGCTTTCTCTCGTGGATCTGCAAGCTTCCGGCGCCCGTTATCGGCATCATCGAAGGTGTCGTTCCGCCCGTGCTCCTCTCAATCCTCTTCGCGCTCCTGCCCATCATCCTGCGCGGGATGATCAAACTCGAGGGAACGCCCCGACATTCGGAGGTTGAGCAGGCGCTCTTCCCTCGTCTGTGGCTCTTCCAGATCGTCCACTGCTTCCTCATCATCACTTTCTCTTCCGGCCTTACCATCTCACTCTCTCACCTCCCCAAGACAACATCCGACATTGTGATACAACTCGCGACGCACCTCCCGGGCGCGGGAATGTTCTTCGTCACTTACGTCACTACGAGCGCCCTTACGATGGCGGGCGTGGGTGTCGGTCAAGTGGGATCTCTTGCGATGAGGTTGATACGCAAGTTGCTCGGTATGACTACGCCGAGGGAGGTGTGGGAGACCGAGTGGGGGATGGGAAGGCTCGAGTTAGCCGCAATATGGCCTGGTGTGGCCCTGCTTGGATGTGTCTCCATTGTCTATTCGGTCATCCAGCCCGTCGTCATCGGGGTCGGCGCGGTCGGTTTCGTCTTGTGCGTTGTTCGTCCCCCCTGCTTTGCACCAGTATTGACGGATTCGTCTTCATAGGTTGTACGCGACGTACAAATACTTGATGATGTACATCGTGGACCAATCTGAAGAGCTAGAGACGGGTGGCATGTACTATCCTCGTGCGCTCGGGACCGTGTTCGTCGCTCTGTATCTCCTTGAGGCGTGCCTTTCCGGGCTGTTCTTCCTCAGCACCGACCCCACCACCGGAGGGAGAACACTGATAGGTCTGATCGGCGGTTCCGTCATGGTACGCGCAGGTTCTTCTCACCCTTATCTGTGACGTGCTGATTTTGTCCATTAAGGCCGGCACGATCCTATTCACGGCGTCCGTCCAGATCTGGATGGAGCGCTGGCAATTCCCACCTTCATCGTACACATTCCTGGACGTCAAGGCGCACCTCTTCAAATCCGGTTCGGTCGCATGGCTCAATCTCGCCCTCGATGGCGGTAGCGTTGCAGCCAGCACCACGTCCGGCTCCACCCCGCCCACGTCCCCGACCTCGCCTACCTTCTATGGCGGGCTGAAGGAAGAGCATCTCGCCGGCGCGCAGTACGGGCGCACGACGGGGCTGCACGCGACCGCGTTCGATCCACCGTCGACGTGGAAGGACCAGAGGCTGGTGTGGATTGCGGACGACGAGCAGGGTTTGGGTTTGGGCAGGGCGGAGGTGAGGAGATTGAGGAGGGCCGGTGTCGGCGCGAGTTGTGAATGGGCGAGGATGGATGACCGGGGTACGGTGGAGGTGGCGATGGGTCCGCCAGACGAGGCCTGGTATGGTGGGATGACGATTGCTTGAAATTTTTCAGTAAGAGGAACGGACGGTGGACGGCGATCAGTGTGGTGTTCTCCTTTGACGTCGTAGTTCTTTGCCCATTATATCTTATGTAATATCTACTTGTTGGACGTGTCTCTAAAGTCAAGGCGAACCCTCTGACAATGGTAGGAATCAGTAACATAGCTTCGAGGTTCTGTGGCGCCCACTCGGTATTGAAGTTGTCGCCTTCAGACCCCTTGACTTCGACTTCGCCCGCCTCACATCAACTCCCCACGTCGAACGCGAGGCAATGCTATACTATCATAGTCCGGCAACCCTGTGCTTAGCTGATCCTGCTTGATGCTGGCGTCCAGTATTACCAAGCTGTATCCGCCCAAGCACCGCCCGCGCTGCGGAAAAGCAGCTTCACATAGACACAAATGCAACGACGTGGTGCTCTCTTCCGTTCCACATTTCTATGCGCCAACTTCCCTCACTGCCAGGCTGGCGTCGCTCAGGTCGTTGCATTTAGTCGCTTTGTTGTGTTGCTCGAGACGCCGGTACTTCAATGAGCTGGTCACCAGGAACCTCCGCGCGGCGAGCGGCTAGCGCTCCCACTTCCATTCGATACTCCTTACCACCTTCTCCGCGCGCAAGAAGGGGTAGTGCCGAAACTTTTACAATTGTCATCGAACAAGAAGATGGAACGCTCGCGCAAAATTCCGCGAAATTCATCCCTACCCCTCCACATCCGGTTGGGCCAGGTCGGGCGTTTGACAGGTCTCGCCGCGAGGGCTTCCGAATGTCTATGCCGGCGCCGGCAGAACATCCTAACGAGACTCCTACTTATCCCTACCCACAAGCCTCGATCTTGGCCTTGCGTCGTTCACCTAATGCCAACTTCAGCTCGTTGACCAGTCTCGTGCAGCCAGCTCATGTGGTTAACGCGAATACACCACCTTCCTTTTCCCACACCGAGTTGGTCATACCAAATGGACCTCCGCCGCCGCTCGTGCTCGCTACGTTGCCCCCGTCCAACTATCTGTCCGTGGAATCCGTTGTGCATCTCGATGTTCCGGAGACCATTCAAATGGAGCAAATCGCGAGGGAATCTCAGGAGTGGGACCGTCAATGGCAACATGAGATTGCCTACGTGTTACATCGACTATTTCGTCTAGGACTGCGGATGAGGGAGCGAAAGTTCAAGCCCGCATTGAGGAAGCGCATCTTGAAATGGATGCGCAGAGAGAACGTCGAGGCGACGGCTTCCCCAAGAGAAGAATTCTCGATGATGTATGTGATACAGTGCCCCCTCTTGCTTGATAATCTCTTATTGGTTGGTATACAGACATGTGGCAATTCTCGTACCTTCACTGGTGGCAACCGCACCAGGACGTAGTTGGACGCAAATTACGCAACAGTCCGCGCTGAATAAAGCGAGAGAGATTTTGTCATCGAAGGAATCCATGAGGGAAGCAATGCTGCTGGAGGGGCAGGAAGCGTTGGACATGGTGGATCTGCTGGATCAGGTAAGCGCATAGATCTGCATGGCCCTGCGTAGGCGGCTGCTTACGAGCTCCTCTTAGACAGCGGACGTGTTCTCAGGCATTTATCGTCAACGGGCGATGTGGCTTCTAAGCAGACTCTGCAAGAGATGCGGCCTGCTTCCAAGCTCCTGCTGCATCTCAGAGGTACTGCAGCGCATAACTCGCGATCCATTGTTCACCGGAGGTTTTGCCGACGTTTATCGTGGTCAATTGGGGTCGAGGGACGTCGCGCTGAAGGTCCTGCGGGTATTCGGAGGGAGCTCCGGTAGGAATGACGTTCTCAAGGTGGGTAGAAACTCTCTATTAGTGGTAACATGCCTCAATTGTCGGATCCCGCTGTTCCGTAGGCATTCTGCAAAGAAGCAGCCCTATGGAAGCGATTGCGACATCCGAACGTGGTACCATTCCTCGGAGTGTCAACCACAGCGTTCGAAGGAAGGCTATGTCTCCTTAGCCCTTGGCTCGCACACGGGCATGTCAGGATGTATCTGGAGGATCATCCCGACTCGAATCGCCTCAAGTTCGTGAGTATTGGCTACATTCACACTATTCGCAACGAAGGCCCTAGGCTTATGTCCGTCACAGCTCTTGGACGTTACGCTGGTCCTTGAATACCTGCACAGCTTGCGAGTCACTCATGGGGATCTTAAAGGTGTACGTGTTATCAGCCCTTCACCCATTGTTTGACATTCAACGATTCGTTTATAGGTCAACATTCTCATTGATGATGATTTGAGGGCTCGACTTGCGGACTTCGGATTGACCGTGATCAGTTCCGATCCTTCCGTGGCACAAGCGATGGACGTCACGACCGCCATGCAGGAGGCGGGGTCAACCCGGTGGATGGCGCCCGAACTCTTTGACCCCAGCGTACCTTGCGCACCGAACACCGCCTCCGATATATATGCCCTTGCGATGGTCTTTTGGGAGGTATGTTTTCGTCAAATTGAAAATGTTCGCGACGCCTCACGCGTGAACACGCGACAGATCTTTGCCGGAGAAAACCCATTTCCCGAAATGCGCATGGAGCCTGCTGTAATTCAGAAGGTTTCTCGAGGAGATCGCCCCCCTCGTCCACTATTCGGTTTATCCTTAGGGCTGTCAGATCCGATATGGGCTTTGATGGAACGATGCTGGCAACATCAAAGTGCTCTTCGTCCGGGAGTGGAGGAGATCGTTCCAATTGTCCAAAAGGCGCATGCTGCGTTCATTCCAGCGCGCGCTACGATGCCGAGGAAACCAGATGCAAACGATGATCGTTCTTCGTTGGACGCATTGTTCGTCGACAAGTAGTACGGTCGAATGTTGAGACCCGACATTGATATACACACGGCAATACATTTGGGTACCGGAGAGCTAGCTCTGAACGCGCTCGGACGAGGGTTCGAAGAACGTGATGTTATAGCTGGGTAGAGGAGTAAAGTGTAGAGTGCAAGGTGAAGATACCTTTCAGATGAGAAGTGGAAGTCTAACGTCTAAGTATGTCCAGCAGCGCCACTATTGAGGAGTTACCATTGCTATGACCTGCGCCACAAAAAATGTTTCGATTTACAGGGCAACTCGTTTCCGAGCAATCTTGCGAGGACGCTCCTGATTGTATATACTCAATGCATGGGAGATGCAACTGAAAAAAAGGCGCCGGCGTTCGTCGCTGGTGAGTGGCCTCTGTCCCGCGTGCCTGGACAACCAGATTTGAGTTACCCAGAAGACTCAGATTGTCAGCATGGATTAGATGAGCACTCTACGGAGTGGGTCCTTGACCATGGCGTTCCCTATAAGCTTGCAGACTACCAATTCCCGGGTATTAAGGACAAACATGGAGTACACTACCGTGCCTCAACCCCCCGTGAAAGATCAAGGAATACTGAGATGTACGCGATACTAGAAACTATGGAGCCACATAATCAATGACGTGAACAAGAAACCGAGGCCGAAGATCGCGCCGACGACGATAATCACGGCGGTCGACGAGGATGCGGATACCAGGAATAGCAGCGACATGGGGACACACACCATGCCGACGATGTTCAGCAGGTTTGTCACGACGACCCGGCCGTGGTCCGAGATCAAGAGAATGCTGGTTGCAGCAATGCCGGCGACAAGGGCACAGATCGAGAGGACAGTTGCGACGGCGAGCACGGGTGAGTTCCGTCCGTCAGCGTTCGTAGCGCTCGTGATTATTTGTACTGCTAGCGCGATGATCCCCAACGCCTTGACGGAGCATCAATTTGCGTAGCAGCGTCTGAAGAATAGAAGGACTCACGTACTGCAAACGGAAGTCATTGCGAGCTCGCGCGGTACGGTCCGCTTCAGCCTGCGCCGGGGCTGCAAGCGCGATTAGAGGAAGGCGTAAAGGCGAGCCCATCAGTGACTGACCGGGCACAATGTGATTGACGTGCGCTTGGCGCTGTCCGGTCTCGTTTCCAGTCGGATTTGGGGATGGCATACGAAGGACGAATATCATGGCGGGTGAACAGGTAGACGGCTATTTTATGAGTTGTGCTAAGTAAGTGGGCGAAGGCGCCAAGCTTTGTAGATGGAGTGGACCTCCCCAACTTGCCTTTTTGTAGTAGAATCCTCGCGATAATTCATCGCCATGGACACCTTTCTTGGACGCATGACGGTCGAGGTGCTGCTGTCTGCGATGTTGACCGGAGTTCGCAGAAGAAGTGTTGATAGGAACGTTGGGCGCGAAATTTCAGTGCTGGATACTGGTTTTCAGTGTCACGCAAGGAACCGTTTAGTGCGAACTGTGGTTTGTTAGTTGCCGGCCATGAGAGCGATGCTGATTTTCAGTACTCAGTGCGCCCGTTTCCGTGATGATCTTGGGAGAAAGTTCTTCGGGCCCAGATTTTCAGTGCGAAAGCACTACTCTTCAGTGCCTGTCCCGGTTCTACGAATCGTGCTCCACCTTGCGCGCGTCCACGTGGCTTCGGTACGGCTGTTCCATTGTATCCGCTGTATAGCACCAAACATGCCATTCCGACCTAAATGCGTCGCCCGAGTTCTGGACATGATGTCGATCAGAATGATCAGTGTTGTCCTCTGGCGATGAACGAAACTCGAGCTTTTTAGTGACCGTGCGCTAAATTTCAGTTCTAGCCAGTGATCCTTCAGTCACTTCACGTCTTCCCCACATGCGCAATAATCTGCACGTGTACCGCGTGCCGTGTCCCTCACGTACAGCGTCGGTGTCTGACCACCGTCGAGGATCGAGTCATCGGTAGAAGACTTCACACTTCAAGACCGTGCGGCATTCGTGCCCTCGTGCCTTTATGTCGGGTTTTGATGTGAAGAACGCGACTGAGCTATTCCAGTGTGCGCAAGAGGTTATCTCATGGTCTTTTCTCAAGTATGAACGCGTTGGACGGCGGAGCAGGGCGGAGGAGTTTCGCGACTGGGCGTTGATGGAACACTGAAGGTCACGTGCATCATTAACGGAAAAACCGGGGGTTTTACCGACGCTCCCGCCGATCCCTTGACTTTCGAACCGTCTGCATCAGACTAAAGGCCATGTCCAGCATAGCTATCCGACATCAGGCAAGGCCATTTGCGCTATAACTTACGGTCAATACTCACTCTACGGATACAGCGTTTTCGAATCAGCCGTTGGAAAAACATGGCATCACCCGAATGGCGCTTTCTCCCGTGCTGCGCGGGCCAGAGTGATAGCAATGCACCGCCTATGACAGGGATCTCTCCACTTGCCACCACTTGCAGGTTGTCGGCTGCGGATGCTTGCGTCGCAGTCGGTCAAACGCTATCAACGGAAGTAGTTCACGTCGCGCATATTAACTCCACCTGGCTTCGTCCAATCTGCTATTTTTCCGTCGAGCCGCCCCTCACTCGATGTACACGCATGACGGGTTGACGAAGAACGTATAAAGGAGGGTTTCGAGCACAAGCCTAAAACACTTCCTCCACCCCCTCGTCGATCCCACGCCTCACGCAAATTCCATGGCCGGCGGTTTCAACTACGCGAAATACCTTAGCATCGACAGCGTTGCTGCTGCTGTCATCTTCGCTATTCTATATGTGCCTTTGGCATGCGTTTTTACCGTCAAACTATTCCGCGGATTCACAATGACGCGACTCCTTCTTACGCTCTTCTGTTTTCGTACGTCCCGATCTCAAGTCACCCATTTCAACTTCGACTTACGTTGTCCCTTGCAGTCCGCGTGGGTGCCTTCTCGTTGCGAGGTGTCTTGTCCGGATCATCGAAGGCGGGGGAGAACGAGACGCTGTTCATCGTTTATAGCGTGCTCTACAGCGCCGGGTTTTACTGGGTCCTCTACAGCGCATACAGCCTTGTCCTCGATAGGTGAGCCGTCATCTCCTATATCGTAGTCACGAGAGCTAAGTTCTGATCCTTTGTGCAGAGGCGATATCAATGGCAACATCCCCAATCTCGGTGTTATCTCCCGCGTCTCCCGCAATCGCCACCTGATACATATTGTGCTCGTCGTCGCTGTTGGTCTCGGCGTCAAAGCAGCGATCGACGCGACGAGCAGCAACGAAAAGACACGTAACGAGTCGCAAGGCGACAGGAGGATTAGCGTGATCATCTATCTCGTAGTCGCTGTGCTTCTGGCGATACAAAACGTTTTACTGGTCATGGTGGAATTCCAAAGTATGTGCTCTCACGTATGCTTTGCAGCAACGAAACCGATAGCTTGACTTTAGGTCCCACAGATCATCGCATCCCCATCGCATCCAGCATGTCGCTCGAGAGCGAACAACGAACCTTCGGCGCGCGCCATGCCTCGCGCCTCCTGGCAGTCATCACCGTCCTCATCCTCATCCGCGAAGTCTTCTTCATCGCCACCTCCTCTTCCTTCAGTACTCAGAATAAGGAGGTGCTATGGTACCCTCTTTCCGCGTCAACAGAGTATATCGCGCTCGCGGTGTTCTCCATCCAGGGACTGCTGCCGACTAGGGCGCAGCTGAAATTCGCGGAAGAGGCGAAGAAATATGGAAGCACTGGAGTTCCTTTGGCAACGCAACAGCATACCAGCTCACCGTATACTGTGGGGTCAGCGTACAGCGTGCAATATCCCTATTCTACCTCGCACGCGTAAAGGGTTATACCGTTATTTGGATAGCGTATCATGCTGTTGACTTGAAGCACATGAGCCTTCTGGACCTTCGTCATCCTACACATGTAATAATTTGTAGCATTAGACTCGCGACAACGTCGATACCCTTGACCGAAATTCACGTAGCCGCGCAGCCACTCCGCAATTCGGTCGCCGGTCGCCGGTAACTTTAAGTGGCGCTTGCCGTCGCCACAGCTTGCCCCTTTGCCATCGCGTTCGCGTCTATCCCATGCTATTGGCCTCGATGTTCTCGAAAACATGTTTAGAGTGTCCAGAGGAGCTGCGACGTTCATCTATGCCACGAAGGAGTCGCGTACGGAGGAAATCGCCAGCGGCTCTCTGCTCAGCGATATTCTGTCAATATGATCGTCCTTCACCAAGGTACGAGATTTTGTTCTTACAGATGCGCACATATCGCACTCCTATGGAAGGTGGTTTTGCGTATCTCTTTAGCGTAGCAACCACCCCTTCTTTGGTCGCATTTCAGCTGTGGCATTCATGGTCGGTGTGGCCTTCCCCGAGCGACAATGCCACTCGAAGACACACTCGCCAAGACTTTCTTTGGAGGAACGCGCTCTATATCATGCATGCGACGGTGGCCAGATGAAACGTCCTCTGTCTTAAACCTCACCGTCAACGTTACACGATCCTTCCCCCTCAACGATGCCGTTCGGTCTGTTCTCGTCCTCTTCCAAGCAGAAGAGCAGCAAACCCTCGGCACCGCGTCCAACACGCGCTCGCTCCAACTCCCTGGTCGGATCCGGACCCGTTCCCTTGTTCTCCAGCGGCCGTCGCTCTCGATCACATAGTCGCCAGGCCGAAGTCGTCCCCGCTGCGCCGGCGCAGCAGGGATACTTCCCCCCGCCCGCGGCGTCAGCTCAGTTCGATGCTCACCAACGCGCCCACGAGGGAAGCCACCGTCACCCCGACGTCGTCATGGACGCCTGCGACATCCCCGCGCCGAAGATCCACGAGCCGCTTGACCTCCGCTTGTACGACGCCATCGTCCCGCGCGACCTTGCCTTGCACACCTTCCAGGCGCAGTGCTTTGGCTGCCTCCGATGCAAGACTGTGTGGCAGTACGGTATGAAGATGGAATGCCAGTGTAGCGAGGGGGGCCGCGACCCTCGCGAGCCGGAGTACGGTATCATCGGCCAAGGTCAACGAGGAACCACTGGGGATGTGTTTCGGTTCACCATCCCGTTGATCATAAATGAGGACAAGAGGAAGTGGCTGATGAAAGAGCGGCGACCCAGCAAGTACCGCGAACAGATCACAGCTAGGGACAGCACGCTTGCCATCCTCGACGGGCACATACCTCCTACCCCCGGGTCTCACCGCGATCGGTCCTGGTCGCTCGGCTACGCGGGCGAGCATCACTCCGATCCCAGCTCCTCCAGTCACAGCGGCAAAGGCACGCGTGTTCAAAGCTGGGTGGCTCAGAATGGCCAACAACCTCCCGCTTCGATGCCGCCTCCAGCTCCCGTGCCCCGCTCGAGGCACAGGGACCAGAAAGAGACCAAGGAACAGAGAGAGAGACGTTTGACGCCGATCCCCACGATGGCGGGGCTCTCGGACGATCGACATCGCCGCATTGCAGCCAACCCTCCACCCGTTCCTCAGATGCACGATCCGCGCGTCCAGCCCAAGTACGGCGACCTTCCGCCGGTACCGCCGCACGTCGACCCATATCAACGCGCGACCGATCCAAGGTTGGATGCTTCTCGTGGAACGAAGGCCTCGAAGAAGCCGGAATACGCCCCTAGCGCGCAGGACTTCAATCCTCGCGGCCACGGGACGAACACGCATGGAGTTTCCCCGACCGGGATGCTTATCCCTTCCAAATCGCAGCCTATTACGACCGGTCCCGTTTCGTCTCAGTCTCACGTTCGCGGTCACAGTTCCCAAGCGCAAAGCTCTTCGACATCTCGCCCTCCAAGCGCTGCCCTGATGGCTAACGTGCCACCGCAAGCGCCAGCCCGTGGGTACACCAAAGAGCGTCGTCACGAAGAAGGCACAGCACCTCCCATTCCTCACCCGTACCATGACGCCGGTCACTCGCAGGATCGATCCGGAGCTCGCGACACGGTCAAGGCGCAGGCGCCGGCCCAAGCTCTCCCTCTTTACAGTTCAAACAATCACTCGCATGGCTCGTACGCCAAGGCGCAGGCGCCGGCACCCCCTCCTCTGAGTGCCCGCAGCTACTCATATGGCTCGTCCGATCCTCGTGCCCCAGACCCTCGCTCAGCCCCTAAGACGTCCGTACCAGCTCCACCTCCCATGGACGCGCGTAGCTACTCGCACAGCTCCTCTAATCCTCGCGCTGGGAGAACTCAAGCGCCCCTTCTCACAAGCGCACGCAGCTACTCCCAAGGCCCGACGGACGCGCGCGTTCCTCTCCCCGTCCCCCCGCCTTTGGACAGCCGGAGCTACTCACACGGTTCTTCCCGCTCGCGCGCTCCCAGTGCCCCGCCCCCGCAGGCCCATGCACCCCTGCGTTCGTGCATGAAAGGCGGCCGGTTCGATGCGCCTGCGAGCGGCAGCGACGACGAGCGTGGGCGGCGCCCCACCCGTGAGCCCGTGTATCGTGGAGCCTACCCGCCGCCCGCTCCTGGCGCGGCAACGCAATCCACGCGCAAGCATTCCCGGCGTTGAGCGATCTCCGGTTGTCCCTTTTTCCTACTCCGCGGGCGGAACTCCTGTAGTATTTCGGACCTTGAAGGACTGATCATGGACCTTTTGACTCTTTTACGACCTTACGACCTTACGACCTTAATGAATCATGACCCTACTACGAACCCGCAACACTTAGAACACGTATAATCAACCCCTGTAACGTATATTATGCACGATATTCATGACATGCCTGGTGCAAACAATTCACCACGGGGAAGTCGTAGTTCTTCAATCAGATTGCATGAAGGCTTCCATGTAGTGTTACACAATGAGCGAACCCTCTAACCATCTTCCCCGCTTTCGTTCAGCTACCATTAAAACCGGTTACGCTTCCTCTGCCCTCGCGCGCCGAAATCAAACAAACCCCTGCGGCTCTTCCCCTTCGTCGCACCGCCCTCCTCAGTGTCGACGTCCATCATCATCGCGTCGTCCGGCCGCAGCGCGCCGCGCAGGCTGCTGCTGCCGCCCCCACTGTTCGCCGGTCCCCCGCCGCGCTTGTCGGCGGTCTTCTTGGCGAGGACGTCTTTGAGCAGCGCGTCGACGGACGCGGTGTAGGCAAGCTGGGCGTCTTTGGTGACTTGGGCTTGGGCGGAGAGGGAGGAGAGTTTGGCGTCGAGGGTGGCGAGGACGGAGGAGGTAGTTGTGGCCCTGTGAACGAAGTAGGGACGTTAAGCTGCGATCGCCATGAGGAAAGATGAGGGGAGAGAGGAGGGTGTAAACCCAAGAGAGCGAGAAGGACGTACCAGTCCTTGAGCGCGGCGAGAACATGCTCCACCTTGCCCGGTGCGAGGTCGCGGCCCATGGTGTATTCAACCTCGAGTTGTTGCTCTTTCTGGTCGAGTTTGCCGCGAAGGATGTCGAGGTAGATGGCGTCAATAACCAGGTCCTCGAGATCCCGAATTGTGGGCATATCGAGGAAGCGGAGCAGGTCGGCGTATGGGAGGATCTTGATGGAAGAGCCACATGAGTATCGCCGCGAACGTGTCACAGAAGAAAATAATGGAGGATTATCCGATGAGGACACAACGTACCCGACGGTCGGCGGCGAGGGAGACGAGGGAAAGGTGCTTGAGCTTCGTGATCTGCGCCTGGTTCAGAGGCGGATAATCGTCTTTGTGCACTGCGTTCCAGACGATAAGCGCATACACTCACATCATGAGAAGCTTCAGAACGTACGGGAGTAATCTTGATATGTCTTGTACGAGAAAAGCTGCAGCAGAGCGTACTGCTTTGCGTACTGAGCGTTATTCGCAAGCTGCATCGAAGCAAATCAGTCCAATATCCTGCGTCGGCAACCACTCTGCAACCCATTCAAGCACAAGGAGAAGATGTGGGTAAGCACCTCCCGAATGCCAGGCAGCTCGAGCAGCTCGGCGAAGACGAACACGCCTGGTGCGGCAGTGGCGTCTTGCGCGAGCTTAGCCGCCGCGGCTCCCTTCGCGGATTTGCCCATCAACAAGAAGGGCTCGAGCTTTGCTGATGAATGCGAGCCTAGTTCCATGTTCGCAAGTTTCGAACCACTATATGTGTTGGTAATGCAGACGAAGGGGAGTTGAGGGGAAATGTGGCGTCAGAAGAAATTGGGCGCTTATTGGCACCCGTTAAGCGCTCGAAAACGGGCCACGGCGTTGAAAAGGACTCCGAATGAACTTCCGCAGACACTCACACGAATCATCGCGCAGACTCAGATGCGCAACTTCGAACTCTACTGAGAAGTTCTGCAGCTTATTGACGGACCTCAACATTCGGCTGCACTGTGTATGACAATGAATGGACCGGGTCTTGGGACGGATTACGCTCAAACCGTTTCTCATGTGCCGGGGGCCGTAGTCAACTGGTACGGCGATAATCAGTAGGCATGATCATCTCAAGACCAAGCCAACCAACCCAGTCATTCAAGATATGCGCACGATCATGAGCCAGTGCATGTCAAGACTGTATCAAAGGTCCTTTGACTGCATTCAAGGAACGGTCATATACATGATGCAAACGAATGAGAAAGCCTTCTCCGGAGCGCACCTGGCTCAGAAGCGTAAGTACAGCAATTCACGATCTGACGGCATGTGGAACTTGATACTCACATCGTAGCAACGTCAACAACACGCGCTTAGGGAAGCGGCTAGTCGGATCTGGTGACGCTGACGATAGGTGCGCTGAGGGTGACGGAGGATCCGCTCTGGGTGACGCTGACGATAGGTCCGCTGAAGGTCGCAGAGGAGCCGCTCTCGGTGATGGAGACGACGGATCCGCTGAGGGTCCCTGAGACGACAGGTCCGCTGAAGGTGGCGGACTCGGACCCGCTCTTGGTGATGGTTACGACAGGTCCGCAGGGGGTGGCCGTCCCAGACGACGCACTCTTGGTGACGGACACGATAGGTCCACTGAAGGAGGCGGACGACCCGGTCTCTGTGACGGAGATGACAGGCCCGCAGGATGTGGCAGACACGTACTCTGTCACAGTGACGGTGGTGACAGAGTTGACGGTCGTGCCGTTCACGCTGCTCGCCGTAGTACTCTCGATCACGTTGTGGGACGAGCTGGCGGTGGTGACAAATGGCCCGCTCGACTTGACATCCGGAGCGGGCGAAGCGAGGACGCTGTAAGACATGCATCTATCAGCGATAGATCCTAGGTTCGCTTGAAAAGATGTCTCCTAACCCGCTGAGCACCGTAGCGAGGAACACGAACTTGGCTAGCTTGAGCATACTTGAATGAGTAGGTTTAATGGATTGGATGGAGCGATGACCATTCCTCGCGAGCCTCTTTTATGTGCTCGTGTCGGTCGCCGTATTGCACACCACGGGCGAAACACACCGACGGTCCAGCGTATTGCAGTATGACGGGCGCACGCTATTGTATAGTATGACGATCTGGTGAGGGAAATGATTGTCAAAACCTGATGCTAAGACACGCCGGGGCGGTGAGTTGGTTGGAGTATCGCATTCAACATCCGCAGCCTTGCGCAGCTTTGCGTCTTGCTTCGGACCTTCGTTTGCATTGTATTTGAACTAGTGCATGTCGAGTGCAGAATAACCTTACCAATATTCACATTCCCAAAGATCACGGTTCGTTGTGAAACGAGCAGTTGAAGGGCGCGTGTCATGTATCACGATTGCCGCTACGATCTTCTTGAGTCTGCCCGTACGCAGGAAGCGCACCCGGGATATACCAGTGAGCGTAAATAACTCTGTGAGCCTGGATGCCGCTCATCAGCTTCTTGACCACTGAGCAGTAAAGTGCGCAGTTTTCAAGGAGTTTACTCACCGTCATCCCCGCGATAGCTCCCTAAACGCGTCAACACGGCGACATAGATATCTCGTCATTGCCAAGTCCAAGACCAGGGAGAAGCTTGAATCGTTTGAATGTCGAAGTCCTGCGTCGACAAGTTGAGAATACCATTGAGATGGAGGCGGCGAGAATCGCCGAAGATACAGTAAACCGCAGCATGTTATACATCCGTAGACGACTGAGGATCATGAGCATGGCGACACCGCTTAGGGAGACCGTGGCATAGTAGGGTGTGAGTCTCGCGACTGTTCATGCAGACCCCACGTGTTAACAGGCGACAACTCGCTGGAAAATCCGGTGGTTCGTATAGAAAGAGTGATGCGTCGTTAGTTCGGACAAACACTTGATTTTGAGCCGATTAGATAACATAAATGACCATCTTGCTCTTATTGCACACATTATGTATACTCACGGACCTTCACGGTAAGACAGGTACGTAGGTATTTCCAAATCATTCAATGCTTGCATTCAACGATTGTGCTGTCCTGCTGTCTTTTCCACCCCCACTCTCTTGGCTTTCATCGTTTGGCTACAGTAGAACCTTTCTCAGTCTTGAGATCTACGTTCCTCATATTTCCAACTCTTAACATTGAACGTTCGCTTTCGCTCAGCGGGGCAGGATGGCGTTCATAAGACGGTCGCAAGTCTGAGGCTGATCAAGGACGGGCAACAACATACTTAAGATTGGTGCACGACGGACTCTTGCAATACAATGCATGTGCAAAAACGGACTTCCATTTTCAAGGACTGATTGTCTCCACAATGCAGACGCGTGGGCAAGCCTTGCCAGGAGGGCAGCTATCTCGGTTGCATGATTAATCTTGTTCAATTTATCGAAGATATGGCAGCCCCACTCACGTCGGGCAAATGATAGTAGTGGTCGGCACACGCCTGGAGGGCGGCGACGTCGTGCTGATCGGTCCTCCAGGGTTGTAGAGAAGGGTCGAAGTCGCGGGAATTATCGGTCCCCCTGGGATGAACGGCAGTGGAGTGTCAGGCGCAGGGGCAGCAATGACACTTCGACACAAATCTATCAGCAACAATGGTCCGGCCGGAGGGTGAACCGACGGTGACTTACCTACTGAGGATGTATACAAGCACAACGGAACTGGCGAGCTTGAACATGCTGGGATACTTGGGAACAGGCCGAACAAAACAGTGGTCCCGGTGTCACACTCCTTTATGTACTCGTCGTCGCGGTACTGCGCGTCGCGGCCTGAAACAAGACTCGCAGCCTGACGTTGCATATTGTATTCCAAGGCATAACGGTGCGAGCCCCGACTGCGACGTCTCCGCTGAGTCCGCTCCGGTCCCGGGAATATGGAGGTCATTGCCCCCGATGGGTGCGGGCATTTGAATACCCATGGGCGGCGCTCTGGCTGAAATGATCCATTCAGGGCGCGCAGCTCTTCTCGTCTACGTGAGATAAAGGTTCTCTAGGTAAAGAGACGTAAAATTGGTCATCGGCGTGATGGTTGCCGATCATGCTGCATGCCGGGAGCCACCAGAAGAGGACTGACGGTTCAAGTCGAGTACTTCGGTTGCCTAGGTCCCGCTCCTGTCCGGACTTCTCCTACGGTGCGATATGAGAATAATGTGGATATTCCAGGCAAGTGTAGTGTATTGGAGGAAGCTTCCGGTGTGGAATAAGCTTGGATAATCGTAGCATACTCATCCAAGAACCCATTCAGAGACGCACAACAGCCTCAAATACCGCCGATGCGCTCTCCGTAGTTCGAGGCGTGATCAGCTGAGTGTTTGCTCCATAGTTTGTAATGTTGACAATTGAGGGCGTCGCCTTCTTATCTGTGACAACGTTCCTTCTGTCATAGACCGCCGCTTCAATTCATTCGTCCGAGTTGCCGAGTGCAGATCTTCCGATTCATGCTGATCACGGTGGTTCTTGAGACTCAACGGATTTGGTCCAGTATGCATGCAGGGCGGTGACAACTTGAGAGACGACTTCTACGATGTTAGCGACCGCAAAGTTCAAGAACTGCAGTCGGGCGCGAATATAATAAGCCTGGCTCAGAAACGACCAACATTGTTGTCATCGAAGGTCGCAAGCAGGTTGAAGTAGGGTCGTCGGCAAAGCGCCGGTCGCGTCACATTATCACAGATGTGACCACCGTTTGTCACGCTACAACTCAGTGGACGAGCGCGTGACGATCCTCTCAGCAAGCAGATCATACGCAGGACGATTATCTATTGCAGACCTAGTTGGAAAGACTAGCAAAGAAAATTGATTTCTGCATCGTCGTAAGGAATCGCGCAACAAGGATCGATTATTGTCTGCACGGTGTGAATAATGGACGAGCCTTGTCAAAGTCCACGTAAGCACATAGCTGCAACAAGCCATATGCGATAAGGGCCTATACTCACGTCGGATAAGAGAGGGTCGCCGACGATACGCGCCTGAGTGTCGAAAGACCACTACACGGATGTGGTGATGGTGGTGACAGGTCCACCGGGGGTGGTGGTCGACGGAGATCGATCCAAAGTGATGGTGGTGATGGCATTGGTAGTCGACGTGCCCTCGGTAATAGTGACGATGGACCCGCCAGGAGTGGTGGTCGATCCGCCTTCGGTTATACTGACGATGGATCCGCCAGAAGTGGTGGTCGCCGTCGTTTCGTGCACGGTGACGGTAGTGACCTGGTTAGTGGTCGATCCGCCTTCAGTGATACTGACGATGGATCCGCCAGGAGTGGTGGTCGCCGTTGTTTCGTGCACGGTGACGGTGGTAACCTGGTTGGTGGTCGACCCGCCTTCGGTGATGCTAATGATGGATCCGCCAGGAGTAGTGGATGCGCCCTCGGTGACGGTGACAATCGAGCCGGTGACCGACGTCGTCTCCGTAACGGGAAGCTGGCCGTTGAGGGTGGTCGACCTCTTGGCGACGGGATTGCCGTCAGGGGCAGGAGCAGCGAGGATGCTGGGGATCGCAAATCCTGTCAGCGACCAGGAGGACCGCTCGGAAGGAGGAGTCACGCATTACCTGCCGAGCGCCGAGGCTAGGAGGACAAACTTGGTCAACTTGAACATACTTCGGTGAATAGACGGTAGGGGCTGGATAGAGTGACAGTCAAACGTCGTGCTCCCTTTTTATGCTCGCGTCGTCACTGTATCGCGTGCCGTACGGGTGAAACAACCCGTCGGCCCCGCGTACTGCAGTATAGCAGGCCCTCGCTGCGGTTTGGCTTGACAATCCGCTTGGGGAAATGAACATAGAGAATGTGCCAAGAGCGTCCATAGGAGGCGGTTGGTATGAGCATCGCATCCAGCACGCGCGGCCTGGCTTCGTCTACGTGCGAACTGAACTTCGCGCGCGAAAGAACGCGAGCCATCCTGGCCTCCACAACACCAGGCTGCTGGGATCCGAACAGTTTCAACGACGAGCCACATGAGCGTCCAATGATTGCCATGGAGCGTGTCGATTTCTTCAAATAGGCTCGAATGCGACGATCCTCAGGCACACCCGCCGAACTGGTACATGAACGTGAATCGACCTGTGAGACTGGAAGCCGATAAGAGCTTCTCTTCCCTTGAGCAGTAAAGTACGAGTAATCCTGAAGGGGTTGTTGACCTAACCTCGCCTGATCAGCAGTGCCCAATATGTACCGGACAGCAACAACAGTCAACACACCTGAACTCAAAATCCAGGGATGAATTTGATGCATCTGCAATCCTGATACCCACACTCGAATGTCCAACTGGAGATACATTGTAGGCAGAGACAAAGACAGGTCACGGTGGGGATCATCGCAGCAACCTGGTGCGGTGGTTTGCACCCGTAGACACCCAACAGACGTAACCGAAGCGGCACGGCTTACGGCGAGCGTGGCAAGGCAACGTTGACAGTCTTCCTCATCAAAGGTTCGGGTAAAGGCAAAGGGTGAAGCTGGTGACGCTCTTTGCAAGGCGTCCCCTGTGACCCATCCTTGAGCAACGAATTCGTTTTCGAGAGCTTTCAGCGGATACAATGAAGGCAGAGTTGATACAGCCCAACGTGGCCATGGTGGTGGTTGTTAAGAACAAAGTCGCGCACGAAGTGGCTGAATTCGCTTGACTGCGCCGTCTTGTTGTCTCTGGACTCTTTGAACTTCACTGCGCACTCCGTTGGCTTTCATCTGGTTCACCTACAACATCCCACCAATTCTCGCATTTTCATTACCCCCTGACTTGCATCCGGGACAGTACCTTTGCGTCGTTTGTTCGACATCGCTCCGGTCTTGCGTCCGTTCTCACTCAAACGACCATCGTCAAGATTAGGACATTATGGCTGCGGGCACTAATCTCGACGTTCGTCCCATCCTGAGATCCGCAACAAATCCACGTCTTACGGATTAGATAGCGGGCGATCGAGCTCGTCCAGCGTGCCATCGACGAGGACCTGAAGCAAAACTACGCCGAAGCATACAAGCAGTATCAGAACTCGCTCGACTACTTCATGCTCGCCCTCAAGTGTGAGCACATTCTCCGTCCCTTTTCGTTAACTCCTACGCACGCGTCCGACGAAGCACTCTACCCTTAAAGATGAGAAGAACGACAAGGCGAAGGCGCTCATCCGGAGCAAGATCGAGGAGTACCTCAAGCGCGCGGAGACGCTCAAGCAACACCTAGAGAATCCTGCGGACAGCAAGAAGAAGGCGGTCGGGATGAGCAACGGCGGGGGCGACAAGAAGTGCGTGGCGACCGGCATCCTCTCTATGCGCTTGCTCATACCAGACGTGACAGGGATGGCGACGAGGACGACGTGGATCCCGAGACGAAGAAACTGCGCGCGGGGCTTTCCTCTTCCATCCTTGCCGAGCGACCAAATGTGAAATGGGACGACGTCGCGGGTCTGGAGGGCGCCAAGGCATCGCTGAAGGAGGCCGTCATCCTGCCCATCAAGTTCCCGCACCTCTTCACGGGCAAGCGTACACCCTGGCGCGGCATCCTGCTCTACGGCCCGCCCGGCACGGGCAAATCGTACCTCGCGAAAGCGGTCGCGACCGAGGCAAAGAGCACGTTCTTCAGCATCTCCTCCTCCGATCTCGTCAGCAAGTGGCAGGGCGACTCCGAGCGGTACGTCCTCTCCTCCTCATTTTCTCTTCTCTTTCTCTATCCACTATCCCTTTGCCTCTTGTGCCCTGGGCCTGACGAAGTACCCCAGGCTTGTGAAGCAGCTGTTCACGATGGCGCGCGAGAGCAAACCGTCGATTATCTTCATCGACGAGCTGGACTCGCTCGCAGGCTCGCGTGGCGAGGGCGAGTCGGAGGGCTCGCGCCGGATCAAGACAGAGTTCCTGGTGCAGATGAATGGCGTCGGCCACGACGATACCGGCGTCCTCGTCCTCGCCGCGACCAACATCCCCTGGGTGCTCGACAACGCCATCAAGCGTCGGTGCGTCCCCTCCTCCTCCCCTTCCCTCCTTCTGTTCTGATTATGCATCCAGGTTCGAGAAACGGATATACATCCCGCTCCCGGGCGCCGACGCGCGACGACGCATGTTCGAGCTTCACATCGGCAACACTCCCACCACGCTCACGCCTCAAGACCTCCGCGAACTCGCCCAACGCACCGAAGGGTCCGTCCGTCCGCTCCCTCCCTCTCTCCCTTTCTATCTCTCTCTCTCTGCCCTTCCTCCCCTTCTCGCTAACCTCCCTCCCCTCCCGCAGCTACTCAGGCTCCGACATCTCCATCGTCGTCCGCGACGCCCTCATGCAACCCGTCCGCAAAGTCATCTCCGCCACGCACTTCAAGCCCGCCCCCTCCCCGGACGGTTCCGGCAAGCAACAGTGGACGCCGTGCTCGCCCGGCGACCCGGCCGCGGTCGAGAAGGACTGGTCCGAGCTCGAGGCGGACGAGCTGCTCGAGCCGCCGCTCAAGATGGCCGACTTCGTGAAGAGCGTCGAGAGCGTGCGGCCGACGGTGACGGAGGCCGACATCCGGCGGCACGACGAGTGGACGAAGGAGAGCGGGGAGAGCGCGATATGATGACGACCCCCCTCGACATTCTTAGAGATGCGTCTATCGCGTTTTCGCCCTTTTTTTTTTGCCCTTGTGGACGCGAGACCAAAGGATCTGTAATATTATTGGTGGACATCCGGTCGTCTTCGAGGGAGTTCGTCTAAACGCGCTTTTGACTCCGGGCGGCCTGGGCCAGCAGGGGGAAATCGTAGAGTACATTATATTGATGAGGTGGACCTTCCGGCAAGACAAAGTAAACACAAGAGTATAGAAAGTAAAAGAAGAGAAAAGAGGAAAGGTTATGTACGCAGAAAAAAAAAAATCGGGAAACGAGATCCACAGCCGGAACAGCAGTGCGACGAGGAGAGCACGAGCCGGAGAGAACAAAGCGGGCGGCAGCGATATTAACAACCCTGTCCGCACGAGAGAGCTCCACAGAAGAAAAACAACAACGGGTTCCCGACAAGTCTCCCCACTCCCATCCCGTCCCCTCACTCTCACACGACCGTCACCTGCGCCTGCGCCAACGCCTGCGCGTTCACATGTATATGCCCCGGCCTCTCCTCGTCGTAACACGTCCTGATCTCCTGCACCCACGGAAACTGGACCGCCTCCTCGATCACGATCCGCTTCTTCGGCTCGGGCTCGAGCATGCGCCGGATCAGCGGCCTGCACGCGCGCGGCGACAAGTTGGAGATCGTGGTGGGCGAGGGGGCGCCCGAGGCGCAGGCGGCGGCGTACGCGGCGTAGAGCGGGTCGGCGGGCTGGGCGACGCGCCAGGGAAGCTCTTGGAAGAGGAGGCAGTAGTAGACGATGCCGCAGGCCCAGATGTCGACCAGGCGCGCGTCGTACGCTGGCGAACGCGGGGTCAGTTGGTAGGAGAAAGGAGGGGGGCACAGGAGGAGCAGGGGGGGCTTACGTTTGTGGAGGAACTGCTCGGGCGCGATGTACGGCTCCGAGCCGCAGAGCCCGGTCGACATGTGCACCGTCTTTTCCCAGGGCAGGCGGTATACCGTCGAGGCGCCGTAGTCGCCGATCTGCGACGGAACACGACGTGAGCGACACGTCCCGGCAGCGATAGAGCAGAGCGAGGGTACCTTGAGATGGCCTTTGGTATCGAAGAACAAGTTCTCAGGTTTGATATCCCGATGGGCGACGCCCTGGCCATGGAGGTACGCGACGCCGGTCAAGATTTGCTTGAAACAGCACTCGACCTCGCTCGGCGACATCCCGCCGCGCTTGATGGCTGCGTACAGGTCGCCTCCCGGGCAGAACTCCATGACCTCACACCAGTGCGCGTTTTCGTCCTGGACGAGGTCGACGGTCTCGACGACGTTGACATGGTGGAGCGTGGACGAGATGCAAAACTCGGCGGTGAGCTTCTTGACGTACTCTTTCTCCGTCTCGTTCTTTCTCCGCTTGCGGAACTCCTGTCAGGCGAATCGAAATGTTTAGATTCGCCCCGCGTTTGTCGAAAGAAAAAAAAATGGGAAGTCGAACGCACCTTGACAGCGTACAGCTTCTCCTCGCTCCGGTCCCACTTGTGCGCGAGCCTGACGACGCTCGTCGCGCCCTTGCCGATCGCGACCTTCCCGCACACCCCGTACTTCTTCAGCAAGCTACCCGCGCTCTCTCCGTCCTCGCTCTCCCTCGACTTGCGCGAACTGCCCCCGCCCGACTTCTGCGAGCTCCGGCGCGCGAGCTTCGGCCCGCTCGCGAGGAGATCCTTCAGCGTGAACTTCTGTCCTCCTCCGCCTACTTCTTCGGAACGTAGGGAGGGCGGGCGAGAGGGAGGGCGCGACGCGGATTTGGAGGGCGCGTGCGCGGAGAGGGCCGGGCTCGGCGGCGGGAGCTGGCCGTCCTTCGACTTGCTCGACTTGCCGGACAGGTTCCACGGTATCTTCGGCCGGATGCTGGAGGACGTGCTGTTCGCGCGCGAATGGGGCTGCGTCGGCGGGCGCGTCGGCGGCGGGGAGGGCGAGAGCGGCTCGACGGAGGACGAGCTGTCCGAGGCCGAGGTCGAGAGCGTCGACGTGCGCGAGACGGGTTGTGGGTTCGCGGCGGCCGGGGCCGGGGCCGGGGCGGGGGTCGTCGACATTGCGGGAGGTGCGTGGGCGGGGTCGGATGACGGGGGCGACTTGGAGAGCGCCTCGAGGTCGCGCCGGGTCCGTTCGGGCTGCTTGGGGAAGGACGAGTGGTCTTTCGGCGGGAGGGGGACCAGCGAGGGCTGTGGCGCGGGCGTGGCCGGCGTAGCGCTGGGCAAGAGGCCGCCGTTGGCCTTGATCGCGGTGCTGATCTGAGGCCGTTGTTTCAGACCGTTGACGATGGTCGTACTGGGGTTGGGGGTGACGTGTTGGGTTTGTTGGGGTGGCGGTTTACAGTCGGCGCCGTCGGGGCCCTCGCCCTCGGCCTGCGCGGCGTCGTCGGCGGCATCATGCGCGGCCATGGCGAGCATTCGTCGACTACTCGGTGGTGTGGTGAAAGGATGTTGGAAAGCGATGAAAAAGATCCGGGTATGGGTGGTGCAGGCGACAGAAGCGAAGATATGAAGTGCGTATATGCGGGGGTGTGTGTTTCGTAGTGGGGCTGCTTTAGGTGCAACGGAGCTCGCTGCGGGCGACGAGCGGAGGCGTTTACTGTTTAGCTATCATGGCGATGCGTATGGCTTGAAAGTGGCGGCGGACGCGATGGACGACGGCGAAGAGGACAGAAAGAACAAGGGAGGAGGAAGCGGACGGGACGGGAGGAGAGAGCGATTCAATTTGCGATGGCAGGGGATATAGTGTGATTACATCAGCCCTCGCACACCACTGCATCAGTGCTTTTGTGTGCTGCCCTGACACTGATCCGCGCCATTATTAGCACACCCACCACCATAATCCATTCCCCTCCACGCCGCTGGGCATGGCGGGCCCGTGGTCGTCGCTGGATGATAGAAACAGCACGGACCGCTGTTGCGTTATCAGACAAAGGGACGACTTCGTCCCGGCCTTGCATCACGAAGGAAGCTCCTAGAAGCGTCTATCGGCCCCTTTATCCCACTCAATTACTCAATCCTCGACTACGGTCTTATGGGAGCGTTATTCTCGTAGGCGATGGGAGTGCGCCCGAAGGATGACGAGAGGCGTATATCGTCCCCCGACAGATTTTCTGCAGAGTTCGTCGCGCCACGAGCAGCGCTGGCGTAAATCGCGCGCACCTTCCCCCCGTCCGCGCGTCCGCAGCCCATCACCACGATGCTGCCCCCCCTCGAACACACGTTCTTCGAAACCGACGCCACTGCCATCTCCTGTTTACCCGGGCCACCGCGAAAAAGAAAACACACCCAATCCTCGCTCTCGCATTACTTACTGAGACTCGGCGTACGTACACGAAACGCCACCCGATCAGTAAGCTTCACTCCCGCAAGCAAGAAACGCGGGCAGCGCGGCCGAATCTAACATCGAATCCGACGTCCTTCTCCTCGCGTTCTCCCCTCCAGGCCAGCGCCGATCTTCTGTGCACGCCAGCTTTCCTTTTCCAGGCAGATCGGATAGTGCGCCCGAGCGATCCGACGTCGCTGTGCTTGGCTGTGCGTGGTCGCGCATTCGACGCCACCGACCTTGGAACCCGCGTTATTCACCGTCTAATTACTCAGCACACCGTAAGTATGTACTTGCCCGAGGGGGCACAGGTAGTCCCAAGGCGGATCTAAACGCGGATACAAATGCTCAGCTGTCGAAGTGCCACCCGACCACCTCCGAGTCCATCTTCCTCGCGGCAATAAACGGTCCAGGTCAGCGCACTCCCAAACGGAGTTGATGATTTGACGCCCATGCATGTAGAGTGTCGCCCTACTTCTTCAACGCCGGGTTGATGAACACCGGGCCGATCCTCTCCACTCTCGCCTCCGCGTACGCCGCCACCATCGCCGACGCCTTACGAACGAACCAGACCCTTCTCTTCCTCCTCTGCCGGAGTTCGCCAGTGACTAGTTTGTTCTCGACAACCATCTGCGTCTATGCGAGAAAATGGAGTGGCGACAACGAGAGCTGAAAGCGGCGATAGTAGCAATAAATGCTGAACGTTTTCCCGGGCGAACGTACTCTTGAACATTCTCTGGACTAACGAAGCGAGAAGTACGATAATAGACGAGTGCGGGCTTCGAGTACTCTACATTGACCACAAATACTACCTGATATTGCGTACATGCGAACCGAGCGCGAGCGGAGACAAATCAGACGAAGAAAAAGCAAGCCACGAACACCAGGAAACGGATCGCAACATTTCCCATCAAACTGGTCATTGTAAACGAAGATAAACTCTCTGAAACCTCAATACCGGAAGGTTTTCTCATACCGCTAGCTGTGCTTGCGGGTGACGCCCATTTCCTCCGACGAGATCGAAGAGCGTTTCTCCAGCGCCATGGCCAAATCTCGCAGGCTTCCGGCTCGATCGGGGTGAGGAGCAGGAGTGAGGGCAACCGACGCCCGGAAATTCGCGATAGCTTCGTCCAGATCGGTGACTTGTTGTGTACAGCGGTAATAGCGGAAGAAATCCCAACCGAGATGACGAAGCACGTTGTAGCGTTTATCATGTCCATCAGGGAGTAAGCTCAGAGCTTCCCGATTGAGGGCGATGAGCTCTTCGAGGCCGACCTTATCCCATGACCTTTTGCTCATACGCGAGCTGATTGCCGAAGTTAAGATCTCAAGAACGCTCGCGCGGGAGAGATTATCTTCTCGGGTGTGGATCAGCATCGCACGGCACAAGGCGATCGCTTCGTCAATGCTGGTCAAATTACCAGACGCAACCCCTTGGCGAGCTAGCACCCGAGCGAATTCTCTCTTTGTGACGGAATGGCCCCGGTGTCCCTCTGGTCGCAAAGCTAGTGCTTTCCGCAGGAGTGTGACAGACTCTTCCAACAAGGAGTTATCCACCGAAAAAGATGCCTGATACCCCAACGCGATGCCCAGGTCGTGCAATACTCCGTCGCGGTCTGGCTGTAATTCAAGGACTAAGCGGCAAGAAGAGATGAACTCCCGGAGTATGTCTCGATCCCAGGTGTATTGGAAGTGATCCCATAATATCTCATTGATAGTGTCGTATGCGTGGATGCGATGAGGACGTTCTTCTGCGTAGTGGTCACGGAGTTTGCGGCAGAGGTACATAATCTCGTCAAGGTGATTATATCCCCGTGTACGTTTGTTAAAATCGCGGATTGCATCGGATAGTCTGCGTAGAGTGTGGAAGTATGCCGGGCCATCCGGACTCAGCAGTTGAAGTGATTCGCGATAAAGCGTAATCACTTCCGTATCGCTAGTGGACCCAGGAGCCGTGTTTGAACGAGGAGTCAACACTTCATGATTGGTGGCCACCGAGGGCAAGGGATCTGAGGAGATGACTGGAGTCAGAGGGGATGCTACGATGCTACACATGCGTTCGAGTAGCGTGTGTGCGGTCGGACGAGTGGAAGCTGGCTGCCAGCACTCGTATACAAGAGACTTCAAGACACGTGATGCATCATGACCTTTGAGTGGTGCTTGGGGCCATGCCGGCCGCGCGCCAGATTGAACCTGTGCGACGACAGCTATCTCGGCCACCCCGGGAAAAGGTGGCAGTCCGGTATGCGCCTGATTGTGGAGTATCATCAATGTTACGCGTGCAGGGTTGAAGTCGAAGCCTACCTCCAAACATGTACACCCGAAAGCATATATATCACTCTCACGGGTTCTGTGACAGGTATCCTGCGTCAAGAGCTCTGGCGCACTCCAGGGATAGGATCCGGCACTTGTCGTCGCTGTATTGGCTCCATCTGTCAATATGATTGAGAGCCCGAAATCGGCGAGCTTGGCATATCCGCCCCGATCAATGAAGATATTAGACTGCAACAAAATATCGGAACATCATAGCAGACTACGAGTGGTGTCCACTCACGCAACGAATATCTCCATGTACGATGGAACGTGAATGAAGATAGTCCATCCCTTGAGCAGATTGATACAACTGTTGATACATCAGAAGGTATGCTGTATGTCTTGAAAGTTTTCACTGACAAGCTTGTCTACGTCCAGATTAGATCTATCAACCTTCTGTATATATTGCAGGAGGCTCCCGTTGTGCATCCAAGGTGACACCATGCACACGAGTGGACTAAAGGAGATGCCATCTACGCCGTAAAATGGAAGGACGTGAGGGTGATCTAGGGATAACCATATGATAATCTCCCGATAAAGCCGCTAGAGTATGAATCAGTGTCGAGTTGTTGACTTGGTAGAGTAGATTAAGTTACCGGATCAACAATGATTTGACCTTCTTTCTGCCTAACGCGTAGTCGCTTCACAGCAACCTCCTTGCCAAGATAACTGCCCTTGAATATGTCGCCAAATCCTCCCGAGGCGACGGAATCACGAGAATGGAGCTGGACACCATGAATAAAGAAGTTCGAAGGAAGGCGACGAGACTGGGCGACGATCCGTACGAGTGTACGCGCAAGCCCGTGTCGGAATGCGGCATCTTCTCCCATCACTTCAACTTGCACTAAGGTCTGTAAAAGTTCAAAGAATATTGCAAGAGCTCATCATTATACCGCAGCTTACCCTCTGGAGAAAGTCAACTAGAATTTCAACGTCGGACACCTGAATCTTCAGCATTGGTGGTGAGTCCAATATGCGGGCTTGGAAAGGCAGCCGAAGTCTCGAGAGGTTGGGTACCACATGTTGGTCTAAAGCTAGATATATGGATGTAAGCCGATCAAACACAACACAAATCACTGGTAGTAGCATACGAATTTCGAGATATTCCTGGAGGTTGTTCTGCGAGGCAGGCCCTTGAGGAGGACTAACTGGAGATGAGTCGGATGGAAACGTTGCTGAACGCAAACTGATCAGAGGCGAAGAAGCTGGAGGCGCGTCCGATGGCTCTGTGTCTTTTCGACGTGTTCGGGAAAAGGACCAGGTTTTCAGCGGCTTCTTGGTCATCATAGCAGGAGAAAGTGCGCGCGTTGCAACAGGTAGGATGAAGTCGGAATAGGGTGCGGGTGAAGGGGATGATAAAGGTCAAGTGGCCGTTCGTGTACACGTCTCTCTTTATAGCGCCCACCGCCGAGCTATAACACTGCGCATGGCCATGCGAACACCGGCGGGCTGTGCCAACAGGAGCTAGATAGGTTACTCAGAGCCAGCGTGGTGCATCACATGATGATATATCTTGTCGCATTCTGGCGCGGTCCCTGTAGCCCTTGTCTCGTCTGACGACAACGAGGTGCATAGTCGTACACTGCACGAATATACTTCTGAGCGCTATTTGTTGAAAACTACTCGGCCGCTGCTGCGTTGAACGTCTTCGAGATATCTAAGACCCGTACATGTTCTCGAACATCCGGGCGTCGAAGCTCTCGTTCTCAAACTATACAGTCTCGCAAGTCTCGTTTCATAAGTACTGAACGATTGAACAAAGATGTGACCCGCTCTGCCCTTTCACGGTCGCCGTAAGCCATGTCTCCGCACTCAGGCCGTATACGTGTGTACAAAGTGTTGCGGGTTGCTGTTATCTTCTTCGTTGATGAGGTCCTCCAGTAATCCGCATCTTAATTCACGGCCATCCTCAGACAGCCAACGCCAGTTCTCGGTATTCAAATGAGCCTTCACCTGGACTTGGCAATAACGAGAGACTCGCGACGCCGTGTTGACGCCTTTAGGGAGCTATCGCGGGCACGACGGTGAGTAAACCGCTTCAGAAGCCGCTCAGTGGTTAAGAGGCTGATGTCTGACATCCAACTTAACAGGGTTATTTGCGCCTACGGGCATATGCAGAGCGCACCTCCTGGTGATCGATAAAACACCAAGCGGGATCTAGAGGGACGACTTCTTCCTGCAGGCTTCCGAGAGCCTCAGCAATTTGCACTAATGTTTCCGAGATACGCAGTGCCTTATGCATGGCTAGAGGAGGTTGTGAGTCCCAATGACGAGTGAAGCTGGTTGACGATAATCATAGTCGGCTGATCGATGGTTGCGTAGTGGAACAGCCAGGATTGTGTGAGCGATTGGAAGAAGAGCACCGCAGTCTCAGCAAACTTAATTCAGCTCGGTACGGCAACCGGCTGTTCCGCTGCCGGGACCGAGTCGGTAATCTACCTACCTACCTACATCGTACTCTGTGTGTCGTTTACCACTTCGTAACAGGAGATAGCATATGCGTTCCAGGATAACTGTGCGTATAGGCGTTCATTTCCTCTGACATTGACATTAATCGGCCGGTTTCATGCGAAGGGTACCGTTGTGCTCACTACGACAGTCCGAGGTTAGGGAACAATCTCGTCAGCCATCCGATGAGGTGTTTGTACCGACTTGCAGGTTTCCAGTCACCCCGTCCACCGCAGAGATACAGCTCTTCTACGCTCGTATTGCATACAACATCGCGCGATACGGCCAGGAGACCGGGAGAGAGACGGTCTGCCGACGGTAGGGGTACCCTCAGGCTCCGCAATCGCTTGCAACGCGTCGCGAAAGAGACCAGGACTTCAGATGTGAGGCGAGCTCCGACGCGAGCTCGGGGGGATCTGTGCACGAAGCTCATGCGCGTCGCGTTTGGGCACGAGCGAGCGATGTGGTCGAACACGTCGTCCGTCCAGTCGAAAGCGACGTTTAGGATCAGCGTCTGAAGCTGTTCGAATCGGGGCATCTGCAGTAAGACGACGGCCGGTCTCGTCATGTCTTGATCGCGCTCCTGCTGGACCTCCAGATGCTCGAGATCGGAGTGCCTGAACACCGACTTCATCGTCTGATTCCATTGTGTATCTGTTGCACGGGACTGAGGGAAGATCTGCAATCGAGTGGCACGAGGTGCAATCCGTACGACAGAGTGCAGTGTTGCAAGGTTTCCTCTGTAGGTTTGCACAGCAAGTACCGCGCGGTCGTCTTGCGATGCACAGATGTTGGGGAGTTCGACGTCCCTTTCAACTAGGTGGAATCCTAGTGATAGAGACGAGACAAACGGCATACGCCAAATACAGCGCATCGCATCCACGAAGGCTGCAATTTCCCTGGCAGTAGGAACATCAACGGCTATAGATATCGAGCGCAAGGAGCGCAGTTGGGATAAGAGGGTCAATCCGGGAGGATCAAGTTCCGGACTTGATACCTCGATATGTTCAAGGTGCAGAGGTGCAGCTTCGACCAGCGCACGAAGCATATCGGCCCGGGTGTTGATGGTGACATGTGTGAGATGAGACGTTATGAATAGTGTTGCTGTCGCATCAGAAGGGAAGTGCCCCGCACGTATGTCTAGGACTCGAAGTTTATGGCATAAGTATTCCTTAGATGTATCGATGATGGTGTGTACAGCGTCTGGAATGGGTACGTCGGATTGAAGGCGGAGTTTTCTCACCCTCCTCGAATATTCGAAGAAGCGACTAAGATTGACAGGCCGGATAAGTGAGTTTTGAAGGAGATCCTGTAGATAGAGAGGGTGGTCAGAGTGCGCAACGATCGATAGAGCCGTCCTGAGCTAGTGAGGAGTAACTCGCCTGTTGTTGCAAACGGAGTTGCAGTTTTGAGTATAACTCGTATCTGTCGTCCTGATCTGCGTAAAATGCATGAAGCAAGCGATCCTGCAAAGGCGGTGAGTGGTCAGGTTATCAGGGCCATGATTGATGGCGTATTTCGTCCTGAGCACTCACTTGTGCTCGTCTATACTCCTGCCACTCCGGGATCAAGATCAGCAGGTTGCTGAGGTCCGTGATTTCTTCCCAGAGCGCATCCAGGCCAACATCCAACCACGCCTTGCAGGTGAGGGCCATGCTGAGCAGATCTCGCCGCCGAAGTGCCTGGGTATATCTATGCATCGTCTTCGGCTCGTACGTGACCTGTTCCATAACAATCGCGATGATGTCGTGAATACGTAGAGCTTCGTGCATCGTCTTGTTTCAAGCAGAGGAGATCAGGGCAGTCGCCACAGGTGGTGTACGTGGACAAGAGTTTGGCAGTGATTCCACACACAAGTACTGTCGGGCCGTTCGTCAAACTCGTCTCGTCCAGCCATCATTCGAAGTCACTGTGCAGTGTACCAACTATCACAAACTCAGACAGGCGTGAGGGTCATGGTATTCAGGGGGGTCGCGTGCGTGTGACCACACCTCGACCCGCGTCAACGCGTTCTTGAAGCTCTACCGATCACCACAGATGAAGGTCAACATCAAACACTGGCACGGCGTCGCCTACTGGCGCTGGGACACGGGCAAAGACCGGGGCGACGGCGAGGACGAGGACGACGTGTGCGGCATCTGTCGCGTCCCGTACGAAGGCTGCTGCCCGAGCTGCAAAGTGCCCGGAGACGACTGTCCGCTCAGTTGCGTCTCTTCGATACATCTTGTCCGCGATGCCCGCCGCATCTGATCGAACAACGACGTCTCACAGTATGGGGCGAGTGCAGCCACGTCTTTCACATGCATTGCCTGCTCAAGTGGATCGGGACGCCGTCGTCGAAGCAGCAGTGTCCGATGGACAGGAGACCATGGGGTGCGCGGCCCTCTTTTGATCATCGTCGTATGTTTTTCTTACGAACTTACGCTCGTGTCACCCAGTCACCGCCGAAAGGAAAGTGGACGGGTCGGCGCCTGCGGTCGCGTCGCGTTCGTGAAACAGCCCGCAATCGCAGCGTTTCTCGCTGTGAGCGACATGAATATAAAAACCCAGCTTTCCGGATCGTCGACGAACGAATCAAGGTCAGGCCCGACGTTCAATGTCGTTTTCAACTGCAATCTCCTCCCCCCTTCTGCACGTCTCGTCGGAGAGTGATATGTACAGTAATATCAATACATTCGGATTACATCGAGCGGCGATGACCCATACCCACGAACCGTACACAACGGGAAAAAGCAAAGAAGAACGCGGGAGCACTAGGGAGGATAAGGGTGGTGAACCATAATAGAGTATATACTACCGGGTCCTTTTCCGCCGCCGCCGAGTGAGGGCGACGGCGTCACGAGTCCCGACGACGCGCGAGAGAGGGGTACAAGTACATTTTTGTGGGACACTGCATGGAAGATTGGGAACGGCCGGGTCCAGGACAAAAAAATCGTGATCGTGCGAGGGCGTGAAAAGACGGACGGACAGAGGCAGGCGGACGGGCCACGGGTCGGGTGGTATGCATATCTAGGGTATAGATATGAATCGATGGAGTCGGACCGGGTGGGTGTTGTAACAGTGTATTAGTCTTCGCATCTTGGGGGGGCATGATCTCTCTTTCTCGAACGAACGCTTTCTCTCTCTCTCTCTCTCTCTCTCTCTGTTTTTGCGATGCGGATGGCGCCCAGCCTTCTCATTGTTCGAAGCCTCCGGGGTTCGGGCCCTGCAGCGACGCCATCCAGATCCTCGTTTTGTACAGGCTGCGATATGAAGAATAGGGAAGGGGGAGAGCCCGTCGTTAGCTCTATCGCCACGCGTGAACCGCATCCAACATGTAGCTCTCTCACCGGAACAGCTCGCGCACGAGCTCGCGAAAATCTATCCTCTTCTCGGCCACAAAGTAGAACGTGAGCTTGCGGCGGTCCCTGTGCGGCCCGACCTTTCAGCTTTCCCTGCGAAATCAAGGAACGAGGAAACGATCAAGGCCACATACCACTGGTACTCGGCGTCGATGACCTCCATCGGCAGCTTCTTCTGCCGCACCTTCTGCTGGCACAGCTGGAGCGCCTTCACCTCGTCCTGCATCTTCGCCAGCAGCAACCTGCAAGTCGGCCCGTTCGTCCGTCAGCAAAAGAGAGAAAAAAAAAAAAGGTCCAGAAATGATGCTCCAAAGCTCGCCACTCACGCCGTATCCTGCGGACCCGCCTTACTGTATATCATCTTCGGCGCGATCTCCTTCCCTCCCCCTCCCCCCTGTCCACCAGCCTGCCCATCCCCGCTTCCTCCTCCTCCTCCTCCTCCTCCTCCTCCGATACCCCCACCGACCCCCATCCCGACCCCTCCTCCCCCCGCCGCCTGCGCCTTCTGATACTCCTCCACCTCCGCGAGCGTGATGGTGTCGTTGACGACCTTGCCCAGATCCTTCCCCCTGTCCGCCTCCACGATCACCAGATCGCCCACGCGCACGTCCAGGCTCAGGTTCGTGCAATAAAACAGGTCCGTCCGGCCCGCCTTGAACTCGACGATGTACAGCGGCCAGGACGCGGGCACGGACGAGAGCGGGACGCCGCGCCCGAGGCCGTCCAGGTGCGGCGCCGCCGCGTCCGACGCGCGCCGCGCGATCTGCGGCGAGCCGTACTGCTGCTGCTGCTGTTGCTGCTGTTGTTGCTGCTGCTGCTGATGGTGATGGAGCTGGCGCGAGCCGCCGGGCGAGAGCGGCATCCCGCCGGCGCCCTGCGAGTACGACGGGCGCGAGAGCGACGGCGGCAGACCGTCGTACGCCGTCCTGCGCGTATCGGGGCTGCGCTGGTGCCCGCGCACGAACGGCGAGTCGAGGAGGTACTCCTCCGCCGCCGCCTGGGGCGACCCGATCCCGATCCCGACGATCGCGCGGTTCGCGAACGGCAGCGGATGGTGGTACGGCGAGCTCGGGCTGCGTCCGAGCGGGGCGTACACGGGCAGCGACGCCGGCTGGCTCGACGGCGCCGGCTGGTCGTGCACGCTGAGCCCGCCGAGGTCGGCGGCGAGATCCTCGTCGGACAGCATGAGCCCGCCGCGCGCGAACCCGGCGCGAAACCCGGGCGGGCGCGCGGGCTCGTCCTGGTCCTGTCCTCCAAAGCCGACGACCGTGCCCCGCCGCGGCTGCACGACGCTCACGCTGTGCCGCCGGCTCGTCGTCCCGCTCCCCCTCCCCCTCCCCCTCCCCCTCCCCCTCCCCCTCCTATCCCCCCTATCCCCGCCGGATCGCCCGCGTCCGCCCAGAGCTCGCGGAACGCCGAGCCGTCGTCGAGCAGGATCTGGCCGACGTCGCGCACGAACGGCGAGATGTTCGAGATGTCCTCGGACACGTGGCGCGAGACGCCCGCGGCGGGGACGTAGCGTCTGCCGGGCGGGTGGAGGTCGTACCGGCCGGTCGACGTCGGGGGTCCGGGCGCGCCCAGAGGTGGGACGACGAGCCCGAGCCCGAGGGCGAGAGGGGGCTGCCGATCGGGGGCTGGCGCGGGCCGGCGGCGAGCGACTGGGAGCGGCTGCGGGTCGGGTCGATCGCCCACGTCCGGCCGCGGGAGGGCGAGGGCAGCGCGGGCAGGAAGCGCGCGTCGTACGCCTCCTCGTGCTCGTCGTAGGCCGTCGGGTCGCGGTCGCGGTCGGGCTCGAACTCGTCGTCCTCGAACGTGGACGCGAAGGCCATCTGCTGGGCTTGGGTGGAGGAGGAGGTGGCGGAGGAGGAGGAGGAGGCGAAGGAGAAGGAGGAGGAGCGCGTGGGGACGGACGAGGGCTGACCGCCGTGCGGGTTCAGGCCGGAAGAGGTGCGCGGCATCCACGGCGCGCGGCCGGGCGCGCCGGTGCCGGGGGAGAAGTAGGAGGAGGTGGCGCCGGTGCTAGCGCCGGTGGGCGAGAAGGAGGAGGAGGGCGAGGAGGAGAGCGGGGAGGTGCGCGGCGGCTGGCTCGCGGCGCGCGGGGTCCCGTCGGTCGAGCGCGGCGAGAGGAAGTGGTTGCGGCGGTCGGCGTCGTCGGAGACGTGCTGGTGGTGGTGGAGGGACGAGCTAGGGTTGCCGCCTAGGGGGTCCATCGTGAAGTAAGCCCTGAGAGCGTCCGCCCTGGGAGGCTAGGCGTGGACTCGGCTTCGGCACGAAGGTGATGGTGGGTGTCGGGCTCGGACCTTGGAGGGTCGTGTGATCCGCCGAACGCGAGAGGTGTCGTGGATTATGCGTGTCTAGGGAGGTATCTGTATGGCGGGCGCGGGCGTCAGAAGGCTGCGCGCGAAGGAGGGGACGGCACCAGCTGATCAGGGATCTGCCGACCGGACAGAATGGGGAAGAGGCAGAGGAAGGGAAGGCGTGAAACCTCAAGGGTGGTATACACGTAAGTTCATCACGGAAAGGCTAAACCAGCCATCGACGTTCCCCGGCGCCATGATCCGTACATCCCAGTGGGGTAGGACCACGATGGCGCGATGAAGGGAGAGAACGCGGGCAGATCCCTCGGGGAACGAAGTCCTGTTCTGCCTCCGGCCATCCCAGCATGGCGACAGCAAGCGATGGCATCCGGCAGAAATCACACAGCTCCGCGGTACCCAGAGACCATTCCAACAGAAAACTCCTCGCGCAGTCGCCAGCAACACCCCAAAGCCAACGAGAAAAACCTTGGGAGAAAAAAGAAACCTTCGGACTCACCGTATATGTTCTAGTGTCCCGGCCCCGTCCAAGAGATGTCCCGTAAAAAAAAAGGTGATGTGCGAGGGATTCGCCAAAGCCCTCCTGTATGACGGTGTTCTCTAGCGATTCTTCTAGTGCTTTGAACGTCGGAGACGGCGAGCACGACGAGCACGGTCTAGCAAGGACGGTCGAGCAAGGACGTGGAGAAAAGCAAAGGGACTCGGGCAAGGTCCGGGGACGGAGGAGGGGACACCTGATCCAGCGGCGCCGAGAAAACTCGCCCCGAGCCGCGTCGCCCGTGTGCACCGGGGAAGGGGAGACGGTCACGCGCCCCGTCCCTGATCCCATCGAGATTGGACCCCTGTGCGTACCATCCGCAGATCCAGCTAACAGACAACGCGAGATTGAGTAGGGGATACAACCAGGTCTGGATATCTACACGGATGAACCCGATCTCCTCTCTCCATAATCATGACGCAAACTGGGGTAAGATGCCTTTGAGTAAACAGCGTATTTGATTTGTCCGCTGCTTCTCGTGTCCACCTCGCGAAAACCAACTCTCGTATTGCATTCGCGCACGTCCTCGTACGTCTAACTGATCGGAAATCCCAACAGCGTAGAATAAACATCCGTATGGCGTCGTCGATTCACGTGTGGAGACCGCGTCGCGGGAGAAAGCGCCGTCCATGCGAAGAATGCAGCCCACGCCGGCGCCTGGAGAGAATGCAGCACAGAGCCCACGGGCCGGTGCACTACTGGGGAGGACGCCATCCGCGGAACCCAGCCGCCCACCGCGTCGCGTCCAACGACGCCTGTATCCTCATCGCGCCCGCCGATGTTCGGGAACTCCTTCACCGCCAGTTCCGCGCAACACTAGATCTCATCGCGCCCTACACATCGAACACGACGTCCACCGCCTTATACGCCGTATTCCCCGGCCAGACCCCGACCGGCACCTCGCACTCGACCGTCTCCACCCTCACCTCCTCCCACCCCTCCTCCCCCTCCCCCAAATCCACCCCCGCCTCCTTCTCGTCCCTCCCCTCCGCCGGATACGCGTCCTCGATCTCCTCGTCCCCGTCATGATACCCCACCTCGTCCGACACCCCGAGCCAACTCGCCGCCCACGCGCCCCACGACCTCACCGCTCCCGCCCCCGCCCCTGCCCCCTCCTGCGTCTTCCCCGGACTACTCGACGGCATCGGCGGCGGCGGCGGCGGCGGCGGCGGCGGCGGCCTCTTCTGCATCGGCGCCATCCCCTCCGTCGCCTTCCACGACGAACCCCACTCCCCTCCCTCCCCATCCGCCCTCAACCCCTTCACCTTCGCCCCCTCCTCCGCCACCGCCACCAACAAATACAACCTCACCCTCCACTCCAACCCTCCCTTCCCTTTGCCCTTCCCCTCTCCTGCCCCTCCCCCTCCTGCCCCTCCCTCTCCTCCTCCTCCCGCAATCTCCCCCACCTCGACCCCAAACGCCGGCGCCGCATCGGACGGGATATCCAACGCGAACGTCGTCCTCAGCGCCGCCTTCACGAACGACGCGTGATGCTCCGCGTGCACCCGCCTCGCGTGCTTCGCGCTCGTCGCCACCGGGCCCGCGATCTCGCCCGGCAACGACTCGTGCGCCTCCAACGTCGCCGAGAGCTAAAAATAAAAATAAAAAACCAAACCAACCACCATCCACGCCATCTCAGCTCACGCCCAGCAAAAAAAAATGAAAATGAAATAAAAAAATGAGGGAAACAAGGAGGAAAGGAAAGGGAAATAAGGAACGAGGAAAAGAAAGGGAAATAAGGAACGAGGAAAGAAGGAGGGATCGAATCGCTTACCTTCAACACCCTCGCCCGCCCCCCACGTCGATTCAGCTCCACGACGCCCAACACCGTCTCGCCCAGCCGATACGCCGACTTTGGAAACGTGAGCACCGCGACCTTCACCCCGTCCTTGTTCACGTCGTACGACACTGAAATACCAAAAAAAACACAAAACACGGGGGATCGACCTCCATCATCAGCCCCTCCCCTCCATCGTTCACATCAAGAAGGACCGGGGGGAAAAAAAACGCACCCTTACGCGGGTTGCGCGTCAATATCTCGACCGCCTCCCGACAACCCGTCAACGCGCCCTCGTCCTCATGGTCCCGTTCGACCAGCAACCCCGCCGCGGACCCGACCCCGACCCCGACCCCGACCCCGACCCCGAGACCGCGCGCGTACTCGCGCACCGCGCCGAGCGATTCCCGTTCTCGGTCGTCAAGGGGGTATCCAAAACCTTTAAGATACGCCCCGGCGATGAGATCAACAACAACAACAATGATGAATTCAAGAGAAAGAAACATACCGGGCAAGGACGTCGTGGCAGAACCGGAGGACGAGGCGGCCAAGGCGCCCTCCGTCACCGTCGGCGCTGTCGGGCCCGCTTTCCGCTTCGCGACGGGCCACAGCAAGTCGTACGGCCTCGGCGCGCGATTCACTACGACCGTAAAATAAAAAATAAAAATAAAATCAATCAAGAGTCACACGCGCGCGCCGGCCATTCGCCAAGAGAGAAGAAGAAGAAGAAGAAAAGTGTCTCTCTCTCTAAAAAAAAAAAAAAAACATACCGGAGATATGGTTGTACACCCTGATCGGGACCTTCATCACCCGACTGCTCGACGCGCTGCTGCTTCCCGATCCCGCGCCGGCGCGACACGTCCCGACGACGAGCTGGTACGAGAACTGGAGCGCGCGGCCGCGGAACGTCGGCGGCAGGTTATCCGGGAGCACGAGCGAGTACGTATCTATATATAAAAAATCAAAAAAATCAATATTGAGATCGCGTCGCGGGGGTAACACGGACTCAGAAAGAGTACGAGAGAGAGAGAGAGAAATAAAGAAAGAGATACGCACAGGTCCTCGACTCGCCCGGCGAGAGCGCCAGATCGACCGCGAGCGGGGCAGGCTGAACCTCGAGCGTCGGCAGCGGCTCGTCCGGATCGACCTCTTCCTCTCTATCCCCCGCCGCGCCGTTCACCGCGATCCCGAGGCCCAGCCCCCCGTGTCCGTTAGCAGCTGCCACCGACGACGCCGCCCTGCGGTGCCCGCCGGGCGACGACGACGACGATCCGGGGGAAAGCAGCGCCGCGGGCGACAGGAGACCGAGCAGGCTCCCGGATCTGGCGTGCCTCTTCGTCGTCGTAGGCGGCGCGCCCAGGCGCGGCGTGGTGACGGCGATGTCCATGCTGCCCCCGCCGAGCGCGCGGCGTTTGAGGAGCGCGGCGCGGAGGCGGGATAGGGCGGGCGAGGAGGAGGAGGAGGAGGAGGGAGGGGGGGGCGGAGGACGCGAGGACGAGGGTGCCGGTGAGCTGGGCGTAGGCGTACAGGATGAGCTCGGTGTTGGGCGCGGTGGAAAACGAGGCGGAGGAGGAGAAGGCGGTGCGTGGGGCCGGGGGTATGTTCAATGAGGAGGAAGAGGAGGAGGAGGAGGAGGAGGAGGGCGTGGAAGGAAGGCCGAGGCCGAGGTGCGCGGGCCGTCGGGGCGGGTAGCGGTGCGCGGGCGGCGGGGATGGCGAAGAGGTCGAGATCGAGGGCGTGGGCGGGATGGGGACCGGAGGCGGAGACGGCGCGCTGGTGCTTTCGGAGATGGGCGCGAGCGAGAGCGTGAAGGAGGTGCTGGGCGTGGGCGGGACCGAGCCCGCGTCCGAGGCGCTGGAAGAGGACGCGGTGAGGATGACCGAGTCTTTGCGCGCGTGCGGGTGGCCCGGGCGCGCAGGGAAGGCGGCGGTGCGCGCGAGCGGGGAGGAGATCTTGGGCGAGTGCGGGCCTGCGTTGCGGCGGGGGGTCAGCGCCGCGCACGATGCCGTCAGGATATGGAGGACAACTCACTGCGGACGTCCTCGGGCGTGTTGGGCGTTACGGGCGACGCGGGGCGCGCAAATTCATGCGGGGCGGTGACGGACACCGAGAGCGCCTTGCCGCCCATCTTATGTCTCCTCTGCTCCCCATCGTGCTCCGCCCCGACCTCCTTCTTCCTCTCGGGGCCAACGAGCCCCTTCCGCGCGTACGTCCTCCCTGCTCCTGCAATCTTCGTCTGCGTCGGTGTCGCAGACGCCCTGGGCGTACCCGGGCTGGTTGGCGGGCGCGCGAGCGGCGCAGAGCTGATGGAGTGCGCGCCGCGTCGGTGGTGCCCGTGCGAGGCCGAGCGCGCGACGGAGGGCGCGGGCGCGGTGGGCGAGCGCGTGTTGGTGAAGGTGATGGTAACCGCGAAGGGCTCGCCGGCGAAGTAGGACGACTGCGAGGGCGTGACGGAGACCCGGATGCCGGTGTCGGTCGCCTCGGTCTCGGGCGTCGCGTTCATGGTTGTTTTTCTTTGTGGTGACGGACTCTATTGGGGATCTAGATGCCGTTGTAATGTGTGTTTAGGTATAGCCGAGGTGTATCGAAGACTCGAGTATGATACGTCGGGGGGTATAGATGCGTCGTGTTGTTCTGCGGAAGGTGGGCAGAGAGTCGGGGTGGGCGATGTCGGCAAGGTCGGTACGGGTTATAGCTCGCGTTTGCGGCGTTCCGGACCAGGGTCGGGTCGAACGAGTCCGGCTTTCTTGCGTCGACGAGCAGCCGATCCGGTCGAAAGCTCACAGAGTGGGCACCGCGCCTACGTGGCGGGCGGGAAGGACGGAGCGAGGTTCGGGTCGGAGGGGCCGTCACACACGTCCCAATCGCGTCGTCCGCCTGCTTCGGCTCTTTGCACAGGACGACGACGACGACGAGCTGCTCACTCTCTTTTGCTTAAACATACGCGCAAGCTGGTACCGACCTGCTTCGCGCTTGGCTTGGCTACCTTCGATACGTCTATGCGCCCAGTTCATGAGGCTCATGCGTGGCTGGGAACACGGCGCCGGTTCATCGCGCTGGCTCTCTCGGTACGGCATCCCTCGGGGCCGACACCCACACCTCCACTCGGATTCCCAAGAGCCGCGATCCGTGCCACACATACGAGCGCGTCTGGGCACGCCTAGCACGGCCTCACCGTCTACATGCTCTCTGAAAATCTCCGTCTCGCGATGCTTGGTCGAAAGTTCGCGTAAACCACACACACTCGTTCCACAGCGACGGCGGCGCGACCCCCGTCGCCCAGCTCTCGAGGCGGCGGCGGCCATTCTATCGTGGCGAGCTTGAATCAAATGAGGTCGTGGCTTTCATGCGAAACGCGATAGGCGCGGAAAGGGCAGTCAGAACGGTCGACGAAGTGGAGCGGGGCCATCCGGGCATACTTGAATTCTTTGCTTCCGTGCTCTCGTAGCCGATAGCGTGCAGGACCAGACTGCGTGAATGGGTTTCGCCTGCGGTTTTTGATCGTGACTAGGGCGAATGATATTCGATCTACGCTATGTCGCGACCAGCTACTACTGCCCATGCATGCAGAAGCCCCGACGCCAACGGCCACGTTCATCTGCCAGAGCATGTGTAAATCACAGATCGACTCTGGTTCTTGTCGGCTTTGATTGTCGAGTGTGATAGCTGTCCCGTCGGAACTACATGCACGGCTACCTGCACTGTTTGAGGTTGTCAACGCGAGTGGATGAAATGGCTATCACGTTTTGCGTGCTGTTTCTTCCATGCAGGCGGACAAATACGGCTCTATACGAGGTGGACTACGTCAACGCGCCGACTCGTCAACCAACACTAGATCGAACTTCTCTGAGCAGAATCGGATTACAAGTGCCATACAATGAATAGAACGAGATCGGTCGGCCACCTACGCCGTCGATGTCAATCCGTCTGTGGGGTTCTGTACGTCCGCTGCGCCCGCTTCATCGACATCATCCACCTGTACGTCCCAAATCTTCACCGTCGTATCCTTGCCGCCCGAAACAAGCCGCTTGCCATCAGGAGAGAATCCGACGGAGTAGACGAAACCTCCGTGCTCGCCCAACGTCTCCATAACGCTCTCTCCCGTATGCGCATCCCACAACCGGATGGTGGTGTCGTAAGAGCTAGACGCGATGTACTTGCCGTCCGGCGAGAACGCCACCGACGGGACCATGTCGGTATGCTGCATTATCCTCCACTCCATAGTCCTCGTCTTAGCGTCCCAGATCGTGACCGATCCGTAGGTGGAACCTGACACGATGCGCGTGCCGTCAGGCGAGTATGCGATGGAGCAGATCGGGTCGTCGTAGCCGTCGTCGCACGGTGTCGATCTACATTGGATAGCACTTCTTTCAGGACACGCTCGCGGTACTGCTTAGCGCTTGGCGGCAGCGAAGAAAGGGTGCTCAAAACGAGAGCAAGGTCGGTCACGTTCATCCGCATCTGCGTATTCGTTCCGTAGCCGTCGATCAGGGTGTCGAGAGCTGCAAGAAGGCCGGTCGGGTCCAACTCGGACACATATCGCATCGCCTGTTTCCCCGTATCTAGCCTTCTATGTCAGCACAAGAGCAGGAGCGGCCAAGGAAGAGGTTCGCTGACCTGAAGCCATCAGTGGATCAAGTATATCACGTTCCGCATCAGGAAGTCCTCCGCTCGTGAGCTTGGTAATGACTGCCTTGGCCTTCACACCGAAGAATTGGGATATCTCGTACATAAACGATTCGACTCCTGGCCGAGTAGCGTCAACGTCTGGCAATGCCTCGATGAAGGCGCTATCCAGAAAAACCTCCTGATCGGGCTTGGCGGAGAGAACGCTGCACGCGACAATGGCGCTTATGAGATCTGTGGTGCGCGCTATGCGCACATCACGCTCGATGGATCGATCAGCCCGTAACACCTTCAGAGTCTCGTATAGTCGCGGTCCATTGGCGAGCTTCGAGATGGTCGTGAAACCATACCCTATTCCGGTATAAGTCATATCAGAACCGTTATCGTATATCAAGAGCTGGAGGGCGCACCGGGTGTCAGTAATATGTTGAAAATGCTCCGCTCGGTGCCGGAAAGTCCACGAATGATAAGAGCGTCCAATATCCTGGCTACTTTGCCGTAAAACATATCTGATAGTTTCTTCGATGCCGGTGCGATTTTCAATTTAACCCAGGAAGCGCTGAGATCCCGTCAAAGCCAGGCTTCGTCGCACAGAACTTCCCCAGCCGTCTGCATCCAAGTATGAGACATGTCGTCGTCGTCTGGGAACGCGGAGAGAGCGAAAAGGACGTTGATGATTTGCGGCAAGCGTATCCGTGGGTCTACTTCGATTTCTTGTTTAATTGCAGTCAAGGCCTTCAAGAAGGCGGAGGAATCCGCATTAGCTGTGGTAAGCTCCTTTTCACTATCTGGAGGGCGGTTGAAATCAATTGAAATTCGATATCAAAGTGCGACCCACCTGATGATAACCATGTGATGAGAACCCCGCGATCGCTAGACGAAAGCTGACCCTTCAAGACATCCTGAACAACCTTAGGGGCCGATATATAGTGGTCATTCTCGATCCTCTCCTTGTCGTCGGCTATGGTTTCCCAAGTCAACAGGGGTGACATCGACGCCATAACCAACGTGGTGTGATTAAACAGTTGACTTCGCTGAATAACACGGATATGACGAGTACGAGTACATAACGCAAGCATTTTCGCGACCACGCGACAGATCGTCGAGCGTTGACAGCATACACCTGAAAAAAGAGGAGAGGGTCTGAGGAAAGCTTGTGCACTCATAAGCGTGCGAACTTGCCTTCTAAGTCGCCTACGAAGGTTTGCGCTCTGTAAGATAGCCTACAGGAACCCACCACTGCTCCCCGTCCCAAAGCGATCTTTCAGTCCCGCAGAATCCTTGATAATGCGACTGCGCGTCTTGTCGTCCATCAGTCGACCGCCCATGCCCAGATCGCGATCGCGGTCCCAGATGCCCTTGAACTCCTCCTCCTTCGTCGTGTTTTCGCGCTTGGCGTGCTTCGCGAGGAGGGTGTCGCCCCGGCTAGTACGCTGAAGTGAACGAACGACGTCAGAGCGGGCTTCCGCCCAGAGACAAGACGACGAGGCGTACGGTATACTCTTCGACGCCCCTCCGGATCTCCGCGTCCCGTCTCGCCTTCTTGGCGGCATTGACCGCGTCCTCGTCGTTCGTCGACGCGTTCTCGACCCGCCGCCGTTTTCCGGACACTTCGTCGGCGAGCCGCTGCTGACGCTCGGCGGGCGTCTCCGTCCAAAGCGAGTTGTCCGTGTCTCTCGTGCCCGATGTTTTGGTAGACGTGTTGAACTTGCGAGGTCGGCTGAGTTTTGTGGGGTCGAGAGCTGCGGACATCATGAAATTCGTGAGACGGGCGAGTCAAGTACGTCGAGAGGGGCTACTCACTGGCAAGGAGGCCTGAAGACGAAGGCGGCTTGAGCATCCACTCGTCACGTTCCAGTTTCTTGGGCTTTGCAGCTTCCTAGATGAGAAACGTACTCGATCAGCTCACGTCGTGCACACCACAGTAAGATCCCGACTTACCTCCGCCGCCTTCCTCATCCGCTCCTCCCTTTCCATGAACTCCGTCACCGCATCCTTCTTTTCTGCGCCATAGCCCGCAGGAAGAGGTCGGGGGCCGAAATCGTCATCTTCGTCATCGTCCTCGTCGCCGTACCCAGGCGCGCTATGCATGGGCTGGCCGAAACCAGGTGGCATGGCAGGTCCCACCAGTCGTTTCGATGCAGTACTCGAACCTCCAGCACCACCTCTCGATACAGCAAGATCCGGCGGTAACATCGGCACGTAGTCATCCTCGTCGTCGTCCTCGTCGTCCGGCGGAGGTTTCACGGTAGCAGGAGTCGGCCGTGGGGCATCGTCCTTTTCTCGAGATAGCACTGTACCAGTACGAGGGCGTTCTGGTCCTTCAGCATCTGATCTAGAAAGACTTTCAGACCGGGTGGCACCTGCTGCGAGGATGTGAGCTGGGATCTCCGGGCCAATGGACGACATGTTGCAGGTTGCGCCGCGCGGGCGCTTACCGCCGGGCTGCTGGGCGCTTGAGTGGCGCTTATTGTGTTAAACCTTGTTCACGGTGTCGGCCCGACGATGCCCGATGCAGGGGCCGGACTTCGCAGGGCTGGAGCTCGACGACGTCGACCGTAAACCCCCTGAGCAATGGCGCAACGGCCTTCAATGCTACGGCCGTCTGTAACTTGGCCAGTTCATCATCCTCCGCCAAGTACCTAAGAAAAGCTCGGCAACGCATCTTGGCTCGGCCATAGACCGGTGAAGACGAAATCATGTTCCCCGGTTCGATACGGAGCTGAACTGCCGAACAGTTTATAGGGACTTCGGTCAAAGAACTTTGGACTACACCCACTTGACCGCCTTCACGATTTCCCTCCTCAAATCCTGTCAAATCCCGCGAGGCCATGTCGCAGCCAGTTCAGATGCGATCCGCGACGACGTCCGCGACGCCCACCATCGCGGAGCGCCCTCGACCATGGTACCGAAAACTCCTCGCGGCCGCGCTCTGGTTCGCCATGGACCAATGGTTCCTGATCATGGTCGGCATCCTCATCATTATCGCGTCCCAGGTTCAAGTCCCCGCTGCGCATCAGTCCATCAAGAGCGAGGTCATCAGCTACCTCTGCGTCGCGATCATCTTCCTCATCACCGGCCTGACGCTGCCCACCAAGATCCTCATCGCGAGCGCGTCTAGGATATGGTTGCACCTTTTCGTGCAGTCCTTCTGCTTTCTGTTGGACTCGGCGAGCGTGTTTGCGGTGGTGTCGATCATAGGGACGAACCACCATTTCATGGACGGCGGGTTGATGGTCGGCCTCATTTTTATGGGATGCATTCCTACTACGATATCATCGAACGTCGGTACGTCGTATACGCCCTGGATTACTCAGCGCGATCTGATGGAATACACCTAGTCATGACCCGCGCCGCGCACGGAAACGACGCCATCACCGTCGTCGAATCTACTCTCGGAAACGTCCTCGCACCCTTTCTTACCCCGCTTCTCATCAAGATGTACCTCGCGTGCGACGCATGGTGGACCCACGCCGTTCCGCCCTCGGCAAGCGACCTCTCCGACCTCTACCGGCGCGTCTTCAAGCAGCTCGGCCTAAGCATGCTCGTCCCCCTCTTCGTCGGGCAGCTCGTTCAAAACGCCTTCCCCGCACCCGTCAAGAAAATCATGACCGGGTACAAAGTGTCCAAGCTCTCGAGCTTCTGTCTGCTCGTCATCATCTGGTCCACGTATGACAAGGGGTTCGAGACCGGCACCTTCACCTCCGTCCCGGGGTCGAACATGATCCTCGTCGTCTTCGTCTCCGTCGGCTTCTACCTCCTTTGGCTGGCCCTCTCCGTCGTCCTATCCAGGCTGCTCCGATTCAGCAAGCGCGACACGATCGCGGTCGCCTACTGTGCCCCGGCGAAGACGCCGGCGATGGGTGTCCCCCTCGCGAACGCGATGTTCGCCCACCTCGACGGCGTCACCGCGTCCAAACTCCAGATCCCCCTCGTCATCTTCCAGGGACTGCAGATCGCGGGTGGCAGTATAATGACCATTCCGTTCCGGAGGTGGGTCAGAGACGAGGAGGAGCAGGCTAAGTTGCAAGCCGCCGCCGACCGCACCAGCGAGACCACGGGCAACGATCAGGACGCTCCTGTTGGCGACATCGAAAAGCGGGGTGAAACACTGTCAGACGCAAAGCAATGATGATCTTCCTGCATGCCGTAACGTTCTCCTTGGATCGCATTTAGAGAACCTTGTGAGTCTGCATTGTTCGATCACCCTGTTCACTCGCTCACTTCATCTACAGAATCTACGCTAATCTGTTATGCTCACGTCAACACTCTAACGCATGCTTATCGATTCGTCACCTGTGTACAGTCTCATCTGAAAAATGCAGCTCCTTCAGCATGTGAACATGGGGACCGAGCGTCCTGCTTCTAACCGCTCCGGCATTGGCGGAGTCCGGTATTCTCGATAGCCTTTGTGGCGCTCCGGCGCATCCGGCAGATGCCGCTGCTGCGCTCTACCGTCGGGAGCGCCTTGCTGACTTGTGTCTCCCTTTCCCGCGATCGTTCTTACTGCGAGAAGCTTGGCATTGGCTGAGACTGCACGTTGAAGTCGACTGCCCACAGTGAGGCGAGAGCGATTGTCGACGAGGTTGGAGTAAACCAACTGAACCCTCGTGTCGGTCGGCCAAGGCATCGGATCTCGATTGCGACAGGTTTTGAACACCCTGGTACAACTTCGTCATGAGAGAATCCGTGGCGTTAGAGTGGTCTCATCCAATCGTACGTCTTGGCTCTCTTTTCAAGCTCAGTCAACGTTGCTCTCGCGAGTCTTTCATCTAGACTGCTTTCCGTTATGCTTTACCCACAGCGACACACGTGACGGCATTCCGTTCTTCTCCTTTGGAAGGTAGTCAACTCTCTGATTCGCACCGTTCATAGCCCCTTGACGATGAACGCTTTTCCCGAAAAGCGGGGTGGAGCGGAAACATGGCCTCTTGCCGCCACGCTTGACGTCGGCGTGGCTCACTCCATTGCCCCCTCTCAATGTCGGAAGGCGACTGCGCATAGTTGGGGATGCGAATATTCGCCATTCTCCTTCGCGCAGTGGTGCGCACGGCGCTCCGTTGAGTGGAACACGAGCCATAGAAACACGATGCCAGCGCCTTGCCAAGGCTGATCTGGTATTGTCATGCATATTTCCGGTCGTGCAGAGCAGCGCCAGGGTGCATATCGATTCGGCACCTCTCATACGTTCTGCGAAAATCAAGTTCGCATCATCCTATGGTGTCCGTTATAAGCAAACCTCGATGTTCCAGGTCATGACTTTAGGAAATCCCTCACTTTCGATAAATAGTGGGTGTCCGTACCTGATACGCTCTTTGATGTTATCTCATACGTCGCAACCGCGTTGTCCAGAACAGGATGAGCGAGGTCAAAAATCGAAGTTCAGGCACTACCTCCATGAGGACGTCGACAGAGTCGTCCCCATCCCCAACCACATCGTGCAGGAGCGACCACTCTGATTTCGACGCGCCCTCGCCGGCATGATATGGCTCTTGATGGACCAGTGGTTCCTGATCATGGTCGGCGTGCTAGTTCTGCTCGCGTCCCAGATTCAAGTCCCAGAATCGCACCAAGCATCGAAGAGCGACGTTGTCAACTTCCTTTGCGTCGGGATCATCGTTGCGATCACGGGTCTTACGCTGCCCACACAGGTGCTAATCAAGAGCGCCTCGCGGATATGGCTACATCTATTCGTGCAGGTTTTCTCGTTCCTCCTTGATTAGGCGACCGTATTTGGCGTCGTCGCGTTGCTGGGAACGAACCACCATTTTATGGATGGAGGCCTGATGGTCGGGCTCGTTTCTATGGGTTGCATCTCAACGTTGGTGCGTCATCTCGAGCCACCGGCCCTCTCGCCCAGATCGCTGACGTCCTATGTAAAGTGATGACCCGAATTGCACATGGAAACGACGCCGTGACGGTCGTCGAGTCCACTCTGGGCAAAATCCTCGCGCCCTTCCTCACTCCCCTGCTTATGAGCATGTATCTTGCTTGCGACGCCTGGTGGACGCACTCCGTCCCGACCTCCTCGAGTGACTTCGGCCCGCTTTATCGACGCGTCTTCAAGCAGCTCGGGCTCAGCATGCTGCTGCCCCCTTTCGTCGGTCAGCTCGTCCAGAACATCTCCCCTTCGTACATCAAGACGATCATGACGAAATACAAGGTGGCGAAGTTATCAAGCTTCAGCCTGCTGGTCATCATCTGGTCGACATATGACAAGGGGTTTTCTTCGGGCGCCTTTACGTCCGTCCCCGGGGCGAACATGGTCCTTGTCGTCTTCCTTTCCATATGCACTATGGCTCGCCACCAGCGTCGTCGCATCCAGAGTCGCAGGACTGAGCAAGCGGTATACGATCGCGGCCGGGAGTGTGGCGACGATACCGTTCAGGAGGTGGGTAAGAGAGGAAGAGGAACGACTCGGAGGGGGTCCCAAATCAGTCAGTTGTATCTCCAGGGAGTTGTCCGACCCCATGAGGCTCGCGGACGGGTGGGATTCGGAATAAAGGGTGTGGACCATGAGGCAGGTGGATGCCGAGACTGGGATGCGTGATGCAGAAAACTGAAGGCTAGCAGGGATATGCAGTCGGGTCAGATAGCATAGCTCAACAGTAGCTGCATCGTGTTCTCCTTATCTATCGATATAAAGCATGGGAAGACTGACTCCAAAATATACTTATTACTGACGCTGCAGCGGTGAGAGTTGCCGTGGGACGGAGGAGTAGGAGGCATCCAATAAGGGATCATCTGTACGATGCTCGCGTTTTCAAGAAGAAATGACGGGATGGGTAGCTTGAGGCCGGAGCAGTTCGATATGCTGCCACGCTGATCAATAATCTCTCGTGCATCTATATACACGACGCCGACACATTTATTCGATACAGATTAACATTACTACGACCAGTACATTGCGGTGGTCAGACACACAACTTCGACGGCTTCCTATATATGTCATCTTCATTGTTATGCGACTCCTTTTGGTCTCCAGTCAGAATACTGAGAGAGATGCCGTAAAGCCAACAAACCAGACTCACAGATTCAACCGTTTACGCCCACAGGACGCCCATTACTGAACGCCGATTCCACCATGTATCGCAGGAACGTGCTATCGCCTGTCGCGCACTTGGTGAGCTCTCTCGGCGCAGCGCCGGGCGTATCAACCCTCCACACGCGCGTGTCCTCGCCGAGGACAAGCACGACGAGAAAGCCATTGAGCATCGTTGGGTCGGCCAGGTTCCCAGCGTAGTCCCCTGTGTTCAGAGATCCGCCACCCGCATCGCTTGCCCGTCGCTTCACGTCGAACAGCGCGACAGGCCGACCATGAAGTCCACCGTCCACGGGCTCGAAGCCGTGTTGCATCGCCCACGCGCCTTCGACGCGTGTGACAAGGTAGTCCGGGCGTGCCGCGCCGTGCTGGACAGGCCCGCGCGTGGCGGATTGCGGCGGCTCGATCATGTAGGAGAAGGAAAGGGTGTAGATGGACGAAAGGATGGCCCCCAGTGCGCCGCCGAGCGAGGAAACGTCGCGCTCGGGTTGAACTGCTTCGGCTCGGAGGCGGCGGAGAGCCCAGTCGAGCTCGCGTTCGACGTTGGCGACCGCGGCAGTGATCGAGGCCGGATCAATGTGGTTAGTTGTGGCCATCGCGAAGAGGAGTAAGAGATGGTCTGCGGCGCTGCATCGATGGAGCTACTGATGTATAGACCAAATAAAGCCACGAAGAACAATGGTGCGCCTTAGCTTGGCTCAAGCGCTGAACATCGTGACCATATTTCAACACGTCGCGTCACAGGCGTCACACTCCTAAAGCAACACAGCAAGTCTACTTCAGCAGAAGCAAATAATATGACATTGCACATTGCAACAATACGCTTGCAGACGTTCGCCCCTTCCATTCCTTGAGAACGGCACCCGACGTGGTCCCATCTCAAGCCGTGATGGTTATCGTCTCGCCGCCGCAAGTGAAGGTGCACGTAGAGCTGGATGGGCAGCTTGTGAGGATGTTCAGCCCTATGCACAGTATACGCAAACCCGCTCTTAACACTCACTTAGGCAGCTCACAGATCGGGGGAGTAGGAGTGGCCCTGGGGTAGACGGTACTGGTGATGCAGGTAGCCGTGCATGTCTCACCGACCGTGCACCTGGTGTACAAGGTCACGTTTGGAAAAAGAGGACGATTGAATCATGTCTTACAGAGGCTCGTGACAGATGAGCGTGGTGGTGGGCACCGGGGCCTCCGTAATGGCGGGGGTAGCCAAAGCCCTGAACCGTCCATTAGCACACTTACGAGAAAACGTATAGAGCTCACCCACCCAACGCAGAGAGCAGCAAGGACGACGAAGTTGGTGAGCTTGCACATGTTGCGAATCAAATGTGTAGAGCCGTGATGTTGTCTTTCTACGATACCTTGCACGTCTTATATAGTCCAGTGTTGCGTAGTGAACGGACTAGTCTCTTCCATTCCAGGTCGGCCGTGCCACGGCTGGTGCCCCAAGGCACTAAACTGGTACCCGTATCTACCCTGATTACGTTCGTACGCGGGATCGCGGCGGCAATTAGGAGAAACTGTGTATTCGACCATCATATTCATGATGGATTTAGTCCTCCCGCAGTACAGTCAGCCTTCGGAGTCGCCGTCCTGCAGTCCGAAGCGTCATCTCCCGTAGTTGAAGGAGCCGCACACTCAATCCAGACGGTTACATACCCAGGACCCTATCCCATGCAAGAATGTCTGGTGGGGTGTAGGAGTAGACCAACACGGTGGCAGCACCGACTTCTGTCGTTTGGAAGTGAGTGAACGTGCGCGGAATCCGCCTGGGTCTCAGCTGGTTCTGGGTTAGACACGCAGATATGCAAGCAGCGCCGAATCAGGGCAATCATTCCAGAGAGTGTTTGCCCTCTTGTTGCCGAGCATCAAAGCACAAGGAAAATCGGTGGAAGAGCCCGAATAGGGCACACTCACGGACTGCTACGTCAGTCCGAGTGCCTCGGGGTACGCTCCATAACGACTAAAGGGTATAACGCCGACCAGGCGGTAGCCCAAGGGAACCTAGTGCACAGTAAGCCTTGCGTCCGGCGCGCAGCCCCATGCCATCCTTGCCGCTTTTCCGATGAAGAGTGACGTACATCCGGGCAAGTGATCCCGTTGATAGTTTTTACCTTCGAGTACGGGGAAGATCGCAGTCTGGGGCTGTGGTGGCAGTTTTGAGATACACTCCGTAGTCCGCGGTTACAGACAAGCGCCAAATGCGGACGATAGTAACGCCCAAGCCGTGGAGGCATCCAGTTATGGAATGTGCAGCGATGTAAACCGGGGCGGCTAAGTCTTTTAGGAAGCGACGGTGATCTGGTGAACGTCCGTTAGGCCGGCGCGTTGGACGCAGTGGACACGAGCAAAGCGAAAGAGGTGACCAAAGGCCTGAGAGAAAGTCACTGAATGGCTCATCCGATGCTGTGACTATGTTACGCCGTGACTTGCACGACCCAGATGTTCAACTCCCAACGTTCAAGAGAAGGCATAAGCCGAGTTCAGTTTGCAGCAACGGCGATGCCATTCCATGTCATATATATACGAAGCGGTCACAAGGGCGAATATTTTCAAAAGGCGAAGATCTCTTGACAGGCCCACAAGATATGTGTATCACTCTCAATCTGAACCCGTTTTGATTTCAAGCATTACGGACTAACTGTTTCCACGATGCAAACCAACGGGCATGGTCCGCCTCGTGTACACCTGTTCCTGGCTCGTGAGCATTCATACTTCACATTGCCCGCATCTTGTAATCCACTCACGCCGGGCAAATAACGGTGGTTGTCGGCGCGCGCTTGGAAGACGGCGACGTCGTAATGATTGGTCCTCCGGGATTGTACGGCAGAGGTGTGTCAGGTGCCGGAGCAGCGAGAACGCTATGAAGAGCATTCTATCAGAGACGCGGTTTCATTGCTGAAGAAAGATCGCGGCTTACCTCCCGAGAGCTGCGGTAAGGAGGACAAAGCTGGCGAGTTTGAACATCTCTGGGCCCCTCAAAGGTAGAAAGGATGGAGCGGTGAGTTGTTATCGCGCTCACTTATGTACGCCGCCTTGTACTGCGTCCCACGACTGAAACATACCAGCACGCGGGACTCGCTCCGTGAAGAATGCTCCTGCACTGATCGCAGCAGTGCGCTTGCGACTACGAGTATGCTAGCGCGCTCCGGTGAATGGAAACATAGAGGTTACCGCCGCCGATGAAGGCGGACCGCTATAAGCGGTGCTCTAGCCCGAGCGGTCGCAAGCGCCGGTATACGCGCCATAGGTTAGCGGTGGCGGCCCTCTAGGCACCGTAACAGCGGTAAACGGCGTCTCCACAGCTAATCGGACTACATTCCAGGAGCAAGATACAGCGAGACGGTCAGAAAAGTTCGGTACTGCCATGTTCGTGGTCCCGTTTTCATCCCAAATTCCAGAGAATACGGCATGTAGACGAGAAATTCCCGTGTGCAGAATGAGTAGAAATCGCAGTAGAATATAGCACGCTCTTGAAGCCAAGGATGCGGGAGAGCACAGGATTGATCCCCCGAAAGCACGATGCTCCTCGTCATCGAGGTGCTGTTTTTCAATGCTGAGCAACATGTTCAACCATTTCCGGCGTGAGATCGCGGCCCATTGTGTACCTACCCTCGAGCTGATACGGCTTCTGATCGAGCCTCCCGGTAGAGAACGTCGAGGTAGATGGTGTCGATATCAGGTCTTCGAGATCGCGGAACATGAGTCTAGGAAGCGGAAGAGGTCAGCGTAAGGACGGACCTGCATAAAAGGTGTGAACCCAATAGGGGATTGACATAGCGAGGTGGTGATGACATACTTCAGAGGACACCGGCATGGAGACCAAGGAGAAGAGTTTTAGCTTCGCGTTCTACTCCTGGTCTGGAGGCGGGAGTCATCGCTGTTCCTGGATCCGGCCGTTCCCAACCCGTTCCATGCAAGCGTCTCCCCAAAATGTACTCGTACCCTTCTCGCGCGTCGCTGGGACTCGTTACGCCGTCACCCTCACTCGGCGGCGGAAAAGGACCCGGTATTATATGTTCCATCATGGTTCACCCCTATCCTCCTCCCTCCCGCGTTCTTCTTTGCTTTTCCGTTGTGTACGGTCGTGGGTATGGGGCATCGCCGCTCGATGTAATCCGAATGTATTGATATTACTGTACATATCACTCTTCGATGAGAAGTGCAGAAGGGAGGAGATTGGAGTTGAAAACGACATTGAACGACGGGCCTGACCTTGATTCGTTCGTTGACGATCCTGGGGCGGAAAGATGGGGTTTCATATCATTCTCGATCACAGCGGAATGCTGCGATTCCGGGGCTTTTTCACGAACGCGACGCGACCGCAGGCACCGACCCGTCCACTTTCGTTTCGGCGGTGACTGGTTGACACGAGCGTAAGTTCGTAAGAAAAACATACGACGATGACCAAAAGAGGGCCGCGCACCCCATGGTCTCCTGTCCATCGGACACTGCTGCTTCGACGACGGCGTCCCGATCCACTTGAGCAGGCAATGCATGTGGAAGACGTGGCTGCACTCGCCCCATACTGTGAACAATGAATCGTGTTTTCGATCAGACTCTGAAGACCGTACATATAGACAGTGGATGTATGGAGAGGAGAAGACGCAACTGAGCGGGCAGTCGTCTCCGGGAACTTTGCAGCTCGGGCAGCAGCCTTCGTACGGGACGCGACAGATGCCGCACACGTCGTCCTCGTCCTCGCCGTCGCTGCGGTCTTTACCCGTGTCCCAGCGCCAGTAGGCGACGCCGTGCCAGTGTTTGATGTTGACCTTCATCGATCGCGCTCGTCGTGGGCGAGGTCGTGAAGAAGGTCAACGCAGAGGGGGTCGGTTGTGACCGGCCGCGCCATCAATAGCACGCGTCGCGTCACACGCGCTGCGTCCTTTAGCCTGATCATGAGCGATCATCTTGGGCTACGCTGCTCGTACATCTCCCGTCATTAATCGCTATATCCCCACTGAGATGGTGCACATACTCTTTCTCCCTTACGAAATCATGGCGCATGTAGCAGAATACGTTGCCTACGTGGTCCTTGAAGAGCTGGATCCGGAAGACGTTATCATGGCAGATCTCGACCCCCACTGGCGCGACTACCGTCCATACAGGGATCTTCTCAGCATTTCCCTCACCTGCAAGGCATGGATAGAGCTCGGACTCAATGCTTTGTGGAAAGAGGTGGCCGACGTCGATCATCTCACAAAACTAATTCAATATCCCCGACGGTGGGATGAACTGAGACAGGCAAGTGTTGAGGACGAAGTACCCGAGCATTTCTGATGATGCTGTCTACAGTTCATTCCACCCAAACCGGAGGATGTAATTCTCGATCGCTTTGTCGCATACTCCCGCAGGGTGAGGACATTGAAATGCCACCCACGAATCCCCGTCCCAGGATCGGTCTTTGAGATCCTGGATGCCTCTAAGGAGAGCTTGTTCCCTCGCCTTCAGCACCTTCATTTCACTGTCACGGGATTCTTTTGGGAACATGCGACCGTCTTCATCACTTCTCATCTCACGCATCTGGAGATTAACTGCAGGGATGCAAGAAGCCAGGTCCATAGGATCCTCCACGTTCTAACAGATACCGCGCCTCCGGGCCTGGTCGGGTTGAAGGTTGCTGGGTGGACCTTTGACCCACTGGCAGCAATTATTCTATCTAAGTTACCCTCATTACGCGAGATATCCATCTCTCTACGCGACTCTGCCGGAGGGTCTTCAACTGTGCTAGACGCGGTCCAACACCTCTGGCGTATGCCCTTTCTCGATGACCTCTCCGTAACGCTTGGCGATGATATCAATCGCATAAAATTACCTCATAAGCCTCAATTTCACAAGGAGCGATTGACCGTCGCGAAACAGAGATATGTGGCACACCCTCAGGTGCTTGACACGATACTGCCCATCGCACCGCATGCCCATGAGCTGCACATTACGGCGAACTGTGACGACGAGTCAAACGCGACATCCGCGCAATTGGACCGGACACTCCAGGTCGCATTCGCGAACTCGTCGGCTGCCCTCCAGACGCTCGAGGTACGGGACTTCGTGCGCACAATGTCGTATCCCGCGACAATGATGCTGCAGATGCCTCGACTCGCAGGGCTTCGCACCTTGGTTTTCGGCATCTACCTTGAATGGACGGACGATGTCGTGAACCACATCGCTCGCTCTTGCCCAGACGTCACATTGATTGACTTCGGTCATGGTCATGGACCCGGCCTCACATGCGGCGCCTTGATCTCTCTTGCGACGCACTGTAAACAACTTCGAACCCTGACGATCAATCTCGGCTCACAGCCGGATCTCGTTGATATCCCGCCTGACGTAGAGCCCCATGATAGCTTGGTACAACTCTGCTGTTGGTATCCGCCGGAATACTTTGGCAAGTTTCTGCGGGATCTTTTCCCAAATCACCAGCCATATCCGTATTAGTAAGCGGTAAGTCGCTGAGTAGCCTATGACGAATCTGACCACAGTCTGACAGGATGCTTCTCGGAGAGGGTTTCAGGACTCCCCGTATATACGGATGCTGAGGCGCAACTCTATTAAACAGCGGAAGCTGCGCTTAGATTCCAGACAGAGCGTGGTACTGCCGTGATCACTCCAAGGAGATGATCTCGTCGTCTCACTTGTCCGGAGTGCTCACAGAGATACGTTGTAGTCATGGATGTGCTGCTCGTGTCACGCAAAGTGATCCAACGCACGGATATACTCATTGGGCCCCTCACCGAGCAATGTGTACACCAATCGGCAATAAATACAAGTCATCATTCAACATCATCAGTAGTCCCATATAGAATGACAGATTGATCATTCAACCGCGCAACTCCTTCTCCGCAATGATTACATATGATTTGGCTTCGCGGCCAGAGTGAATGCGACCCTTTTGACAGTCGTTGCAGTTCAAGAACCGCGGGATGCTAATTTCTTGAGCCCCGGAGAGAACACGATAGCGAGTCAGAGGGTATACCACGAATTCGAATATGTCGGGCGACATTCCAAGCTTCTCGACGATCTTGTTTTTCCACTGGATATCTATAACCTCCTCCCGCACTTTGTAGCAATCATTCCACGCCCCGTACGCGAAATTCAAGTCCTGAAATTGACGAGTAACGAACATGTAGCGTGAGTACTTCTCGAGGACTTCCTCCGTCGGATTTGAAGCTTCCTCGGCAGTGAGGGGTGGCCATCGAATGATAGTGAAGCGCACGTGTTCGCGAGGAAAGTCCGCCACATTCATGAAAAAATGGATGGGTCCCGAGATTATGTTGGAGCTATTATCAATTTTCGACGATACGATCCAGTCCTTGATGCTCCACGCGGAACATTCGTACCCAACTGCGAGTAGAACCATCTACGGATAGGATTCAGATGTGGCACATACGGTATTGTGGTAAGAAATACGTTGCGGAGTGTTGTTAAGCTGCTTATATTGCTGAACTGAAAAGCTCTGAATATCTGGGCAAATTTCGGAGCAGACAGAGGTACTTATTTGTGTTTTTCCTCTTCACGACCGGACTCAAGCTGTCTAGAGCATTTTGATGTTGATTAACTCCCATCAACGGCAGCAATTGTCGCAGACATATTAAGGTAGAAGCCACCCACGATTCTATGAATTATGTTTTTCGACAGCAGGAGCCAATGTGTGGCTATCAATTTCTGAAACAATGAATGAACACGACAAAAGCGATAGCATCAGATAGAATGAAATGCGAGTGCTGGTCTAATGTGATTGTCACTCAATATTCTGCTTGTGCTATGTATACTTGATTGTTCTGCCATATTGTCCGTCCGGAGGGGGCTCATCAACTAATCATCACAATAGGAATTCCGCTGTCCTACCCACTCATCTGCTACGCCACAGCTAGTATTGTTTATCGGACTCATACTTAAGTAGACCTGTATTACTGGCCAGACAACAGTTTCCCTCATTTCTGCATTCCTCCATCACAGGCACGCCATGAATAGCAACATTTCTGTGAGAAATATAGTGATTACTCTATGCTCTGTATAACATACTCACAACCACTGGGATGTAGCAACTACGAGCGGCTGCCGAACAACTTGAGCAAAAGCCCAGCTGGTTAATCCAACCGGGATGGGACGAAATCAGGCTCTACTGCCATTTAGCAGTCCTTCTGTCTCGTATAGCATCCTCAAGCTACCAACTAATTATCGGAGACCTAGTGGGGCCAAAGAATGACAACATAGACTACGACAATTCTAATCGCTCCGAGTCCATTGATTCCTACCAACGGTCGGTCGCAATAGACGATGGTTCACCACAGCCGAAGGCCCCGGACTTCACTATTGTTTCTCTGCCACATGCAAGCAGGCAGGACAGTGGGAGGACTATTACGGACGCAGTTTGCCAGCAGCAACCTGTGGCGTTGATATATGTCAAGCAGGTTCTTGACTCGGTTGATCAGGCCGCAGATCAGGCATTGAGCTATGTAGAGATTTTGCGCCAGAAGAATATGGTGGACAACTTCGTGGTGATGCTCATATCAGGGACTACAACTCGTGTGTGGATTATTCGTCAGAGATCTTCAGCCCCCCAGGAGCAAGCTGCTTGCACGACAGGCGGTCCCGAGTTCTTGCAATACTTGCAGTCAATCTGCTCTCACAAGGCGTGTTCTGATCCCCTCGCTTTCATGAAGGTACATCTTTATCAGCTTCTTAAAATCCACGCTGAGTATTGCATTGTCTCAGGATTAATTGTTACACGATCAAGATGTCAGGAGGAGAGAGGTTTCGCAAACAGTAGGGTTCTTGCCAGATGCTTGACCCTTTCCCACAAGAACTATATTTTCTACTACGAAGGTGTTTCTTGTACTGCACTCGTTCTGGTCATGAATTACTAGATGCCTACCACGGTTTTTCCCCGTGTCACAGCGCCAGTAGGCGACACCGTGACAGTGTTTGATAGAAAGACAACAGCGGGGTGGGACCATGTCACTCGGCATCCTCTTCTGAATTCACACCTTCGATAGCCTCCGCTTCAAACAAGACGATACACGAAGCTCTACGTATTCAGGACCTAGACTTTGGGTTCTAGACATATGCTCCTGTCCAGCTGTCACGTCGACAGATTTTGGATATGGCTATGGACCCGGCGTCACATGTGGCGCCTTGATCTCTCTCGCGAGACACTGCAGGAAGCTCAAAAGCCTGAGGATCAACCTCGGTTCGGCACCGGATCTTGTTGATCTCCCACCGAACGTGGATTGCAATACGAGCCTGGTACATCTCGCTGTTCGGAGACTTGGCGGTTCGAACGACTCGCTGGTCGGGATTCTCAGACAACTTTTCCCCAATCATCGAAGAGTAATTATTTAGTGAGTGATTTGGTTTACGCGCTGCATCATGTCTAACCGAAACGATATCAGGAAGCATTACCTGGTACTTTGGTGGTCGTATGATGACTGTTTTACGGTGAAATGATACGCATCATGGAGCATCACTCAATAAATGACTCTTACAAACGGTCTTCTAGATAGTATCGGCACTCTTCCACAATCACTAGTCATCCCACTGGAATCCACACGTACATGCAATGAAGGCGCCTTTATTGCACATAGCACGCTTTTCTTTGCATCGTTGGCGCATTGCATGCACTAGCTCCGCGTCTCTACAGTAACAATAAACACTGTATCCCTGGCTGAAGATACTCAGGTGCTTGCTTACCTCGTCACCCAATAAATCGCCGCGTCTGCGGATGTCGACGCTAAAATGTGTAATTCCATTTCCTCGTTTTCGAGCTCGTCAGAGAATGGGACGCCTATCGGATGCAAATTTTCTGAAAGAGTGAGGAGAGCGCCATCCTGATCGTTGCCGTCCAGTTGACGATAAAGGCCGATATGTTCGTGCCTCCTCCCGAACGGCAAGACTACGGGATGGTAACCGTCGCCCATTGAGGCGAGTGAGACCCGGCGCAGGTGCTCGCGGCCACGGAATGGCGCAATTAGTCGAGCATAGGACATGTCTTTGCGGTAGTGTCGAAAGGTGGGGTGCGGATGACGATAATGATCGTCGTAAACCTGTGCGACAGCTCGGTTGAGCATCAAGGTTGAGGGCAGAGGGTGAACACACGAGCCTTAGGCTGCTTTCTCCCGCAATCGGTCAGGGATCCGACGACAATTCCCGTACATCGAAGCTCCAATAGGTCGTCCCGCACGTCCCGAGATAACCACTCCTGCAGCACTTCGGGTACCTCTGTCGAAGTTTCAGCGGCGGCGGCCTTCAATCTCGAAGCCAGAGCTAAGCGGACGCGCTTATCCCACAATGGCGCGATGAACTCGACGTCTCTCATCATAGTGCTCGAAAAAGACAATCTACAACACCTTTGGATCAGTCAGATGAGCCTGGTCAAAGCGTCGGACCCACGATAAAATCAAGGAGACGGTGTTTTTACAAATCGCCTCCAGAGCGCCAGGTGGGATCTCACGCCTGATCCCGCCCCTGTTAATCCATCGCTCAAGATCCAAGGAAGACATTGCGCGTTCTCTGAAGGACATCTGGCACGGCCCGCCCAACGGATGGTCCTCCCATATTAGAAGGAGGCTCGCAGCGGGATCCGAAGCATCCATTAGGCCCATCAGCTGACCGGGTTCCAGACGATCCTTGAGGGAGTTGAGCTCCTCGCGCATCGGCGGGGCTGGATGCCATAGTATGTTGCGGCGGAAGCCAATTTGAATGGTCTGAGCTGCAGCTTGGACCGCTCCTCCGCCTTCGCAAAGGTCGGGATGTTGGGCTCTGTGAAATTTCGGTCATGGCACAGTCCACCTGCGCAAAACTCAAAATGTACCTGAAGCATAACAACGGGCGCAAGAGGATCTCGAGGGTATCTGGACGGGCGGTCCAGAACCAGGGACCATATAACGATACGAGAAAGTCGGTTAATGCGGCTTGCAGCGTGTGATCCTTGCACTCGCCGAGACATCGCCACCAACGCTGGACGACGTCGAATGTAAGCTCGTCGACCATGCTAGATTTGAACCAAATTGAAGTCCAGGTGACGAAGAAGCGTCGCAGCCGAGTGATGGCAAGTATTTGCACATCCGGGTCACTGTCGTCTTACGCAGTTACATGTATCTGTTCAGTGAAGGATGCGACAGCTGCTTACCTCGTCAACTCGATAATGTGGGAGGATGTCCTTCGTAGATGACCCATATACTCGGTAAATATCGTATCGTCCCGGGTGAGATGGAGTTCCTTGCCGGACAGGGTGATGCAAGCGTCGAGAGAGTCAAACTCTTTGATTTGATTGAGGACTCTGCTCTGGGTAAGGCACGCAAGCGCTCGGCGAGATGAAGAGACGAGCGATGCGCTCTCGCATTCTTGCTCGAGGTAAAGAATAGTCCGTAAACGTAGCAACGATGTCACCGCGTTCAGGGAAGCAAAAAGGTCCAGGAACGCAACGTGAAATGATACCAAAGCCATGATGTAGTGAACGGATATGACGCGAGACGAGACGTTCGGTCCGCTAAGCATTAGAGTTAGCTCCGAGCTACTGGACTCGTCGAGGCGGAGTAGACTGACTTTAGAAGATGAACCAGTTCTTGACAAGCTCGTCGCACAGATGACCGAGCGACCAGCACCTTCACCGTACGGTCTCTACACATAGTGCACAGGAGCGAAGGGGCGTCAGAGATCCACTTCAGCATCTTGTCGAGGTTCGCGTGGTGCGGTATGCCTGCGAGCTCGTCGCTGACCGCGTGCTGGTGCCTACAGGACGACGATTGAATCGGGAGGGTACGCATGGTGGCACATTGCCGAAGGGCACGCGATACCCTTTCTTGCGGTCCATAGCCCATACGACGTGCGAGGGTGATCAACAGTCGATCCAAACGAAATCCCCACGAAGTGAGCAAGCAGTTGAGCGACCGGCCCGGCCCGAGGATGTCGTCTTCGGTAGCGTCGGTGTCTGTAACGAAGGAGAGACGATCCATGTCGATAGGTGGCGCGTTGTCAGCAAATATGTCGCTATGAGTTGACATTATTGGGAAATAGTATGAGGAAAAGAGAGAGGAAGGGGCGGGAAACGTATCTGCGGGACTTCAGTGGGCAACAGGGAGGTCTTTATATAAGCTTGCAGCTCACCGTAATGGAGCAACTTGAGCGTTCGGCGTCAATGGGTGAGTAGGAACATCGGAGGAAGACGTTAAGAAAGGAATGTAGTGTCCCAGATATCAGAAAATCGTGAACATTGATCTAAGCGGCGGTAATGGCGCGAATAAGACGGTGTCGTCGAGACCTACTGACAGCGCTTACAATGGCACGATGGGATCTGCGTGATAGATATTGAGGCAGTCCCTGTGTTTCAGCAATGACAGGTTGCGGCTAGATGGTCGAAAGTGAGCGCCAATGAATATACATATCTCCAGGCTGTGTGTGTGTACCTGACGCGGAGTAAGCATTCACCCAGCCGCCCACAGCAGAAGGCATATATGCGGGTGAGCATTCGCCCAGTTCGGCCGACACCGTGGAAGCATTGATCAAGGCCAACGGTGACAGGGAACAGGACTCAATATGGCGCTCGAGATCAAAGAGGTCAGACTTAGCCAAGCTTTTGCAAATATAAGAGCAGCATAGCAGTCCAGAGAGCTACAGTGAGGGAGCCCGAGTTTGCGGGTGTGAACAGCCAGTATGGTTGGTGAGATGAAACAGATCCCGATGCTTGGACAGACATCGCGGTAGGTATTCAAGGATTGCTGGATCCAATCATTCACCGAGTCCACGATATAGTTCTGCGCCGCATATCTTCCAGAGCCATTTTGGAAGGGTTGCTATTTTATGTATCCTGTAGGACGAGGAACATACTCGTAGTGATGTCGATCCGTTATGGAGAAACCCTCAGCGTCGCATTGAGGCAAGTGACGTGGCGTTCCAGCGGAGCTCAAAGTTGACATTCAAACACAGATCGTGTTCAAGAGAAGCGACTCATGCAGATGTTCGCAATATGTCCTGCCGTCGATACCTCCGAAGTAGTATCCCGATCAGGCAGAGGCGAGGAAGATAGTTTCATCCAACTGAGTGTGTACCAGAGGGCACAGATCGTTCTCCGCTCGCTGCTCGGACCTCCATTTGCCCGCCATCTTCGTTCGTGCCTCCAATACACTCCGTTACCGTTGTAATTTCGTACACACAGATCGCATGCACCGTGTGCCATACCCTGATTAAATGGCGGTCGTGTTCATTATTGTCACGCCCTCTGTCACACAAGAAGGCGTTCAAATCACCGCGTCTCAAGTGCAACAACGCATTCACCCCGCGCCCCGCGCAGCGAATAGATGACCTTTCGGTCTTGGCGTGGACGTCTTCGTTGTCGAGGAGCACATTGCACTGATACCCCAGAAATGATCTGACCGTTGTCATACGCCACTCAGCCATGGACCGCCAAGTAGGAAGGAGACGGATACGGGCGCATAGCACCGGGGAGCGATAACATGGGCTCTCACGGCGGAAATGATAGAAGCTATGACTGGAAATGAGGGTTAGCGGGACGCGTAGCCCTTATCGGCGGCGAGGGGTGTGTGTGCCCATGCACACTAAGTATACCATTGATCAGCCTAGGGGTGATCCGCCGCTCGCTGAGACAAGCACAGCTGAGGAGATAACCCGGGTCGCGATCGCCGTGGACGCTCGAATTCTGTTCATTTGAGCTTGTTCGCTCGAAACATCGTCGCAAATGCTGAGTTGGCGTGGTTCGCGGATCCGACAGCAAACGGAGCAATGATCCAATGTACCATGTTCGTCGGTGTTCGTTTATTGCGATAAGCACCGGCGGAATGGCGTCTAAGATTGAGCATCAGCTATGAGTCACAGCAAGGACTAAAGTTGACCGGTCATAGAAAATGACAGAGAGCGAAATAAAGGCAGGGTTGCGAAACCGGATCGAAGGAAGCGGAAATAATAATAAATATTGTCGCTGGCTGAGCTTCTTAGGAAGCTGTTCCCTAATCACCAAAGGAGACTGATTTAGTGAGTGACCTCGTCTTTGCATTGTGGTATGTATCACTGACAAGATCGCAGGAACCCTTACCTGGCATGATGATTGCCGTGTAATCCATTTCGTGCATGCAATGCAGCGGAGTAATATTTATCATGATGCGTCACTGGGCAAGCCACCCCTGCGAAACATCTAGATCTTACAAGGCAGATCGATGTACAGATCCACTCGAATTCGCATGTGCATACAATCGCTTCCTATATCCTTTTTACTAGGTTATGGTGGACCTTGTATTCTAGTAAATTCGAACAGTGCACGGTTTCCCAACGTTCTTATAGCTTGCAGACAGATTATGGCTCTACGCAAATCTCGAACTCCATCACAGTGGACGTTTTTGACCATGTGGAGGTCGCGCATGTCTTTGATTTTTTCATCTTTGCAATCTGTTCCGGCACATGCTGGTCATTTAGGTAGTCAGCAGGGTAATGCCCGCATCAACTGTACCACAAACTCACAGATTTATCCGTTGAATCAAGTTTGCGGATAACCCGTTCCTGCGGGCTGACTCCACCAGGTACCGCAGGAACTGGCTATCGCCTGTCTTGCACCGCGGAAGCTCTCTTGGGGAAGCGCCGGGTCTATCGACTATCCATACGCGCGTATATTCGCCGAGGATGAGCACGATGAGGAAACCATTGACCATGGTACGGTCGGCTAGATACCGAGCGTAGTCCTCCCGATGCAGCTTCCCGCCATCTGCGTCGCTCTCCCGGCGCTTCAAGTCGAACAGTGCGACAGGGCGATCGCGATGAGCGCCGCCCGGCGTGCGTGCAAAGATGCGCTGCTTGATGACGTAGTCTGGGTGTGCCGTGCCGTGCTGACGGTGCCCGCGCGCTGGGGACGGTGCCGGGTCAGTCAAGTAGGAATAGCGCCATTGGTGGGTGTGGAGCAAGAGCTGCGTCAGGCAGTATCCTAGCGAGGAGATCTTGCGTTGAGGACGGATGGCTACGGCTCGGATGTTGTTGATAAGGTTGCCGACTCGTTGTTCGAGGATGACGACTTCGGCAGCGGCCAAGGCCGTGTTGGCGGGGGTGACGGCGGACATGGCGACCGCAGACGAGGAGCCAGACAGCGAAAGGTTGAGATAAGACCGTGACCATATCAGCACATCACAATCACAAGTAGTCACGTAACGAGAATAAAAAAGCTGTTCCAATTACCACTCTTGAGCCAATTGGAAGGTCATTGAGACTGTGCATTTCCCGATGAACATTATAAAGTACACTCATAAAAACATGTTGATGTAGTTTAACTAGGATTAGTTGCTCCAGCTGTGATGAATACCGGTTTGCTCATAGTAGGTAAAGGTGCACGTAGACCTGTAACGAGTAAAAAAGCTGTCCCAACTCCCACTCTTGAGCGGTCAATGAAACTGTACATTGTTAAGTTAGCTCAAGTTGTGACGAATCCCGGTTCATACCGTCGAAGAAAAAGAGAATCAATAAATATTGAGACCCGTAGGTCTACCACTCCGGGAAAGCGTGTCATCCTTGTGCAGGGGCCATGCTAATCTTCTCTGTATCGTTCCAATTTTATCGTATGTCACCCCGAAGGGGACATCAGCCCTTGCAAGAGGCGGAGGATGCGAGTAGACCAGATTTGCAACTGGTATATACTACGATCTTTGACATAGATCTCGAGCAGCGTGTATTATGCTCCACAGTATCTCACGCATAGACAGTGTCTGGCTTAGGCTCGGTATGCTCATTGCCGACTTTTCATTCTGTCGTTGTTTCCTGAGTACCTTCAAGACGACCGTAGGTGGGCTCTGTCGATTGTTGCAACGAATAGCAGGGGCGGGGTATGGCGTGCGGTGCCTCCCGAAGGCCATCAAGCGTGGAGGCGAGACAAAGAAAAATACTAACCTGAGCGTGGGAGATACCACGATTTCAGAAAATACCAGCTGCAAATCTGGTCTAGTGAGGGAGAGCGAATTGTGTGCGTTTCGCGGGTTGGCGCATCAGTAAGACGAAGGTCTGACGTCATCGCCATCCCTCTCCGGGCCAAAGGACCAAGGACACACACCTCCCGGAGTAATTTTTTTTAAATTTACTGCTTGTCTTTTTTGCATGCGACCGAGTGTACGATTATATTCTGCGGTTATGAGACGGATCGAGTTTCAGGTGCGCGTATATATATACTACAAGCACCGGTTCGGCAGTTAGAGTCTCTCTGAGATATGTACTGAGCGGATGTGGGGGACGTGGAAACAGGTCCGGGGCGTGGTCCAGGGCGTCAACTTCCGCCGCTGGACGGCCAAGCAGGCGGGCGCGCTCGGGCTGGTGGGGTGGGTGCGAAACACGCCGGACGGGCACGTCGAGGGCGCGGCGGTGGGGAAAGACGAGAGCGTCGAGAAGTTGTAGGTTTTTTTTTATGCGTTTGAGATCTTCCTCTTCCTCTTCCTCTTCGAGCTGACTGGGGATATGTGGGGGTGTGTGGTGTGGTATGTGTGTATGCCAGTAAGACGTTGTTGTGGGAAGGCCCGAGCGTCGCGAACGTGTCGGCGGTGGAGATCGTGAAGGAGCATGAGGTCGGGGAGGAGGAGGAGGGGAGCGCGACGTTCACGAAGTTTGAGATTAGACGGTGGTGAGTTTTTTTCATCCGCGCGAGACAGGTTCTGGACGCTCATGTACGTTTTGCCGCCAGATCGGAACGCATGCATCCATCATGATAGAGCGAAGATGGGAACAAACAGTGTATATTACCACCGAAGATGGCGCATATCAGTACAGGATATATCTTGTGGACCACCGTATAACTATGCGGTCGACGCAATGCGAACTTCTCAAGTTCCTTTCGGGAGCTTCACCTGGAACGTGCCTGGCGCCGACGATAAGTATCAGTAAACGTTGTATACGCGTATGCCTTTGAGAGAGAGAAGAGGGACGCACACGATGGCATGCTGTTGATTTCTGGCGTCACGGTGACGTTGGCGAAGCCCATGCGGGTGAGGGCGCCGCGGATGATGCCCGCCGGGAGCGCGACATACTGTCGTTAATACGAATCAGCGCAGTTCGTTGGGTGAACGAGGAGCGGAGAGAGAGGGAGAGAGCACACGCACCAGTCTCGCTCGTCGTAGAGCATCGGGTCGGCCTTCCCACGACGAGAGACGAGAGATGGGCTTGAACGCGTTGTCCTGTAAGACGTACACGCCCTAGAAAACGCGATGGCGGTGGTCAGTCACGTCGGTATATGGGGCATATACGCGGGGAAGATATGGCGCACGCGGTGGTTCGTCCGCAGATTGTCGACCTGCTTGTCCCAGCAGGCGATCCAGACGTCCTTGCATATGAACTTGACCGAGTCGAGCGTGTCCGCGAACAGCCCGCGATCGCGACACAACCTGTAGTTTTCGTTTTTTATTTATTTCACGAGGGCGACCTTGTGTCCGTCAACGACAATCTCCCGCCGTGGCCAGCCCGGACGCACCGTTCTGCGAGATTGGCGCCGACGTGCGCCCCGATGCTCTCCAGCCGCACCCGCACCTCTTCCTCGTCCTCGTCGAGCGGCGCCTTCCCCGCGGTGACGGCGCTCGCGAGCGTGCTCCCCGCGCTCTCCCTCTCCCTCTCTCGTTCCCGTTCCCGTTCTTTCTTGAGCAGCGGCGCGGGCGGCGGAGGCGGCGGGACGAGCCCGGCGTCGACCATCTCACGCTCGATCTCGCGGGCGCGCGCGACGGCGACGCCCGCGGACGCGCGCAGCGCCGCGACGGTCTCGATGAGGAAGTAGTCCATCGCGGCGCCGTCCATGAGGCGCGGCGGCGCGTCGGCGAGCGGGCCCGTGCTGGTCATGGCTAGGTCGGGTGTTCGTGGCGAGCGTGGATGACGAATCGGCGCGGTGATGGTATAAGCCAGAGAGAGTGAGAGAGAGAGAGAGACGGCGGCGTCGACGGGTGGCTCTCCCACTGACCACGACCTCGCCTCCGTCGTCCCTCGCGCCCCCGCCGTCTACGACCGGCACGGCGACGGATCCCGGTGTCTGTGTCTGAGAGAGCAAAGCCGACCGTGCGCGGTCCTTGTCGACCCTATCACGAGCCCGAGGCCGAGCCCCATGTCCGGCCTCTCCTCCTTCCTCCCCTCCCGCCTCCTCGGCGCCGGCTCCCGCTCTGCCGCCGCCGCCGCCGCCGCCTCCGCCTCCTCGTCTTCCTCGACATCCACGCCAGCGACGGCGGCGACGCCGACAACGCCGGGCGAGACGCCGCTCGACGCGCTCCGGTTCGCGATGGAGACGATGCCCGGCGCGCGCAAGCACTTCTTCCTGCCCTCGACCCGCGCCGAGATCCTCGCCGCGCTCTACGACGCGCTCTGGGGCCCGTACGCGCATCTCTTCCTCCCCAACTCGAACAGCAGCCTCCCGATGCACGCCCTCTTGAGCGACGTCCAGGCCAAGCTCCGCTTCGGCGGCGCGGGCGACGGCGAGGCCGCCGTCCCCGGTCGCCCGTGCGGTCATATCTTCAAGAAGGGCCAGAGCTGCTTTCGCTGCAAGTGAGTAGTTCCTCCCTTTCCTTCCTTTTGTGTACCCTGCCCTTCCGATCTCGCCTGCGTGGCTCTCGCACCCTTTGTCTCTTAGTCTCTCAGACTCTTTGTAGCAGATCGCTGACCGACGTCGACGTCCCGCAGGGAATGCGCGCTGGACGACAGCTGCGTGATGTGCTCCAAGTGCTTCCACGCGACGGATCACAGCGGGCACAACATCTCCTTCTTCGTCGCCCAGCAGTCCGGCGGATCCTGCGACTGCGGCGACACCGAGGCCTGGCGCCATCCCATCAACTGCCCGCACCATCCACCCCTCCCACCCGACGCCGGCGGCCCCTCGACCTCCACCCTCGCGAGCATGCTCGCCTCCAAACCCGCCGGCGCCCCCAAGTCCGTCTGGGCCGCCGACGTCCCCCCGGTATCCAACTACCCCCTCCGCGCGTCCGTCCCCGCCGAACTGCACACCGCCATGTCGCGCACGATCGGCTACGCCCTCGACTTCGTCCTCGACACGCTCGACGTCTCCCCGGACGAAGTCGGCCCCCCCGCGTCCGAGGCCGACCTCCGCCTGCAGCCGACCTCCGACCCGCTCACCAAGGACGTCTACTGCGTCGTCCTCTGGAACGACGACAAGCACTCCTTCGACGAGGTCATCCAGCTCGCGATCGACACCACCGGCCGCCCGCGCGCCGAGGCGGCCGAGATCGCGCGCCGCGTCGACGAGCTCGGGCGCGACGTGCTCGAGTGCGGGAACAACGTCCCGCGCCTGCTCGAGACCGCGCGCACGTTCGCCCAGGTCGATCTCGGCGTCACCGTCCGGCGCGCGCACGACACCTTCCGCGAGCAGATGGCGGCCGTCATCGTCGAGTGGCTCCTCGACCTCACCCGCGCCCGCGTCGGCACGGACACGCTGATGCTCCGCGAGATCATCGCCGCCGAGCTGCTCTCGCCCCGCCGCCGCCGCGACGCGGCCGAGAAGCTCAGGGAGCACTCGAAGCTCATCCCGGACGACGACGGCGAGGGCACGGCGAGGATCGATTGGCTGTTCCTCTATCACGCCAAGCTTTGGAAGCGGCCCAGGTTGTCCCTGAAGGAGATGTACGCGAGCATCCTCAGCATCAGTCCGGACCACAAGATGGCCATCGGTGCGTACTCCTCGATTCCCCCGTTCGGGCGGTGTATTGACGGCATGCATTCCGTTTCAGCCGTGCGATTCGGGAATATATACCCCCGCATCATCGACGCGTACCTCCTCATCGACCGCGAGGCGGAGACCTCCATCAAGTACTTCGCCTTGCAACTCTTCACCGTGCCCTCCGTCGCCGCGCACCTCGTGCAACACCATCAGCTCGCCACCCGCATCCTCTCCATCGTCAGCGCCTTCTTCACCAACCAAATCGCCGACAAACGCGTCCTTTCCTCGTCGTCCGCCTCCGCCGCCGGCGCCGGGCCCAGCGCGGCCTCGCTCGACGTCGACGCCTTTCCCTTCAAATCCAAGCGCTTCATGCCCGTCTTCTCCGACCTGCGCTGCCTGTGCCACAACGCGCCCGTCCAGCGGCTGATCGCGAGCACCCCGGCCTACCTCGCCCACTTTGCGCGCACCTGCCAGCTCTTCATGTGCGTCAACCCGAACAAGCGCGCGGCGGCGTCCCACGTCGAGTACGAGACGGACGCGTGGATCAGCGTCTTCAACGTCACCCTCTCCCTCTCGCGCGTCATCAAGGTCTACGGCGAGGCCTTCGCGCACGGCACCGCCGCCCAGCTCCTCGGCGCGGTCGAGACGGTGCTGCACTACATCATGCTCGGCTGCACGCTCTCGCCCGACCGACAGGACCGGACCCGGTTCGCGCCCGTCGCGTTCCACGACGTCGAGTTTGGGCGCGGGACGTACCATATATGCGAGTTCGACGTGCTCGAGGGCTGGGTCAGCTTTCACCACTCGCTGCATTGGCTCCTGGCGGAGCTGTTCAAGCACGTGCATCTCCTCGGCGAGGAGCGCTTCGCGCGCGAGCTGGGGTACGCGAGCATCGGGACGGCGCTCGCGCAGAGCCATAGCCAGCGTTCGCTCCTCACGGTCGTGGACTTTCCCCTCCGAGGTGAGCGGGTTTTTGATATAGTTCATATTAAATATAAAGAGCGAGATGGCGATCCGTGGATGCTGACGAACTGCTCGTGCTTTTCCAGTTCTCGCGATGGTCGCCCAAATACGCGTCGGGCTCTGGGTCCGGAACGGGTTCGCGATCCGCGGCCAGCTCCTCCACTATCGCGACTTTATGCTCCGCGAGCTGTGCTACGACCAGGACATCTACGTGCTCCAAACGGCGCTCATCCTCATCGACCCGGACGTCGTCCTCGTCAGCGTCCTCGACCGTTTCCAGCTCCTCAATTACTTTTCCGGCATCACGTTGCACGAGGCGTACGAGGAGGCGCAGCTGAGCGGGATGGTCGAGGAGGCGCTGTACGTGATCGTCACGATCCTGACCGAGGGCGCGAACGCGAAGGGGCTCTCGCTCCCGGACGCGATCCGGCGCGAGGTCGTGCACGCGCTCGCCGTCGGCCCGTGCACGTTCACGGACCTCGTCAAGCGCGTCGCGGAGCGGATGGTGGACGACGTCGCGTTCGAGCACGTCCTCCGCGAGGTCGCGCACTTCCGACCGCCCGAGTCGAACCTCGACGCGGGCACGTACGAGCTCCGGCCCGAGTGCTTCGACGAGGTCGACCCGTTCTTTTACCACTACACGCGCAACAAGCGCGAGGAGGTCGAGGCCATCCTCCGCGCCCGGATCAAGAAGCGGACGGGGGAGGAGGACCCGGTGCTCGTGCCGCGCCCGACGGGGATGCCCGCGTCCGGCCCGTTCGCGCGCCTGCCGCTCGTGTTCGAGTCGCCGGTGATGCTCCAGATCGCGTTCTTCGCGGTCGACAACGTGCTGGCGTCGACGCAGGCGAACGGGAGCACGCCGCCGTCGGCGGAGGCGATCCTCGACCAGACGCTGCACCTCGTCATGGTCGCCCTCGTCGAGCGCGGCGCGTCGTTCGCCCGCTTGGCGGCCGAGACGGCGTTCGCGGGCGGGAGGACGGTCGTCGACGCCGTGTGCGCGCTCGAGGCGCACGACAAGTACAAGACGTATAAGGCGCGCGCGGGGTGGATCTTGGACCGGCTGGCGGAGCACGTGCGCGAGGCGGTCGCGAGCCGGCGGAAGGCGCCGGACGGGGAGGACAAGGCGAAGAAGGACGGGGAGGACGCGAAGAAGCGGGCGGCGAAGGCGCGGCAGGAGGCGATCATGCGCCAGATGAAGGCGCAGCAGGCGAGCTTTGCGGACAACTTTGAGGACGTGGACGACGAGGACGACGAGATGGCGGACGCGGCGGGCGCGGGCGCGGAGGAGGCCGTCTCGTTCGGGACGTGCATCGTGTGCCAGGAGGACCTGAACACGGCGTCGAAGGCGTTCGGCGCGCTCGGGATGCTGCAGCCGAGCAGGGTCGTGAGGCGCCAGGCGTCGGGCAGCGCGGCGGCGTTCAACGAGGTCCTCGCCATGCCCCATTCGCTCGATCGCGCGGCGCAGCATCCTCAGCGTACCGTGTTCCCTCCGCCCGAGAACGAGATACAAAGCTCGAAGCCGGCCTCGAACAACACGTTCGAGGGCTACCCTTCGCACAGCACGCGCTTCGGCCTTCACGCCTCGGTGTGCAGTCACATGATGCACCTCGATTGCTTCAACGTCTATAGCTTGTCGATGCGTCAACGCCATCGCAGCCAGGCGACGCGGAACCACCCCGAAAGCCTGGCGCGCAAGGAGTACATCTGCCCGCTCTGCAAGAGCCTCGGCAACGTGATGCTTCCCATCTCCGTCCCTTCGAACGCGGCGCTGAGCACGGTCCCGTTCACGGACTGGATCCGGGCGTCCGGCATCAGCATCCTCAAGTCCAAGCCGGACCCGCTCATGGAGTCGCTGCAGTTCAAGATGGGCACGGGCGAGTTCGTGTTCTGGAGCGCGCAGGACCCGGGGTACATCACCGCGTTGAGGAACGCGGACAAGGTTGAGAGCATGGAGCTGCATAAGATCGTAGACACGGTCATGGCGACCGCGAAAGTCTTATCATCGCAAACAAGGCATCTACGCGATCGGCCGGAGCCGGAACAGGGGGAACGCGGTGCGGGCCTTTACCTCCCAGAGGACCTTGTCGGATACACGATCGCATCGATGGAAGTGATGCAGCGCGGCACTGGTGCTCCCGGGACCCTCATCGCCGACAACCTTACGGAGCCGCAGACGAAGATGATCCGCGGCTTGGTATCCTGTCTGACCAAGCTGGCCGCCCTCCAGTTCAAGGGCAGACCCGACGAGGGGCGCGAAGCCGTCCGCCATGCCGTCATCAAGAGATTGCTGCCCGAATGGAGCAGAGCGACCCACGCCGCCTTCGCCTACCCTCTCATCCTGCGAGACCCGTTCACGCTCCTGGTGGAGAGTGCGGCCGTCGCGCCGGAAATGCTCCGGCACATCCTCACGCTCACGTACTACGCTTGTCTGGCCAAGGCGGTCATCGGCATCGTTCAGCTGCTTCAGCATAGAAACCGGAACTGGCACCATTCGGCGGTGCAGCAACGACAGCACGAGGGCATATTCGGGGACCTCCGGATGTTCTTCATGTCCGTCGTCCGTCATTCGCCAATGTTCGAAGGTTCGCTGGCTCTTGTATTCCGAGTTATGGGCGAGCCCCAGATGGAGAAGCTCCTGTACGCCTTCACGCTACCTTTCTTGCGCAAGGCCGCCATTCTCTGCCGCGCGATGCTCCCGAACGCGTTCCCGACCCCGGCCTTCGACGGTGACGAACCCTCGGAGTATGCCCGGCTCCTATCGATGCTCGGCATCCCTCCCCTGTCCGACCTGCCGAATCAAGACGCGTTGCAGAACGCTCTATCCGGATGGTGCGCGCACTACGGCCACATGCACGGGACGTCTTCCGGCATGGTCGCGGTTTACTTCGATTACCCTGCCGTCTACCGGATAGCGAAGCTGCCCCTCGTGCTGGACAACCTCTTCGAGGACAAGGCTCTCTCGTGTTCTCGCTGCAACACGGCTCCCTCGGACGCTGCGATATGTCTCATCTGCGGCACGGTCGTTTGCATGCAAAGCCACTGCTGCATCGACCAAGAAGCGGGGAGGGGCGAATGCAACATGCATACCCGAGAGTGCGTATCTTTCATGTGATTAATAGCTGGCTCCGCTAACGACGCATTTTTGGCGCAGGTGCGGCGGGGCAGTCGGCATATATTTCTGCGTGAAACGATGCTCGCTCCTATATCTTTACGCGGGCAATGGGACCTTTGTCGCTTCGCCTTACCTCGACGTCCACGGAGAGGTCGATATGTCCATGAGGTGAGGCTGCTTCGTACTCAATATCTCAGCTGTTCAGTTTCTCATGAAGTATACTCAGGCGAGGCCGGAGACAGTTCCTGCATCACGCCCGATGGGAAGAAATACGGAAGCTATGGCTCAGCCACGGCATCCCGACGCTTGTCGCTCGGAAACTCGAGAGCACGGTCGACAACGGAGGTTGGGAGACGCTCTGATTCACCAGATCATATATTTTCTGCATAGCTGGATTCACACCTCACGATGTAGTTGTATCGACGTAGCAAGCACGCATTGTATCACCAGGCTTAATACACTAGATGTCCCCCCCAATTAGACCCCTCGTTCCGGAAAGGCCGGAGCGCTCATCAACCGGTGGATGCTCCGCTCTCGGCCCAGCACACGGAATATATCGGGAACGCTAGGACCCGTCTGGAAGAGCGATATGGTGAGCGAACATGCTTACATCAGATGGGATGATGAGCGACGGATTTACCTTGACACCGCTCAATGCGTATCGGATGGTAGTCATGTAGGTTTTCGACTTGATTTTCGCGGCTTGGCATTCCTCGTGCAAGAGGAGATTGAAATCGACTTTCTCCCAGTCGTCGACGGCGACGGCCGTCAACGTTGAGATGGCAGATTGTCGAGATGACTCTGGATCAGGAGGACGTTAGTTCTGTTTGCGAAGATAAATCTCGTTGAGAGGGTGACAGTACGGTAGTCGTCCGATGATACGCCCTTCAGCATGCCCCGAGCCTCTGAGGAGGTGAAGTCGGGATCCTCGAAGAAGAATGCCCCATGTGCAGGGAGGGCGTTGAGATTCGTCAGCCGGCTCTGCGGTGGACCATGTTCGTCATCGCGCCATCATGGAAGGGGAAGGGTTTCAGATGTACCTCGAGCGCCAGAATGACCTTCTTGATGTATGCTTGCGATGTGTATGGGCTACACGCCGCGATTGCTATCAGCCTTCAATCCGTGTGCGCGCACAGAGGAGGGAGCGTTCCAAAACGTGCCTGGAGGGAAACGTGTCTTTGATGAGGCCGTGCGCTCGTCCCGCCAGCTCATCGAGCCCATCGGGCGTGTTCCATCGGCGCGCGAGGTGCTGCTTGTTCAGTATCTCGAGCTTGGCGGGATCCAGCACCGTACGTCGATGCGTCAGCGCCTTGAGATCGAACTGGGCGCAAGAAAATGGTGAAATTCGGTGCACATCGGAAGAGGTAGACGCGTACATCTCTGATCATGTCCGACATGGTGAGAACGGTCGTGCTCGATGGAGCGGTCTTAAACGCCGACCACGTCGACCGGAAGAGACCATGAGATGCATGGCCAGAGGGTGACGAAGCTGGATGGTCGTGCTGAACACCCCATCCGGCCAGGGCGAGCCAGTTTAAGACAGCTTCCGGCTCCCACCCTCGTTTCTACAGGCGACCCATCCGTCAGGACAGATGCCGAGACCAGGGATAGAGCGGAGACCGACCATGAAATCTGCGACGTGGACGTCCCCTTTGCGTTTCGACATTTTCGTCCCGTCCGGGTTGAGCAAGAGCGGCAGATGCGCGAACTCTGGTGGATGCAAGCCGAGGCATGCGTACAGGTCTAGATGAAGTGGTAAAGAAGGCAGCCATTCCTACGGCATCGACTATGGCCGTCAGTGTCGGTCTCGTAACGCAGAGCGCAAGATGGAGGGGGGCGTACCTCGCCGCGCAGGACGTGCGTGATGCCCATTGAATGGTCATCGACCACGGATGCGAGGTGGTAGGTGGGGAAGAGGTCCGTTTTGAGGAGAACAGGGTCCGTGGGGAGCGAGGCGTGCGCGTCGCGTACGTTTCCGAAGATGAGATCTGGAGGGGTAGACCGATGGGGAAGGTTGCTGTCCTATGTCGATCCCACTCACGTCAGGCTTTTTTGCACGCGTGAAAGCAAGGAGAGGATTATGTGGGCTCACGTTGAGGCGCACTATATGCTTTTCTCCCGCGCGTACGCGACGCGCTACTTCTTCTTCCGTCAAGTTGAGACAGGCCTTGTCGTATGTCGCGTTGGAGCCTACGCGCGCGAGTGATTCGCGGGTGGCAGCAAGACGGTCAGGGGAGCAGAAGCAGCGATAGGCGTGTCCTGACTGGGTCAACGTTCGTATGAACAAATGAATGAAGTATAGAGCATGATGCCGCGCACCTCGATGAGCTTCTTGGCGTGAGTGTGATAAAGGTCGAGACGCTCCGACTGGTAGTGGTTAGCATGGGCACTGAATGTTTTGAACTATAGGACTGACTTGAAAGTAAGGGGCATGTGGACCGCCCTTCTCCGGACCTGAGGGGACGACTGAGCACAGGAATCGCGGTTGTTGGAGGTACTCACCGTAGTCGTACTCCAGCCCTGCCCAGTTCAGCGCCTCCCTAATGCCATCCACCGACCCTGGTACAGCTCTGGTCTGAGCGAAATTGGTCCAGCGGTAAACCGCAACGCGAAGACCATACAGTCAGCTAATGCATCCGTACACTGTCAAGCATCGCAAGACTCACAGCATCTGTATCCTCTATACGCAAGATCCATTTCCCTCCGAGCTTTCGCGCGTAAAGGTGATTGAAGAGCGCCGTGCGCAGCCCTCCAAGGTGAAGCGCGCCAGTCGGCGACGGTGCAAAACGGAGCAGCGTCGTCATCGGCTACCTATTTTCTGTGCCTACAAAGGGTTCAAATGTTCAACCAATGGTCCAGGATGTGTCGGACTATGTCGAAGAGACTGGACGTCGAGCGCCAGATGCAATATGTAAGCAAGAGCTGGTTGAGACTCGGGAGGCAAGACGCGACGTCGCGTCCGCTCCAATCGGACATGGATTTGTGGAGGCCTCCCCCAGCCTCAGGCTTGTACAATGCAAATTCACCTAATACGTGTACCTTCGGAATTATACTCAATATGCAATGGTCCACGACATAATATATTGGCAAGATAGTCTCCATTTTCCAGCAGGCAGCCAACTTGTGATCCAGAAACTCGATTGTAATGACATCAAGTCGTGCATGCAACGTGAACATATTCGTCAAGTATACATACCCACCGGATCCGAGGAGGATCAAGACGAGCTGGCAAACACCTAGTCATCCCATTCAAAACCGCACGTACATGCGATGAATGCGCCTTTCGCGCACGAAACGGCGATACGTCGCTTCTGCTCAGGGCGGAGAGCGTGCACAAGCTTGGTGGTCCTGCAAGGGCATGTCGATAAGAAGTACGCATCGAGAAGATTTGAATATTCCTCCCGACCTCGTGACCCAGTAAATCGCAGCATCCGCAGATGTCGACGCCAGGACGTGCAACCCCGTTTCCTCGTTCTTGATGTCGTTCGTGCAGGCTGTCTCGACCGGACGTAGATCTTCCGAAAGGGTCAAGAGAACGCCGTCGTTCTCGTCCTCGCTGTCCAGTTGACGGAAGAGACCGATATGCTCGCGCCTTCGTCCAAACGGTAGGACGATGGGGTGGTACCCCTTGTCCATCACACTGAGTGGAACCCAGCGCAGGTGCTCACGACCGCGGAACGGGGCGACGAGACGCGCGTACGAAGTCTCTTTCTGGTAGTGCCGGAACGTGGGGTACGGATGACGGTAATGGTCATCGTACGCCTGAACGTCGATCAGCATCGCTATGATGGCCATATGATGATCATACGTGCCTTGGCATCATCATCGCCATCCGTGAGGGAGCCGAAGACGATTCCCGTGCATCGGAGCTCCGCGATGTTATCATGTACTTCCTTGGACAGCCATTCATGCAATACCTCGGGGACATTTCTTGAGGATGCAGCTCCAGCATCCTCCAGCCGCGAAGCCAGAGCGGAGCGAACACGCTTCTCCCATGCCGGCGCTACAAACTCGACGTCCCTCATTGTCGTTGCGGTAAAAGGCGACCTGGACCTGACGTTAGCTTCGTAGAATCTGAGAGTATCTAAGCTGCACTCGCGATAGAAGAGAAGACACCGCGTCTTCGCATATCGCCGCCAGAGCTCGTGGTGGGATCTCCCGCCTGATCCCGCCCCTGTTGATCCATCGCTCGATATCCAAAGAGGTCATCGCACGCTCTCTGAACGATGCTTCGCAAGGACCAGCCAACGGGTGGTCCTCCCATATCTCGAGGAGGCGCGCAGCGGGATCCGATGCATCCACCAGGTCCATCAGCTGGCCGAGTTCCAGGTGATCCCTGAGGGAGTTGAGCTCCTCGCGCAGCGGCGGCGCTGGATGCCACAGGATGTTGCGGCGGAAGCATGTTTGGATGCTCTGCGCCGCGGATTGGACCGCACCTCCGCCTTCGCACAGTTCAGGGTGCTGGACCCTGTGGGGTCCAAGTTACAAAAGACGTTTTTCATCCTCGTACCATGCCCTACCTGAAGCATAACAGGGGACGTAGGAGGATCTCGAGCGTATCGGGACGGGCGGTCCAGAACCAGGCCCCGTAGAGCGACACGAGGAAGTCGGTCAAAGCGGACTGCAGCGTGGGATCCGTACATTCGCCGAGGCATCGCCACCAGCTCTGGAGAACGTCGAACGTGAGTTCGTCGACCATGCTGGATTTGAACCAGATCGAACTCCAGGTGACGAAGAAGCGTCTCAGGCGAGTGATGGCTAATATCTGCACGTCCGGGTGACTGTGAGTATGAGGAGTCAGCCACGAGCGATCGAGGAACGAATAGCAAGGGCTCACCTGGTGAGTGCTATGAGACGGGAAGATACGTGGTTCAAATCGTCCATTCGCTCGTGGAACCGCTTCTCATCCCGGGTATGATGGAGTCCCTTGCCGAACATGGTGACGCAAACGTCGAGGGAGTCGAACTCTTTGAGCTGATTGAGGACCTCGCCTTGGGTCAGGCATGCGAGAGCCCGACGAGAAGGTCGAGCAAGCAGGGTGCTCTCGTATCCGGGCTCGAGGTGCAATAGAAGTCTCAGTTGTAACAGCGACGGTACTGCTTCTAAAGCAATGAAGAGTTCTTGAAACGCAACGTGAAATGCGATCAGCGCAGTGATGTAGTGGATAGCAATAGCCCGAGACGACATATTGCTTCCGCTGGATAGGATATCGCCAGTCAACCGCGTAGAGCATACACAAGAAGGGCGAAACTCACTTCAGGAGGAGAACAAGCCTCTGACAAGCTCTACGGACAGATTTCCGCGCGATCAGCGCCTTGGCCGTTCGATCTCTGCACATGGGACACATAAGCGAGGCGGACTCAGAGATCCACTCCAGCATGTCGTTCAGGCTCCCGTGGTTCGGTATCCCCGCGAGCGCATCGCCGACCGCATCCTTGTGCCTACAAGACGACGATTGAATGGGGAGGGTACCAATTCTGGCACATTGCCGAAGAGCGCGCGATACCGTTGCCTGCGGTCCGTATCCTAGACGGTTCGCGAGCGATATCAGGATTTGGTCCAAGCGGAGGCCGCAGGAGGTGAGGAGGCGGCTGAGCGAGCGGCCCGGGCCGAGAATGTCGTCGTCGGTGGCGTTCGTGTCGGTGACGAAGGATAGGCGATTGAAGTCGATCGGAGGCGGGCTGTCGGTAACGCTGCTGGTGTATGTTGCCATCCTCGAGGTCTTTGGTAGGCTGTCGGGCCAGAGGAGAGATTGACGTCGTGGTTCTGGGCTCTGGTACGGCATCTGGAGCTTATATATGTTTGCCTTGGGCGTCTGCCTGGAGTTGAAGACGGTGTGAGATACACGAACAGTGACAACGAGGAGCGGGAGCGGGCGATCGCATAGTAAACTTTGTCGACAGCCCCTCGTGATATATGGAGTCTGGACGGGGCAAAGAGGCGAAGGAACGGCTAAGGTTCGCTTCTTCGTTATACATATCCGTGGCGTGCGTACAAGGGAGCAACTCGCTTCCTTCTATTGCGGCCCCGTTGAGCGCCCATTTCGTGCTGCCGCCGGATCGATATGGAGGATGAGGTACAGAAGTCGCCCTGGAGGGTGTCGTCATGCTCACCGGTCGTTCTGGTTTCTCACCGCACATAGCTTCAAACGTTGTGTTGGTCACAAGCATGAGCGTTTGGGTGTTCATCACCGCGCCGCAGTGCTCATCGATGCGAGCATGTATATCATGTGTTTGCAGCGCGTTCGAATTAGAACGTGCATTCGGCTCAAGCCAAGAGGATTACGACAGCTAAGCATAATACAAAGTCCAAGCCGACCATGGTCCATAGGGAGAGAAGTAGATTAAGCCATATAAGGCGAATGCGGCGGGACAATTTGCATTGTTGTCAGGTGATGCAACATTGTCCTAAACTGACCCGCATTTGGAACGTTTTCCCTCGCGTCTTCCGTTTCTGGCGACTTTCGTCCTCACCTCCGCCCGTCGTCCACGCCGTCGCCGCCGTTGCCCGTGCATCGCGACCTCCGGTTCCACCCTCCGTCTCACCGCACAACTCATCCAGCTTGACGTCTCTCGCTTTTATCTCTTCTCTCTTGTCAGCTGGCGATTACTGCGACCGCCGAGCATGGGTATTCAGTTCGGTTCATTCGACAGCATCTGCGAGACCGCCGCGCTCGTCATCTGCCCTCTCGTCGGCTCAGCACAAGGCATTGAGCCTACGTGCTACAGCAGGAATGTGGACATTGCGGGCACGCTCATATTTCAGCCTTGTAAGTTCGCCTTGTTTAATGTTCCAGGCGCGTGGGTACGGGCGGGTATAGTGCGATGCGAGGGAGAGACATCGGGGGGGTCACAATGCAGGACGACCTTGGTCGATTCCTTGGAGCTGGAATCGAGTTGGCGATGCTGGGTCTTCTTGCTTCGCCACCCCGTCGATGTATCATGTCTGAACCGGTGCTGACCCTCCTCGTTCCCAGCAACATGTTTCGTCCACATCGTCGCCATAATAATGACCGTCATAATGATATACCACATCCGTAGTAAATATACCGCCGTCGGTACGCCTCAGTCTCATGCCATTTCTCCGGCCAAGATCTGACCCGCTTCTGCAGGACGAAGAGAGATCGTCATGTTCTTTTACCTCTACGCTATCATTGAGCTTCTCGCAATATTCCTCGATTCCAACATCATACCCACAGCCAATGCCAGCTATCCGGTGCGTTTCTCTTCTGATCGTTTCACATCGTTCAAGAAGCTAACGCCATTCCAGTGGTTCGCTGCAGTATACACTGGCCTGGTAGCAGCAGCGTACTGCTGCCTTCTCATCAACGGTTTCGTGGGCTTCCAATTCGCAGAAGATGGCACGCCGCTCTCGCTCTGGGTATGTCACAGCGCTCTCTGCCCTACTGCTACCCTCTTACGCCCTGATCCCCAGCTGCTCCGCATCTCCTGCCTGGTCGTCTTCGGCGTCTCGTTCTTCCTCGCCATCGCGACCTTCAAAGGCTTCGCCGGCTTCAGCTTCTCCAAGCCGATCGCGCTCTGGATCGTCTACATCCTCTGGCCGCTCATCTGCGCCGTCATCTACACCGTCTCCCAGCTCGTGCTCGTCTTCCGCACGCTCGACGACCGCTGGCCGATCGGCGACATCGTCTTCGGCGCCGCGTTCTTCACCATCGCCCAGATCCTCCTCTTCGCGTTCAGCGCCACGATCTGCGACGCGATCAAGCACTACATCGACGGCCTGTTCTTCTTCCACCTCTGCATGCTCCTCAGCGTCATGATGGTGTACAAGTACTGGGACAGTATCACGGTGCGTTGCCCCACCCCCACCCCCATCCCCTCTCCCTTCTCCCCTTTCCAGCCCCGGGTGAATCGATCGCTGATCTGAACACCCGCTTGTGTTTTTTCGCGATCAACAGAAAGAGGATCTGGAGTTCTCCGTCGGCTCGAAGCAGGCGGTGTGGGAGGTCAAGGACCCGCTCCTCGCGGACTACCCCGAAGACGACGTGCAGAGCAACTACTACGCCGGCGCACCCGCGAGCATCGTGGGCGGCGGCAACGGGCAGCAGATGTATGGCAAGGCGGGGTACGGTGGGCGAGGGTACCCGCCGAGCTCGGAGAGGTACTGATCGTCGTCGTCGTCGTCGGTCGTATCATGAGATACCGGACTTTTTCGTCGGCAAGGACGCTGTATCATCCCTTTGGTCGTAGCTACTACTTGATCTCTCTTCAACACGTACGCCGATCTGGACCCGCTTGATTATCGTGCTCGGTAGTGTTGACCTGGCATTTCGGTTTCACGCGGAGCGAGGGATCCGCGAGCAACGTCAATAACACTGACCATAGTGATACATCGTAGTTGACACAGATCGCGAGCACATGCATAAGACTCATCGGCCTCGTAGGCGCACAAGAAATGTGATACTGCAAAACGATTCATTGCACATCCGAAATCTACAAGCTACGACGGAAGACACGTATCGTAAGGGGTTTTCCAAAAATTGCTGAAGGCCGAAGCCAACAGACGGTACGGAAATTAATTTGCAATCAGCAAAAGACTGTGCCTCGGTAAAGACCTCACTGGCGACAGTACATGCCCGAGCACAAGAGATGAGGAGACCAATTGCGGAGTACGCCCTTATATATGGTGACGCGAAGGTACTTTAGGGCCGGCCGAATACGTCTGGTCCTTCCCGCGGTTCTGTGTTCCCCAAGCTTTTCCGTCTGGGCCAATAAGACGTATCAATGGGCCCATCTGCAGGGCGACAGGATCACCACCCTTTTTGCTTTGAGAACGATTCCCGCCGATCGGCGCGCGAGACCGCCCACCTGCCTATTATTCACCGGGGTGGGGGAGGGGGGTTGGGTTGCCGATTGATCAAAATTGAGGACTTCGTCGGACTTGGACAGGATCTCGGCCCCTGATACATGTCGCAGGTTGGGCGCTGTATTTCGTCAAGCAACATACATGGTTATAACGTTGGGAAAACATTCAAGATCCTTCGCGTTCCATCCCAACTTCCGGTGCCCCTTCATCACTAATGCTATGTGATGTCGAGAGCTCGCAGTCGCTCTCCGCGCTCCATCCATCTTTGGAAAAGCCCAGCGACGGAGTCCCTGAGATGTATCAGCAGGCTGAATAAAAGCATGTGATGAACAGGCTTCTCCATACTGGAAATTGGCCGTTGGCCAAGGTGTTGTGTGGATACGGGCTTGGCATCGACGACTGATAGCGCGTCGGAGGCACACTCTTCATCATCGTCTTGGTACTCGAAGACATAGTCTGAAAGGAAAGCAAATGGGTGAGCTAGACGACCAGCGCAATAAAAGGCGGGTTCTCATGCCTGACATAGCATCTAAGATAGTGTCGCGTCCCAGTTTGCCAGGATCTGGAACAGGGTCTCCGATGTGATCGTAGGGAACGAAAGTGTAATCGGGAGGGTTGTGCGGGGTTTCATCCTGAACTAATACTATAAGCAGTCGGCTGCTGGCCCTGTTTACCCGAGTAGCAGTAACACTCACTCTGCGGACCTAATGCGTCCCGCGCCGCCGCCCCAAGCTTCATCTGCTCTGCGATTTGCACAGTCATGCAGACTTCCTGAAGAGTGGTGCAGAAGTATGTAAAGGGATGTGAAATCACTAAGTCAAGGACACAACGCACCGTAATATGGCTATTATATCGTGCCGCCAGCCACCGATACTGGATGGCGTGTTTTCGAGCGGTCGAGATGAGATTGAGTGGTAGGAGTTTAGTAGCCCCGATCCGTCGGATCATCCGCTCGAGTTGTCTCCGGTGATCCATTAGACTGCAATGGGCTGTGTGTCAGTATCAACGTGCTCATCATGGAAAACAGCTAACGAAGACTGCTCACGCCTGCCATTCCCTCTGGAGAGACTGCTTCGTCGCCGCATTCTCTATCATAAATCGATGCTCCATCCATGCATGACGAGCGACATTGACGATTTCCTGTGCTTCGAGATATGGGCCGCGGACGAGTAAGGGACATTCGCGTTTGATGAACCCGATGTCATATTGCTGCAGGCTCGTCATGTGCCCTTCGAGATATGGAAGCAAGGGTGGGGGCATGATGGTGAGGTGTTCAGGTAGAGGAAGAATTACGTGCACTGACGAGGGAGTACAGCAAATAGGATTGAGGTGGTGGGCCGTCCCGACGTACAGGATTTGAATGGCGAACCGTTTATAACCTCCAATTGTAAGGGAGATCGCCGTGCATGATAGTATTATGTACGCCTGTTTGCACGGAAAACGAGGCAAGGGTGGATTTCTTCCATGGGTGTACCCGAAGAACGGGCGCCGTCATTTGTACGATGGAATATGCCTTGGTCGTACCGTGTACCAAATACCCAGGTTGAAGGCCCCTTTTACGAAGGCGGGAGTTCCGGCATGAGAAAGCGGATCATATCACTGTCGAGGCTAAAGCTCGCTCAGCGATGCCAGCAAAGCGCGAGGGAATGGGCACCTTCCAAAGTGAGGACATTGCATCGGCCATCTTAGGGTCAGTTATTCCCACACATACAACGATCAGAAGACACCAGTTATAGCTCCGCCGACAATCCAGCCATCGACGCTTGGATCTTCTTTTATTGATGATAAAGTAGTCCGGGACTCTGTACAAAACATAGCGCGCGCAAGGCGCAACGACACAAGGGCGCTGAATTGCGCTCACATCCCGTTACGTTTTTCATCACTTATCAGCGGCATGCATACCATCCTCTCCCAGTGATCAATTGTGGGCGCTGTGGGTCCAGAAGTAGCCTTCGCAACCAAGTGCTGTCCTTATCACCGAATTCGCACAACAGCATTCAGTGAAGCAATTCCTTGTAGAACAAGGAGTCGGATAAGAACAACGCATGCCTCTGTTGGAACTCAACGCGAGGGGCAACTGAGGTGTATATAAGATAAGCGACGCTTTCCACTTGGAAATCATCTACCAACCCTCAATCATTTACGATTGTCGGAGACACCATCGCGTCCGCTTTGCTCCCCTCTCATACTATACCCCCTCCGCAACAGCCATCACCTTCAACGAAGTACCCCTCGCAGATTTCTGATGTCCCAACACTTCGCCAAATCATCCTTTGCGCCGCAGTTCCCGTCGATCGACTTGCCACAGGATGAGGTGGATGAGATCGAGTGCTCATTCCATCCCCATATCGCCGTCATATACCTCAACGCCCGTAAAACTGTTCATGTCGCCCGCCACTGCTGGATACAACACGCCGATCTGATCGAGGCTGGGAGCAAGGATCACCTCGAGATGCTCTGGGAGAGGTGAGCAGAAACCTTTCTCGGAAGTGCGTTGATCAAACCTTCGTTTGTGTCAGCTTGGAGCACGAACGCGTGATACTCAGGAGCAGAATTCAACGAGCGAAGGATTCGTGGCTTCCTGTAGTTCTTTCTCTGCCCGTGCGCAGAGCTATTCAGGAATATACAAGAAAGGCGTGCGAATTTCGTCAATCCGTACTGGTCAGCTCTCTTTTTCTCCACGTGCGCGTGTTAGAGCCTCATAGTCTGTCATCGGTCTAGGACGCTTGTGAACATGCACGCTATGCACAACAGGTCGATTTGATATTAGAGCCGATCCGTCCCAACGGCGTCTGCATGCAGCACTCGGTATCCCGCGCAGACTCCGATTATGCCCGACTGGACCACCTGCCAGAACTCGCAGACGACGGGGCCATCGCTGGAATATTCTCGCGTACGCATAAGCTTCATGCACATACGCACAACGGAACTCAATGACACTATCAATAGAACTGAAGTTGGCTGATGGCCAGGAGCCTGACACGACTGGGTTTATCATGGCAGAACCCGCGCGTGGTATCGTAGCATCGTAGACTCGCGGCGACGGGGCTGATATTCTAATTTATCACCCAAGCTAGTTAACAGCCCTATTGGCCTCATTGTGGCAGACATTGTCTAATATACCCTCCTAACCGCATGTATATCTTGTATCATACCACATGACTATATTGTCCATCGAGCACACAAACACAACGGCTTCGGACCCGGAGGGCACTACGGCCCCGGGCGTTGACTGATACTGCAATGCACTGCATTGCTCGTGACTCACGAGAACGGCTTCGTCAATAAGGCGCTGTCTCGCGAGCGAGCTTTATTCGCGCTACCCCCCCCCCCCCGACTCATCACAAACTCTTAGGGTCCAATATGCACCAGGTGTTTCTCATTGCAGAGATAGCGCGGCATATAGTAGACCTTGCAAGCCACGACGACAAGGTCTGGCATGGACGCAGATATCAGGATCTCCTCAACATTGCACTCACTTGCAAGGCACTCTCAGGAGTTGCGCTGGACGCGCTATGGGCCAAGGTCGTCGACCTCGACAATATTTTGAGGCTGTTGCCCGATCTTGAAGGAGCAGGGGTAGGTCACCTGAATGTATCACTCCTGTCTGCAAGACTGAGGAACAGGACTCGTCTCTCACTATAACAGAAGCCTTTCTCAGGAACTCGCGCAGAGTTAAAGAACTGGACCTCGGACATACTGCATACCGACGTAAAACACGCGCCGTCTCTGCCCACGCTTCCTTGGATGACCTGCACGCCTTTTGCAAGCAGAACAGAGTTGATCTCTTCCCTCGTCTTCATTCCGTGACCATACGGCACCGTGAATGGCGCCTGGCTCATGCAGCTGTATTCATCACTTCCCATTTGACATTTTTGTCCATCAACGACGTCTACGATATCCCGGACCGCCCAGTTGAATCTGTCCTGCCGACTACCCAGGATCTCGTTCATTCTCTCATCAAAGCTTCTCCATCACATCTCACCACTCTCCGTATACGACGACTTCCCCTCGACGTACCCCTACTAGCACGTCTGCCTGAGCTTCCGTCCTTACAGGAGGTTTCTATTCTCTTGACCGCGTCCGCAGGCAAAGACCGTAACTTCCTGCACACCCTGAATCGTGTCTGGCAGATGCCCTCACTCACGGGTCTGCACATCCTTTACGGGGGTCCCACGGAACTATATCAGCCGGAAGGGCCTTTGCTTGTGGATGCAAACTTGCTCGTCTCCGACCAAACGCTCATCGGGCCGGTCAGAGCCACAACCACCATGATTCGGCACGGGCCAAACGCTCGTACTTTGGATATCGTCGCAACGGAATTAGCCAGCTCTGAAGACTGGGATGCCGCCCTCACAGCTGTTTTTGAGCATTCAACTCAGACGATGCAAACATTGAGCGTTCAGAAGGATATCAGATGGCCGGACCTTAGCACGATGACGCCCCTTCCCGCCGCCATCATGCTCACCATGCCGCGGTACGACAACATCCAAACGCTTGTCCTTAACATCCCGCTCGACTGGACGGACTCCATCGTCGACCACGTCGCTCGCTCCTGTCCGGCGATAACGGTCGTTGACATCGGAAACGAGATCAAGAACCCGCGCCTGACGTCCGCCAGCCTCGTATCTCTGGCTGTTGAATGCTTGAAGCTAGAGAGCTTCACGGCTGTCCTCTCCTCGAACAACGAGTCTTTGATGCGTGGCTGGGAGGCCCTACCACGCGACTTCGCAGGCAATCCGATTCTTGTCAAGCTGGCTGTCCAGCTACTCCCGGTTCCTCAGAAACGGAATCAGAAGTACTACGCTCTCCTCCGTAAACTATTTCCCAATCGGAATACTCGGCTGAAGTAACCATATTGCAGGTCATCGCTACCAGTGACACGTCATTATAACGCGTGATATGTGATGACAATCATGCAGCAGAGAATAGTTGGAGACTATGTCGTGCCAAGAATGTGCGTGCGTTCAAGAATATCAGAACACAGGCCTGGGTTGGTATGGCTCCTCAAGATACTTTCACTTCATCCTCATGATGAAAGTCGTTTATGGTTTGACTCGGAACTAAGAACGGATACAGTGATTTTAGTTACGGGAAATTCGTGGGGGCTTTGCGGAACTGTGACCAGCTCATGGTGATTGCTGGTCGTGTCATTGTTCAGGTTCTTTACCAAACGCTTTCGTCGGAGATTGTAGCTATTGCAGCTGTGTGCATTGTGACGCTGCGGAGACCGGATATCACTGCGAACACGAACTCAAACCGCCGTGAGTTCACCTACGGAACTAGAAGGTTAGACTGAGAATATATGCGCCCGAAATTGACAGCGCGAACTGCTAGAGGATATGAATCCCAAACGGGGGAGCTGCCACAGTTATATGCGCGCATAAAATGATGCCGTATCCGGCCCATCTTCTCCGGATAACGACAAACTTCCCCATTGGCGTCCCGTCGATTCCATCGAGCTGTGTGCTGCATGCAATTCATGAACCGGAGACAAGGTTCGGACAGAATTATCGCGATTCTCATTTGGTATAGGCTGCTGGTGATACAAACAAATACGGCATGTAAGGTAATAGTCCCGAACTCGTCAGCATGAATACCAGGTCCTAAGATAGATCGTACACCCGTGGTCCATCATAGCCCTCTGGCGCGCAAAGGTCCGTCCGATGACTCGGATTATGATCTCATACACTCTTCTGTTTCGCGTCCTTCAGCTGCTGCACCTTCTTCTTCACCTTGTTCGCCTCGTGGTGGAGCGCGAGGAAGCCTTGCTCCTGCTCCGGGCGCGTCCACCCGTCCGGAAACCGCTCTTCGCCGAGCCACTGCTCCAGCCTGTCCCGCGGCACGCCCCCGCTCGCGTCCTTGAGCGTGTTGTACAGGAACACGGCCTCCGCCGCGCCGAGCGTGCGGTGCAGGCCGTCGAGCCTCGCGTCGCGCGCGTTCGCCGTCTCCCGCGCCGCGCGCACTTCGCACAGATCTTCGAGGCCCATGCCCTGCGGCGGGCAGCGGGCGAGCACGTCGGAGAGGAGCGCGGGGTCGACGGCGGTAGGCGCGTATCGCGCGCCCTTGGGCGCGTCGGCGTGCACGAGCGACGCGTCGTGCTCGATCCGGTCGTGCCGCGCGAGGTCGCCGAGGTCGATGTGGGCCGCGAGCCAGCGGCGGGAGCAGAGGAGGAGGCCGCCGACGGCGAGGAGGTACGCGAGCGGGGTCGAGAGGTGGTACGCGCGCCGGACCGCGTCCGCGAGCTGGAAGAGCGAGATGTGCCGCCCGTCGCGCGGCCTAGGAAAAGGGGCTATTGTTAGGATCGCGGGCGCTGTTGGGAGGCGCGCGGATGTTTACGTACAGGATGCCGTGGTTCGCGAGCGTGTTCAGTGCCGGGCAGGGCGAGCGAGAGTCGCTGGCTGCCGGCGGGTGGTAGGGATGTTGTAGGAGGGTGTCCATGGATGTTATCTCAGATTACGCTCTGTGAGGCGAGGATGGTGTGAATGTGGGCGAGGATGCGTATTTCGGATCGTCGTCGATGCGAATATATAGCAGAACCTTGGACGTGTATATATAAACGCGCGGTGTCTGTCAAGGCAATACAGAGGGGGAGGAGTCAATTACAGGGACATGAGAACGCGCTGCTAGCCACAGCATGATATATTATATGATGTTGACCGCATTACGCGGTGCGGCGTGGCTTGGGGCCAATCGGGCCAGGTACTTCGAGATAAGTGATTGGAAAAAACACGCGCCCCTGGCCCATCGCAACGAGGCCACACCGAACTCACGTAGGGGAGATTGGGCCGATTTCATCAAGGGGATGTACGAGGATGGAAGGCGATTGACCTGGTTGCTTGACCATCCGGATCACCTTGGTTGGACGCTGTGTTCAACGCTGAACGTTACACGGATTTGCGACAGACAGGCTGCACTGTGGCATAGTGACACACGGGATTGATCCCGCTCACGGGTCGTGGAATCGTCGGATCCTTTCCACCCCATCCGGTAGACGAAAAACCACAGGTCCTATCGACGCATTTGATCCATCATGCATCACCATGGGCCCACCCGCGGGAGGTGGGCAAGGATACCTGCCAAGGTTCGGACTGCGCGAATACCATGCAAGGCGCTGCAATCATGGCTACGTCGGCCTCAACCCCTCCATAAGGCGGCGCCTGAGTCGAACTGTCCAAACCGCGTCGCAATCGCGCACGAAATGACAAAAACGTCGTGTCGAGGCTGTGACGTCGACTGTAGATCTTTACCATGGCATGCTTTGCCGCAAGGACCGGTAGATACATACATAACCGGAGGGTGGCAGTCCGAGTCACTGTGGCTGGGTATGGCTAAACAAGGTAGCAAGCTGTAACCTGTATTTCGAGGTACCTGACAAAAAAGGGCCACCGAATGCATAAGACAACAAAATACATACCCTGCAAGCTCAAAGCAGGTAAATATAGACTTCGTGGCACAGCGGACAGTGCCCGGACCAGCCTTCTAGGCTCGTTCAGTTGTTTCTTCACCGAGCACCGGCAGCGCGCTGCTGCGTCATGGCACCCATGGCGCAGCGGGGAGGAACCGTTCATATCGGGCTCGCGCGGGCCACGAGAACGGGACAGCAGCCGCATCGCCTACCCCCATAGCTTCCGACAGAAAAAGGGTCGCAAATCAGGGGGGAGGGCGTCCGCCAAGTTACTCAGGACGCGTCCCCGCGCCGGAGCCGGTTGAACTTGGGCAGCATCTCGCGCAGGTACTCGGCGTGCTTACGGCGGAGATCGGCCTCCTGGACTTTGCCGCGCCCGGACCACGTGCGGCGTTCTGCCCCGGGACCGTACACGACGGTGTAGTCCGGCAGGCTCTCGTCTTCGGGCGGGACGACGAGGCAGCAGGGTCCGATCGCGCAGTGCGACCCGAGTCGGACGGTGTGGTGGACGCGGGCGCGAGTGGAGATGGTGTTGAAGGAGCCGATGGAGGGGCATTCGACGCCTGTGTGTGTGGGGGGGGGGGATTTGGTGATGAGTAGAGGGAAAGTAGTGCAAGGAGGGACGGGGCGGGACGTACGGCAACCGATTTCGAAGAGGTTGTCGTCGCCCACGCGCATGACTTCTTTTCTCCTACGCATCGTTATGGGCAAGGAGCACCTGTTTTCACGGGTAAGACGGCGTACCGGTTGACGATGATGGCACCCTCCTCGATGATACAGTTCGCGCCGATGACGATTGGCCCTGCTATGGCGAAGATGGTCGCCTTCGGGTGCACGATGGTACCTGTAGTAGATATGGTTCAGAGTTAATGCATCAACGTTCGTAAGCGTGATCAGGACGCGCCTGCACCAATGGTAATGTCCCCTTTCAGTTCCACGTCTTGGCAGACAACCGCCTTGGAATGGATCGTGAACTTGTCGCGTCTGACCAGGAGGTGGGTGTGAGCTCATGACTTACGTAATGGTTTGTGATACGTACATCGGAGGCATATCTAGTTCGCTATGCGGGAGGGCATGCGACACGTTTATTCGTCGTCGCGAGCTCGAGGTCGATGTTGGCGACGAGAGGGCCTGGGTATGCGGCGGCACCGTTCCATTGACAACATCAGGTGATAGCATCATTACCATTGAATCCTCCGGGTCCGGTGCGCTCGGCTCTCTCGTTACTCATAGCTTTTGCACGCCAGAGGGATCCTTTGACCTGATCTTCATCACCGCACGTTTCGTTGGTCTGGATAAAGGATAGCCATGGTCATACAACAACCCGTCGGTCAGATCAAGTGCAGCCGCCTGATCTACGCATTCCGGTCGATAAACTGATCTTGTGTCCGCCGGCAGGTTGACGAACGTCTCCATCGTGAGGCTCAAGAAGGGGGGCAAACGGTTCGAGGTATGCCTCGATAATTGCTCTACAGTACCTATCTTAACCTGATCACTGGATCCCCAGATCGCATGTTACAAGAACAAAGTCCAAGAATGGCGCAACGGCGTGTACGTCCCGCACGACTACACAACCCGAGTCGAATCTGTAGTCCTGACTCACCATGTGAGACAGTGAAAAGAACTTGGATGACGTTCTACAGATAGGAAACATCTTCGTGAACGTATCAAAGGGCGAAGTCGCGAAGAACAACGACCTTCAGAAGGCGTTCGGCACCACAGACCGGGACGAGATCGTCAAGCAGGCGAGTCGATCACTATCACTATCACCACCCCCACCCTCCCCTCTTCCTCTTCCGCTCGCTTTCGCACCGATTTTACCTGCTCACCACCGCCATCGCTGTCCAGATCCTCCAAAAAGGCGAGGTTCAAGTCGGCGAAAAAGAGCGGGAACACGACCTGTCCTCCCTCCGACGCGAGATCGCGACGCTCGTCGCCGAGAAATGCGTCGATCCCACCACGCAGCGCCCTTACCCCTCGGGGATCATCGAGAAGGCGATGACCGAGGCCGGATTCAGCGTCAAGCAGGACAAGAGCGCGAAGTCGCAGGTGGGCGCGTGCCTGAAGGCGATCCAGGCCGGGTCGGCGCTGCCCATCCAGCGCGCGCGGATGCGGGTCCGGGTGAGCGTTCCCGCGAAAGAGGCGGGCGAGGGCGAGGGGAGTTTGAAGAGCAAGGTGCTCGAGGGCGCGGAGAAGGTCGAGAGCGAGGAGACCGGCGCGGATGGTTGGGACGTGGTGCGTAATGCTCGGCCTGTTGTCTGTTGCTTGTGACAACCGGATTGACTTTGGGCGAACGTCAGGTCATGCTCATCGATCCGGGCCAGTTCAGGGTGATCAACGAGTTGCTGCAGAAGCACTGCAAGGGTAAGGGTCGGATAGAGACCCTGACTTTTGCGGCGACGTCCACGACCAGCTGAACTCGCAGCACAAGCCCGAGATCTTGTCGTATCTTCCGATGTATTTTCTGATGTATTTCTTAGTCCGTGTTTCGGTACATCCACAATAGCATTAACGTTACAAGACGAGGAAAACATGACATTGGCTCGGAGATCGCGATATGCAAGGCCAGCAGGGGATAAGAGCGCTCGGGGCCTCCCATGTTAGGGATTATACACTGCGAACATGCTCAGATGTCGGCGAAGTCATTATCCGGGGGCAATGCACGTACTTGTCATCTGATGGCCACGGCGTTAATCTTCAGATATGGAGGGTATGAGAACAATACCGGTACTCACCATGATAGACGAACCGCGTCTGAACCGCGTTTCGAGCGACGTATATCAGTACGGCATCGAGGCATGTAACCGTGCAGGCAAACCTTCTTGGGATTCTCAGGCGCGGTGCGAACGTAGCGATCGTTGTCTTCAGGACTGCATTTGATAGAGATCGGTTAGAGCAGCGAGATCAGGACGCAAATGATCGGATTTACCGCTCCTTAGCCTGCGATGTGATCATGAATCAGGCAATCGCAAGTAGGCGCCCGAGCGAGGAGTGGACGAACGCACCGTACACGAAGCGAGCATGCTCTGCAGCGTCACGCATACGCTCATCACGCTGAGAACGGGCGACCACTCATTTCCCAGTATCGAAGCGCATATCTGGTAGAGGTTGAGTACCGTTGCGATGAGATCGGTTTGATACTAAGAGCGCGGACGGACATGACCATTCGAGTAAACGTGCTGGGAACGTGCGTCAGCCTACGATCGGCAGAGGCGAGACGCAAGGTGTGAGCGTACAGGATGTATAGGCGCTTTCCAGTTCTCGTCGACAACGAATTGTACGGCCGGGGATGATATCGGATATTGCGGCTCGAAACGGAACTTGAGCGCGAACACCTCGTCCTACGGAATGCAAGGTGAACATGATATCGATGACCTAGGAGCACAAGATGATACCATACCTTGTACAGGCTCTCGCCCTTGACTTCAATCGACAGGAACCAGGTCTGGAAGTCGTCCGCCTGAAGTAGTGTGATACCTGCCTTCGTGCAAGTTGCATTAGATGGGTTCGACAGGCCCTGAGGACACCTTAACGCACCAACTGGACATCCGTTCGTCTTTATATCCGTAAGCTCCTTCGCGAGACGTTTGGACGAGATCGGAACGGCCATGGTCGGTGCAGGCAGCCTGGCAGCAGGGCCGAAGCCGTGCAAGCCCACGCGCGCTAGTCCAGCCACGTCTGCCAAACATGCATCAACAGCGCCGACAGCATATAAAGAGCGACGCAAACTCGGTTTTTTCTCTTCAACAATGTCATCGAGGTCCCTGCTTTAGAGTCACTTGCTCGGCCGTCCAAGAGGCCTTGCAGGCGCTCGCGGAGACCCAGAAGAAACCTCGGTCGTGAATCTCATTTCGTCGGGCTGCATCTTCGCTATGGCCCGCTCGGATAATTTTGCGAGCACATCCATGCACCTCGAGCTTGCTCCTCGCTCTAGTCCCTTCGTCCATCTTGATAGGCCCAGTATGTGGTATACACTCTACAAGAATACATCTTTTGTATTGCACACACATACGCCCGATTTATGCCGGAACGCCCATCAAGCCTGCGCCGTCGGACCATCCATCGCGGTCTCAATTTTGGTAACCTCATCGGCTGCCTTCGCCTCGCCCACCCTCTTCTCCCTGTCCGCCGCGACCGCGTCCAAGATCTCCTTCGCGCCGGTATCGATCAATATCTTCGCCATCTGCACGCCGACCGCCTCCGCCTCCTCCAGCGACCCCACGGGCTCGTTCAGCGTATGCTCCACGTGCAGCCGTCCATCGATCCCCGTCACGCACCCCGTCATCCTCAGCGCGCTCTTCCCTCCCTCATCGCCGGCATCGACGAGCGTGGTGTGCACGCCGACGGGGACGCTGCACCCGCCCTCGAGCACGCGCAGGCACGCGCGCTCCGCGAGGCACTCCCACTGCGTGCGCCGGTGGGTGATCGCGGCGCCGAGCTCGCGCGCGAACGCGTCGTCCGCCCGGGCTTCGATGCACAGCGCGCCCTGGCCGACGGCGTAGTAGAGCGTCGGCGGGCCGATGTCGGCCGTGATGCGGTCCCCGAACCCGAGCCGGTCCATCCCCGCGCGCGCGAGGACGATCGCGGTGTAGGGCCCGTCTTCCGCGTCAAGCTTGGCCAGGCGGGTGTTCCTAGGCGTACGCACGAGATGCAATGAGAGTGAGAGTGAGGGGAGCGAAGACGGCGCAAGAGGTCGATAAGACGTACAGGTTTCCGCGCTGTGGCCAGAGTATAGCGTGTATGAGACGTCGTGAAAAGGGGCGATAAATAAATAAATATGGGGGGGTGAGAGATACGCACGACGTCCAGGAAAGTAAGCTTGGGGTACGCCCTCCGCAGCTGCGCGACCCTCCGCACGCTGCTCGTGCCCACCACCGCACCGTCCGGGAGCTCCGCCAGCGTCTTGTACGGCAAGCCCTTCTTCACCACCAAGCTGTCCACCGCGCTCTCGCGCTCCGCGATCGCCGCGAGCGCGCACCCGGGGGGCAGCACGGTCGGCACGTCCTTCGTGCAGTGCACGAGCATGTCGACCCGGCCCTCGAGCAGCTCGACCTCGAGCTCCTTCGTCCAGAGCGCCTTGCCGCCGAGCAGGTACAGCGCCTGCGACTGGTTCTTGTCCCCCTCGGTGCTCATGAACGCCGTCTCGAACGTCACGGACGGGAACGCGGCCGCGAGCGCGTCCCGGACGGAGACCGTCTGGATCTGCGCCAGCTGGGACGCGCGCGAGGCGAGGGTGATCGAGCGCCTGGCGCCCGTGGGGGCGGGGGCGGGGGTGCTGCTAGCCATAGTCGTAGTGTCGAGGGGATCGCGTCCGGTTTAGCCTGTTGAATCAAGATGAGATATACAGGTAACAGTAAGAACTCGGAGCGGAGATGGAGATTGCGAGCAAGGAAGGGGAGTCAGATGGCGGGCCGCCCGAGCGGCGGACCAAAGATCTAAGCGAGGTTTATACATCGCTCGCGTGAGCAAACCGCGCGATGGGTATCCGGCCGCAGATATCGGCGCGGACGAGCGCGCTAACACGTCCCCCGGCAACTTTCACTCGCGGCCACGAGCGGCGAACGTGGCGTGAGCGCAGAGGGCGCGGACGGTGAGAAGCAGTGCGTATGGATACATGGTCTACATTAGCGCGGTGCGTACGATACATGCGTGGGGCCGGATGCGAGTGGGAGACTCTCAGCGGATCTCTCAGGGAGACATGTACTGCGCCATGCTGCGAGGGAGGGGATCCCGGGCCGTGAGCGGGGCGGGTGGATCGTGAGGGTGGGCTGGATAGCTTACGCGGAGTCTTTCGGGGCGTCGTCGCGGTGCAACCGTTGCTCCAGCTTTTCGAATTCGTTTAGAGCGATCGTCTCTTCCTGGTCCAGGATCTGGTTTAACAACGCGATATCAGTATTACGTCAGGTAGGGATGATGATCCACTGACCTGTTCGACGCCCTTCACCTCCGGGATATAGTGCATCAACATGCGTTCGATCCCGCTCTTCAGCGTCACCGTGCTCGAATCGCACCCCCTACAGCTCCCCTTCAACTTCACTTGCACGATCCCGTCCTCCGTCATGCCCCTATACTCGATATCGCCCCCGTCCTCCATGATCGCCGGCCTCACCCTCGTGTCCAACAGCTCCTTCACCATCGCCACCGTCTCCGAGTCCGTCTCCAATATCCGCGTGTCCTGCGGGCCCGCGCTCAGCCGCTCCTCCTCGCTCCGGAACAGCGGCGCGCCGGACGAGAAGTGCTCCATGAGCGTCGCGTACACCTCCGGCTTGACGACCGACCACGGCACGTCGCGCTCCTTCGAGACCGTGACGAAGTCCGGGCCGAAGAAGACGGCGCGGACGCCGTCGATGCCCATCAGCCGCAGCGCGAGCGGGGAGGCGAGCGCGGCGCGCGTGTCGAGGAACTCGGCCGAGCCGTCGGTCATCACCGGCACGCCCGGGATGAACTTGAGCGAGTCGTCGTTCGGCGTGTTCTCCGTCTGGATGAACATCGTCCGTACTAAAAGTAAGGGGAGCGTGACGAGTTCAGAAGAGCGAGCAGGGGTGAGGAGGAGTAAGAAATTGTACCTAGAGAGGGCGCCCTCCTTTGTATGCCGTTGCTGAGTGACCACCGACTGGCGTTGGTCGTTGTCAACGTCGCCGGTCGTCGGCGTGCGCTGGACGCCATGGCGCGAGCGAGCGCGGCGCGGGGTATCCTCGTCGGCTTCGCCGCATCTCTGAGCAGCCTGAGGGCACTTCGCGTTTGCGTGGCAGCGTTCATCGTCCGTAGTCGACGTTTGCACAGTCGGAGAGAAAGATGAGGTCAGCGAGGGAGTTGCGCGCCTTCGGAGCCCGGGATCGGCGAAACGGCTGACTGACCGGTGGCTGTACGCTATTTCATTCGTCTCTCGACCGTCGTCCAGTAAGAACGCGAACGTTTCAGTCACGGTCTTGCTTACCCACAGTGCGCGTATCGGTATCACAGCGGGAAATCCCTGGAATCTGGGGAAAACATATAACAAAACTATCGTATAATAACTATGGTTGTTACTGACATCTGAAGTTATGACAGGTTTATCTCAAGATATATGTCAAAAATATGACTACTCTCCCGGTCTCTTTGAAGTAAGTTTGACATCATTTGGATCAACTTAGCTCATAGCTTTTCTGAATCATTTTGCCAATTATTTCTTACCAGATTCAGCCTGTTTCCCGCAGTGTATACCGACCCCGACAAGCAGAACCATCCAGAAAAAAAGAAGTGAACATATACGCAAAAACAGCACCTCTTTTCGATCGGGGTCGCACCGGTGCAAGTCGCGGTAACAACGTCGCTCCATCACTTTCGCGGTACACATGGTCCGAGTACGTATACAGAATGCTGGCACGTTCAAGGAGGGGGGGGGGGGGCATATAATTATGCGTACGCTCACGCTGGAAACGGACCTACTCCACGTCACGACGACGATACCGGTTCGGAATCCATCATAAACGACCGGTACCAAGCATCCACGTCCGGGCCAAATTCTGATTCGTCCGCGGTCTCGGGAAGTCCTGCGTCTAGTTCTTGTTGCAGCTTGTAGATTTCGACGAGGTCGGCCGGATCGGGCGGCGTCATGAGGCCAGTCAAGCCATCGTGCCCGGCGCTGTCGTCGGCGGCCCTGACCACGCGTCGGAAACGTTCGGCCAACGGCGACGAATCTTCGAGTTCCTGCGCGACTCCCGCTGTCGCAGGCTTGGGCGGAGCCTGACCAGGCAGTCCCGACTCGGACCCCAGCGCTATGAAGCACACAGTCAGTTCTGCCGTTCTCGGGAGGTAACCCCCCCACCCCCCCCACCCCTTCGTATGATCAGAACGTAATGAATGGTGGCGTACGCGACAGGAGACCGGAACCGGACTGATCGTCGTTCAACTCGGGCAGGTTGGCGAGTTCGGAGTAGCTGGCGACCGTGCGGTCCCGCAAGGACTTGGCGGCCTCGTCCGACCCTTTCAGGCGGGCTACATTGCAAACGTCCTGGTGCGTCACGGTGACATATCAGCGGTTCCGCGGGTATGGGGCGATGCGGAGGCGAGGCGAGCGAGCTGACCAGAACATCTTGACGGAACCGGCGCGCCAATCCCACGTAAGCCCGGAGCGCATCGCGCACGGGAGGGGATACGCCCAGCGCCGTCGACAGCCACGACTTCTTCGCGGCCCTGATCGCGTCCAGGAGCCATCTGCCCGCCTTACCCAAGCTGAAGAACCAAAAGAAGAAGAAATCCGGTTATTACCTCGGCTTTGCGGGGGGGAAAAAGGTTAACAAGGCCGCGATTGCTCACTTTCTCCAGAGCGATTCGAGCTCTTCGTCCGCTCCCTCCTTGATCAGCTCGGCGTGCTGCACCCAGCAGTTGCGGGCGACGAGGACCGTGATGCGGGCGTGGTAGTACGTGGTGGCCATATGACCGGATAAGAAGCGCTTGACTTCGTCCAGCTCGTCTTGCGGCAGGTTGGTCCGCTCGCGATGTGCGGAAGAAGCCATTTCTGGAACGGTGGTGACGTAGTCAGGGTGTTGCAGGGACGGGCTGCAGATCAAAGGAAAGTAGGAGGAGTTGATATGACACCAGAGTAGGAGAGATCTGGAATGCGCGGTCGATTGACTGGGGGAGGAGTATCGATGTGCTTATATAGACGTACCGTGGAGACATCATCGACGTGACCTTGAGAGATACATTGTCCCAGAGATAGTTGGCGTGGTGAATGCAGTCCGCTATAGACGTTTCGGGACGTAAGCAGCCCACATGCGGCCTGTGAGTCTGCGGACAGCACCGTCGTCGCGATGACTACCTGTTTTTTGGGCACACATGCCACCACACAGTGAATGATGACCCAGTGTGCAAAGAACCGCTCATTCGGATACCGCGCTGCATGTCTATGCGCAGATACGGAGCGCGGTGAATACAATTCGAGATGACCAAGGGTAGTCTACAGCATAGCTGCATCAGGCTGTGCAATGAGGCGAACCAACCGACTCCGCGCTGCTGCTTTCGCCATCGCTGTCGTCCTCCACTCCGGGTGACGTGGGCGCGAGGCGTTCGCACAATTGGGACGGATCAGCGCGGGTGAGCCGCGCGGGCTTGGGCGCGGCTCGAGCACGATCTTCGTGCTCGGATTCGGATTCTACGCATATATGTGAGAACGTCAGTCCGGTCCCTTGGGCGTGCACGGGCGCAGCGGCGAGGGTGCGTACGCGGAAACAAGGCGGCGACGGCCTTGGCATCGAGCTTTGTCAGTCGATAGAAGTCGACGCTCGCGCGTTCCATCGCGTCTTTCGCGACGGCGACGGTCGTGTCGTCACCCCGTTCGGGGCCATATCGCAGCCGGGTATGGTCGTTCTTCGCGCGAGACTTCAGCGACCAGGCGTCGTCGTACGCCGCCCGATACCGGGCATTGCAAGCGAGCTGAGCGAAGAAGGAGTTGAGAGAGGGCGGAATCAGGGTGATAGAGATATGCCAGGAGCGCACTGACGAGCACGGATGTCTGAAACAGGCGCGCCTTCCTCACGTAGAATTGGACCGTTTCGGGTATGGTCATCAAGTCGCTCGGTTCTGGGCGCTTCGGGTTCCACAGCGCCGGGCGCGTCTTCGCCTTTTCGACGATGTACGGGATCAACTTCCGTACGTGCTCCAACCTGGGGACGAACGAGAACAAGGGGGCCATGGGTGGGTCGAAACGCGGGAGAGGAGGTGTGGGGTGTTGGTGTTGGTATTGGTATTGGTATTGCAGCACTCACAGGTCCCAGAGTTCACTGAGATGCTTAAGATCATCGGCTCCTCCGCGTTCGATCACATGAGCGTGCTGCATCCAGAGATGGCGCAAAACGAGAACCATTGTGCGAGCTTTGATATACGTGGTAGCTAACTGGCCAGGGAAGGAGCGCTCGATCTCGTCCACGTCGTCTTGCGCTAGCTTGATCTGCGCGGTGGGATCCATATGTAAGGCAGGGTCGGGCGTGACGAAGATGGAGCACGTTCGTTCTAAAGCTGGAGGAGGCGGGACGGGACTAGGGCAGGGAAAGGTAGCTTGAGTCGGTCTTATACGGACGCACAGTGCACACCGATCGTTGTATAAAACCTCGAAAACGGAGACGGCTTGTTCGTGTTCGTGAAACAATGCCGCTATCGCGCCAATTGCAAGTTTACGCAAGCTCGTCTCCTCGAGACGCCGCCCACGCAGATCGGAGTTTTCATGCATTGCATCATCGGTATCGTTGCGTTGACCACGGTAGTGGCGTTGTCCACTGGGTACAGTTACAATAACGAGCCCGGGTACGGAGACCGGCGGAAGGTGAGAGAACAATGTCAACCTATAACGCCTTCCTTTCGTGGAACGCTATACTTACTCTGGGTTGGACTTTACCCACGTGGATCAAGAAGCTGACAGGATGGTCGTGGCATTATATGCAGTACAATAACATGTATATGCAAGCAGAACAAGAGCTTTCCCCACTCAATCGCCCGATACACGCTGATAGAATTTCTCAGATTTCATGCACATGAAGCGAAAAAAAAAAACACCCGACGCGACTTCTGGAGGAAATAACCTGATAAACCATGATCTACTGGTGACCGGCACCATGATCGAGTTTTACTAAGTTCCCCGCTCTTGAATAGACAACACGCGCGTCTTTACTGTCGACCGTTATGCAAAGCACAGTGAGGTAGTCTACGGCATGGCTGAATCAGGCCGTACGACGAGACGAACGATCCGACTCCACGCTGAGGCTGCTGCTGTCGCCATTACCGTCGCCGTCGATCTTCGCCCCGAGTGCCACGGGTGTGAGGCGTCCGCGAGCATGATCTTCGTGTTCGTGTTCTCGGATCCTAACAAACGCATTTCTGGAAACGTCAGCCCGGTCCATCTTTTGACCTTTGGTGTGTGTGTGTGCACGGGTGCAGCAGCGGGGTGCGTATACGGAAAGATGGCAGCGATGGACCTGGAATCCAGGTTTTCCAGTCGTTCAAAGTCGGCGCACGCGCGGTGCATCGTTCGTTTCGCGATGGCGATGGCCGTCTCGTCGCGGGGAAAACCGAGCAGTCGACGGTGGTCGGATATCGCGCGATGCATCAGCTCCCGCGCGTCGTCGTACGCCGCTCGGTACCGGGGGTTGCAAGCGAGCTGGAGTGGAAAATGGGTGTTGAGGGGCGGGAGAAACTACGGTGATAGAGATATGTAACCGCGGGCGCACTACTGACCAGGACGGACAACCGGAACAGGGGAGCCCTGCTCACGTAGGACTGGACCGCATCCGGTATGGTCCTCGGGTCGTTCGATCCCGGGCGCTCCGAGTTCCACAGCTCCGGGTGCGTCTTCGCCCTTTCGATCATGTACGGGATCAACTTCCGTACGTGCTCCAGCCTGGGACATGAACGAACCCCCGGGGGGATAGGTCGGTGGAAACGCGGGAGGGTAAGGTAATGCAGCACTCACAGGTCCCAGAGATCCTTGAGCTCCTTCAGATGGTCGGCTCTTCCGTGCTCGATCACATGAGCGTGCTGCATCCAGCGATGCAGGCCAACGAGGACGGTCATGCGAGCTTGGATGTACGCGGTAGCTAATCGGTCAGGTAAGGAGCGCTGGATCCCGTCCACCTCGTCCTGCGCTAGCTTGATCTGCGCGGTGGGATACATTTTTTCTTGGGGGGGGGGGAGGTTGGCGCGACGAGTATTCAGAAGAAGCGGTTCGTTCCAGCTGGAGGATGCGGGACGGGTCCAGGCAGTGAGAGCTGGCTAGCTGGCTAGACGAGAGACCCGGACGGGCAGTTCATTTAGCTCGAGAGCTTCAGGTAGGTGGTCTTATATGGACGCACAGCGCGCATCGATGGCTGTATACAACGTCGAAAGCGGACACGGCTTGCTTCGTGTTCGTGAACACGGTGGGCGAACGCCACGCTGATCAGAGTTTAAGGACTGCATATCGATATCGTTGCCTTGAAACGCCCAGATCAGAGTGTATGGACTGCATCTCGATATCGCCGCGTTGACCACGGTACATAGTCTAGCGGGTAGAGTCGGCAGTTACCTGAGCTTGCTCTGGTATCTCCCTGCCCGTAATTAGTAAGCATCGCTAACCGTGGCTGTGTTACGCGTTTAAGCCCCGATCTGATACTCCGATTCAAAACGGAGCGTATACGGTATACGGCAAACATACATGATACCTCGTCGATTCTACGCAGACTTTACGAAGTATATACATGGCTTGTTGTACTGCTACTAAACATAACAGTGATTTGCAGAACGATTTAGTGTACGTCACATCCTTCCTAAGTTGGCATTAGATGGGTCAAGACTAGGAATGGCTGGCATCCTAAGGTGCATTAATAGTTATCTAGTTGTCATGTATACACTTAGAGCATACCATTGCGTCTTAAATCACACAAGGCAGGTGCAAGCGAATGTGGATTGGCGGGAGACCGCCCTTTCCTCTAGTAAGTAGGTAGGTGAGAGAACAAAGTCAGTTATACTGTACCGCTTTCCTTACGTGGAACCGGTTGTGGGGACCCTCCGACACGTACTAATAGGTCAAAGCAGACAGAAGACGGGACGCATCGTGAACATTATATACGGTACAATAACATATATGCAAGGAACAAAGGAGAGCTTTTCCCCCGGTACCGGTAACCGAATCCATGGCACACGCACAACACTCTATGTACCCCGATGCTCCTCCGCCCCCCGCCCCCTCCCAACAGAGAAAGCAATGAACAAGCAAAGCAGCACGCAACAGGAGGAAGGAGCGACGGCGCTGGCGCTGGCGCACCCGAGACCGAGCGAGAGCCGCCAACGCAAGATGCGACGGAAGATAAAGGGCGATGAAAGCAAAAACAAAAAGAAAAAAAAGGTTATGTGAGGAGAGCAAACTGTTGTTACAAATGAGCAAACGATGAAACACGAGAGGTGAAGAAGAAGAAGAAGAAGAAAACGATAAAAATTCCATCCGAGCAGGCGGGGTACGTATATGCATAAAAGTGAGCCTCGAGACCGGAGAACGCTCGTTCTCGATTTTTTTCGAGAGGGCAGGGAGGGAGGGAAGGGTGAGAGAATGTGAGAGAGCATAGTTTTCTTTCGTTGTGAATATTCAGACGCCGTACCCCGATCCGCCGATCGCCCCGACGCCCCTGATCGCCGAACTGAAAAACGTCGCCCACGTCCCGTTATGCTGCTGCTGCTGGCGCGGCGACTTGCCCGCGTTCGCGGACGAGGACGAGTTGTGGCGCCTGAGCCGGACGCCGCCGAGCAGCGGGCTCGGGTGCGCCTTGTGCGGGGTCGCGAACGTGATCGCGGGGGAGGAGGAGGAGGAGGAGGAGGGAGATGGTGAGGCCGGGGTGAGCGATACGGAGCGGCGTGGACGGGTGGGAGGGGAGGCGCGCCGGGCGAGGGAGGGCAGCAGCGTCGGCGCTGCGTCGTCGTTGAGCGAGTAGATCGGGTCCGTGGGCGGGGACGGGCAGCGCTCCAGCGGCGGCGTGGGCAGCGGCGAGGCCGAGAAGAGCATCCGCTGCGAGACGCAGCCCAACAGCGCCGGCGGCCCCTTCCCCCTTTCCCGGCCGGCGTTCGACTTGGGGTCGGCGGCGACCCGTCCGGACGCGGTGCTCGAGAGCGAGCTGGTGGACGCGTTGTCGACGGCCGGGAGCGCGGGGAGCTGTTTGAGCTTGGCGCTGTTGGCGAGCGCGAGCGCGAGCTGGGTCGAGGACGGGTTCGGGCTCGTGAGCGGGGACGAGGTCGGCGTGCGGCGCGGGGAGGGCAGCGGGAACAGCTCGTCCTCGTTCTCCTCCGCGATCGGCGTCGCCACGCGGGGCAGCACGGGCGACAGCGAGTGCTCCGCCCGCCGTCGTCGCTTGCTACCGCCTCCTTCTTCGTCCTGACCCTCCTCCCCCTCCTCCCCCTCTTCTTCTTCTTCTTCGTCCGCGTCGTCGTCGTCCGCGTCATCGCGAGCGCTCGAGGGTTTCGTACCGGGCCCGATCTTCGACATGTCGTGCGACGCCGACAGCCGCCGCTTGTCGACCTCGTCCACCCTCAGATCCGCGAACCCGGGCAGCGCGTCGGCCACCTTGCGTCGCGCGGGGACGCCGCCGCCGTCCGAGCTGGCGGACGAAGAGCGGCGGCGTCGTCGGGCGCCTCGGGTGAACCGCTCGTGCCCGTCGTCGTTCGCGGGCAGCTCGCACGCGGCGAGGCAGGCGGCGCAGCAGGCGCGGAGGGGGACCGTCGTCAGGTGCGCGTGGAGAGCGTGCGCGTGCGGTTTGGGCGGGAGCGGGAGCGAGGGGCGCCGGAGCGGGGGCCTGGAGCGGGCGAGCGTTGGAGACGGCGGGCCCGGGGAGCGGTGGACGAGGCAGGGCGTGAGCTCCATCGGAGACGTCGCCGTGCGGGTCGGAGAGAGCGCGCGAGCGGCGTGGAATCTTGGTGAAGTGCAGGGGTGTAGGGGGGGTGGGATGGAAAAAAACGTCAGATTAAATCTGGGAGTGGGGGGTCTCGGGCGCGGAAGGAAGAGAGGGAACACACGTGGGTATGGGCAGCGGGATGCTGAGCACGACTTTCTCGCTCTCTTCCTCGCCGACGCCGTCCTCGCCGTCGGACGCGGCGCCGGCGACGACGCGGCGTTTCCACAGCGGGAGCGAGTACGATTTTGTCACGATCTTCGGCCGGCGCGTGCTGTGCGGCGGCGGGTCGGGGATCAGCACGCACTCGTCGTCGAAGCGCACGAGGCGGGTGGGGGCGTCGGCGTCGGCGTCGGCGTCGGCGATCAGCGCGCTCGACCCGGACATGATAACGACGGGGGCCATCGGCGGCGGGAGAAGCGGATCGTCGTCGTCGTCGTCGTCGTCGGTGGTGGTGGTGGAAGACAGTGTAGTGCGGACCGGCGGGTGGGCTAGGCCGAATCCAAAATGAAATATATATGCGCGAGGTTAAGAGGCGGGTTCAGCGGCTGCCGAATGGGTAGATAGAGTAGGTAAGAATAAGGGGAATAGATGTGTGTAAAGCGGACGTGGGCGAAACGGAGACAGTTCGGAGACGGAGTCGGGCGGAGACGAGACGAGAGCGGGTAACGATGTGCGATTCGGGGGTCGTCTCCCCTCGAGAACTACATACGAGTTGTCCTTTTATACCCTACGACTTGTCCCTATCGTCCAATCCCGTCGCGTGCCTAGTGTTGCGTATGCCGAGAGTAAGTGCGCGCCGATGCGCAAGCAGCGCGTAGTGTGTCGAGCACCGGTAGGCGGAGCGGAGAGCCGGTCGAAAAGACTCGAAAGGTCGAGCAGGAG